AGGACTTCATGCATTGCATACTTTTGTAAAATAGCAAGAAAAACAAAGAAATAGAATTAAATGTGTGACCACGCAATTTTCATTGGAATTCTACAATTTCTTTTATCTTCTTTTACACTCTACTCTATGTTCTGATTCTAGCATATTTATCTATCTTTTCTTAAAGTACATTTAAACGCAAACAATATCATTTATTCTCATTATTATTTCAAATCAAATAACTGCAAGAGAGCAGCAACAAACATGATGAAATAAATTACTTTTGACTGTGATTCAAGAGGAAAAAAGCAATTGGAAATTATTGTTATTATGTGAATCGCCTTTTGCTTATTGCATCATACCAAACAAGACATATATGAAGAAGTAAAGAAGATAAAAAGATTAGTGCATGGAATAAGTCAGGAATCTCAAGTATAATTTTTACACATTTTTCTACTTGCATAATTGATTTCTCTCTTCTTCTTTCACTCCAAGTCTCGTAATATTATTATTCTGATAATCTATAACTAGACTTAGATATGTATATATAGTGTATGAAAAAAAAAAATTGAAACGTGCAGTGAGGGAGAATAAAAGTAAGTAATGTAGGATGATAGTGATCATCAGAACGCAGGCTTGATTCTTTATGAGCTGGCCCTTAAGATTCTCAGCCTAAGATATATAATTATATCCAGGGGCGTAGCTTTGCACTTGCTTAAAACTTAACTCTATTTTCTTTACTTAAACTTTAGTTTTATCCAAAGATTTCTACCTTACTGAACCAAATTCATCTGACCTCACCAAAATCTTACGGTTTGAGTTCAACTTATATGTTTATTTGCTTGAATCAACATCATTACATAACTAGCCAAGCAAAAAGAATTCAACAACACATTTTTCTTTCGATAAATTCACCAGAAACGACAGCATTATCCACAAAAGAAAAATCTTTTCATTTTTTTATACCTTTTTTTTTTCATTTTAAAGTCTTTAAGGCATAAAAATTGTAAATGCATAAAAAGAAAAGAAAGAACAGAGAGTAAAAAAAAGATATTCTTAACAAACAATGACAACAACAAGATTACGATTTATCTACATCGCGCGTTCTCTCTCACTCGTTTTTACTCACATCTTTTCTGACAATTGAACATCGTTGTTGTAAGTCCAATTCTTTAACTTATTTAGTACACACTCGTGCATATGATTACACTCTGTGGATGCCAATTGTAAAAAGTTAGAAATGAAGAAAATTGTGGCATTTCCTTTACAGGTATGCATTGTAAATTATTTACTATATAAGCGTAATTTACATGATATAAAGATAGTGGGATAGAACTTAATCTCACATCAAACATCATAAATCCCTGATCGAGTTAACGCCTTTAATAACACAATTCATTTATATAGAACAATATCGTTAACATAATCTATCTTGCATATCTGACTTCCCTTCCTTACTCATGTGGTCTCCTGATATTTATTCTATGCATAAATCAAGGCATTATCGACATTATCATAGAAATTATCTAAATGGACTTAATTAAATTTTCATATTATGAGGCATTTGATAAGAAGTTGCTTTATAGAGCATCAATGTTGTTTTGTGGGTGTTGGACTTGTTTTTACCAGAAACACGACTAGATTCTGATATTTACGTCAGTGTTGTCTAGTTGTGTTCAAAATTTTAACACCAAAAGTATCAATAAGTGAAGGCTTGTCAATTCGCAACTCTTTCAAGAATTTTTGACCACAACCGCTAATCTGCAACATGCACTACTCATATGAAAATCCTGTCAACACAAAACTTACTTTAGATCGACTTCAATTCCTACACCTGTGTCATTTTTCGACTCTTTTTTTCCTGACGGCACTTTTTCATATCTCAAAGAAAATACTGTAAGGAATTTTTGAGAATGATTTATACTCTGCACAACACAAAAAATGTGCACTTCACAGTTATTCTATTCCAGACATGTCATTTTGCATTCCAAAAATCTCCACTCTAATTAATTATTTGGATTGCTCAGGGAATTAATTCAATGTAGTTAAATTCCAGTATGCGAACTACGTGAGATATTTTTTGTTGTCATTTGGATTTCTATCAATAGGATTGACAAAGCATTCACATGAAAATAAAATCAGTGTGATATTCGTAATTCAAATCATGAAATATTTAACACATCAAATAAACATGAGAACATACCACGGCTATTTACTTATTTATTTTTAGTTGAAAGTTTAATCATGAACAGCTGTGGAGAAGTGTAAATACAATAAATGACATAATGAGGCGCGAATTCAATTATTTTCAGCTTATCACAAGTAAAGCGTGTGTCTAAAAATTACATGCATATATAACTCCAATTTCCCGTTATTTCGGCTTTCCTTTGACCATCCAGATAATGTGCTTGTATGATGAAATATATTGGATGAATAAGCGAAAAAGAACGATGTAGCCTCAACAAGCATCGAATTTCATTATGAATTGGTATTGACAGAAAACAGCATGCTATAAAAATAAATTCTTTTATTTGTCGCATGGATGTCACATAAGAAAACACTTCCTTTTGAAATAAACTTTTTTCAAACTGTAAAAGAATAAAATTTTATGCACTCGAAGAGAAATTCTGGATTGAACATGCATTACTGACATGATATTTAAATTTTAAAGACCTCAATAAAAAATTATAAAAATATTCTGAACATCTCAATTTTCAGGCTCTTGCATTTTGATAGCTTCCGCAACGGTAATGAGGTTTAAGTCAGTTTTAATAAATGAATCTTAATATTTTGTGTCACTTTGACTAGGTTTTGCATGCCATTTGATTTTGCAGTGTTGTAGTTTTGGTTTAACCCAATTATACAAGCTTTTGCTCAATCAATATTGGACGCAATAAGTCAATGGGTCTTTAAAAACAACTATTGATGCCCTTTTATTGGGACAGCAGCAGATTTTGTGGACCATAAGTGATCATGACACGTTTCAATTGACCCACGTGAAAGCCACAGAAGTAAGCAAAGTAAGCAATCAGACTAAATCAATCAACAGATGTATCAAAGTTTTTAAGCACAACAACTTGATAAAAAAGCATTTCATACATACAATAAGATGAGCCTACACACTTGTGTTTTTATTATTATTGAAAAACTGCATCCAATAAAAGAATAATCAAATAAACATACATGCCAAATTGCACAGTTAAAACAGCAACTCATAAATTTTATGATCAAGCGCCGAAAAGCAATTCTATAGAAATTTCTCTTTATGATAGTTCTATAATACTAAATATAATCCATTTAATTTAAATTGCATTGTAAAAGGCAATTAAACATAAAAAAAATTATTCAACGTCATATTAGACATAAATGCCTGCCCACCAAGTGACCACAGATTAAAATAGAAAGATTTATTTGTTAAAAGAAGAATTTTATGACTTTTATGGCCCACAATAAAATTAACATAATTAATTCTATGAAAAATTATCAAAGACTTTAACTGTGTTCTTTCCAGAAATTCGAAAGCATGCATGTGAATGTGGAATTTGACGCTATAATGAAAATTGTATCAACGATCCAGATGAAAGAGATCAAGTTGCACCAAAAAAAAAAAATAAGAATAAAAGAATTTACGGTCATCGATCAATCTTTCGCCACAAAATGTGGATACGGCAGCATATTTATACGCGTTACTTCTATAAGAATGAAAATATTTCATTTCATACACTTTTTTATCTTTATTCTGTTTTTCTCCTTTAAGCATGGATTTCATGTGAAATAATTATTAATGACCAACTGAAAACGGTTCTTTGGTTATTTAGCATCATCATTAATGTTTGGTTTGAAAGTCAAATTAAGTTTAAAAAAATTCACAAAGAAGCACTACGACCTCTCACTTTAAGATCAGACGCGCGCTTTTATCTTATGTCTTATATTTTTCAATTTTCTGAACGATAAAGAACATAATGAACGTCAAGCTTAAATATTATGCGATATCAAATTGAGTTCACTCTCCCACAGTCACTCGTCGCGCGAAAAAAAAAAAGAGTTGAAACAGCTTTACTTAATATTCACAAATGTAGCATTTAAAGCATGATATCATGCGCATAATTACGTAATCTCACTTTATTCCATAGAATATCGCATTCTGTGCTGCTGAAAAGTTCATTAAACTAGCAAACAAGCTTTTTCACTATCATTATTTGTTGGAATAATTTCCCAAAATATTTTATGTATTTTTCAGTATTTTTATTCATAAGAATTTCTAGCTATTTTCTTTTAGTAAGTTCTTGCAGAAATTAAAAAAATAAGGCAAATGGTTTGATGATTATTGAAACGCATTTTTTTGTTACGACAAGTTTTTCTCAAACAGTTTTAAAAAAATAAAATTCAAACTTGGCAAACTGCACAGAACTTGTTCTTTACTTCACAAAAATCTAGCTAGCAAAATTGCGATGAAAAGTCGCATCATAAATTTGTGAACAAAGGGAATATTTTAGCAAAGCTAAGCAAATCGCGAGCAGGAGAAATGAAAAGAATGTGCGAGAAAATTATTTCTTTCACTGTAATTAAACAACTTTATACCGCATCCATATGATTTGTTAAAGCAGAGGAATTAAATTTAAAGCAGCAGAGCGCAAAAATTGTTATTTTCTATACATGAAATTTATGAATTTTACTGAAGCAAGTTAATATCATAATATTTTATGGATTTAATAATTTATCACATTTTTTTGTGCCTTTACGCTGTAGATTATTATCTCACGCTGAGAGTATTTTGAATTGTTAGACAAAATAATTAAAAATACCTTTATTGAAAATAAAATGAAAAAAAAAAGGTTTTAAAACCCTTTTTATGTAAAGCACCAATGTGTCACCACAAGGTAAAAATTATCATATATATGAACGCCCGGATTGGCAAACATAAAATGTACATCTCATAAAAATGTCATTATTCTTTATCTTTGATGGGGAAACGCCACAAGCCTCAAAAAAAGGTAATAAAAATGATGTTTTGAACTCACCTGTAATCGCTCATTATATTTCTCATGCATTCTCTGCTTTCTTTCTAATTCATCTTTTCGTCTTAAAAGTCGCCTTATTTCAGCTGCGTCGTGATGGCTTTTAAGATCAGGCGACTTCATTAAATTATCATCCAATTCGGATGAGGAATTCTTCTGTTCATCATTAACAATATCAACATACTTCTTGTTGTTGTTGTTACTATTATTGTTGCTACTATTTTCTTCCTCATCACTAAAACTTTCTAGCAGAATTTCCGAATCACCACTCGCACTTCTAGTTCGATTTTGAACGATGCTCATATATTCAACTTTTCCGTTTGACGGGCTGATAATCTTCTTTAAAATTGGCTGTGGATTGCATTTGCACAGGAAATCAGTTCCAAAAAACATTAATTTTTGTAATCTTAGCGAATTCTGGAAAAATTAAGAAAAAAATAATTTGAAGATTTTTATGACAGTCGCATTAAAGAGATGATCAGTTTAAGTGGGAAGAGAAATTAATAAAAATAATAATTATTTAATCTTACCTGAGCAATTTCTATATTAATATCATTTTTACAGTAAATTGGATCTTGAGTGACTTTCTTTAATGGAGTAAATCCAGCCAATGTTATGTCTTCTAACAGACGTACCAACGTATTATCTACAAATGTTGATCGGAAAAGCATAAAAGAAACGTTATTAATGAAATTATAAAAAGTCAATGTATGATAAGGAAATTAACAGAATGACTACCGTTTTACCATATTTGCAGAATTAACAAGAATCGAGAAGAGATACTTAGCAAAAATTAAAATGCCACCTATATTCAAATCAGATGAAAGCCAATATCTGGCGCTAAACAATAACCAAGATTTATTCATTCAGAACCTATTTAGGTGAATGAAATTATGTCATCTATGGATCAATGACAATGAAAATGAAAGAATAATTGACAACTTGTGCTAATTATACAAGAGAAGCAACAAAAAAAAGTATATGAAACGGTCAAGCACATATCAATTTAAGCGGATTAATTGTAAAGCGAAAGACCTACAAAAACAAAAGAGATTGGGACTGATTGAGTTTATTTTATGTTCGTTCTTTTCATTTCTTTCATTTGTGGTCGAATCCCGCTCATTTTGGGACCTCATTACCATCGTCATCATCATTATCATTTTTTTTCCGCATCGCATCATTTAACTGTGAGCGCGCAAAACTTTTCTTTTTCACTTTAAACATTTTCTTGTTTTAAAATCGAACATAAAAAAGGTTTTTAAAAAAAATATACATTGTTGAAGTTAACTTTTTGGAATGAGGAAGTCTGTTTGTCCAATTATTATTGATATATATAATTTAATTTTTTTTTTTAAGTTTAATGTCCTGTCAAAAATTTAAAGTTTCAAGGATATCAAGATTTTCGAGAGCATGTATTCGCTTGAGTTTAACTTGTTTTTGAGCGAGATCCTGGCTCGTCCAAGAAGTTGATGAATGCGCCTAATCTACAGGCTAACTCAAAAACTCAGCATAGCTTCATTCATCTATGATTTTTTTTTTTATCTGATCTTTCCCCAATTCCCAGAGCTTTTACGTTCTTTTCTCTGTCGTTGTCGCTTCTTCTACTTTATTTTTTTTTTTGTCAATTCTTTCACATTCATTGTCATTAACATTGCTTTTAATATTTTAAAACGTATGTATATACTGGGGGTCCTCGATTTGAGTAGATTCTATTTGAGTAGATTCGATTTGAACAGAAATTTTTTTACCCACCAAAATATTCGATTTGAGTAGATTTCTTCCTGTTTTCTTCGATTTGAATTGTTTACAAAATAAATATTTTTGATAAAAACATTTCAGAAAATATTTTTAAAACATAAAATTTTCTGCAATAAGCGTGAACTTATCATATTGACCGAAAAATCAATACTAAAGTTACAAAATTAAAGTAAAAATTTAAAAAATCGATATAAAATTAACGGTTTTAAAAAGTTCAAATTCAAAAACCCTACAAATTGTTCGGTTAAATAACATTTGCAAGGTTCTCATATTTTTGTTTTGTTTAAAAAACATATTTTTTGTGAATTTCTGTTTAAAAACAATATGAATATGCGTTGAAATAAATTAAGTTATCTAAAACACATAGGTAAAGTTAAGAAACTAGGTAAAATGTGCAAAAAATTATAAAAATTTTCATTGTTTTGATACATTTTTTGGACTCTGGAACAAAACATGTGATTTTGTATTGATTCTTTGCCTCGATTTGAATAGATTCGATTTGAGTAGAAATTTTTTGGAACAAAACAACTACTCAAATCGAGGACCCCCAGTATACAATTTCAAATCTTACAAACGTAAAATCGCTTGCTAAAAGCATAATTTTATTTCAACGCTTTCGGAATGCTTCTTTCTTTTTTCTTAGATACACCTTTCTTCTTTTATTCTCCTACTTACAGTCCAATGTGTGCACAATAATAATTAGGACAAACAAATTAATTTCATCTTTTGTAATGCTACCAAAAAAAATTTTTGTTATTAATTTTCTTTAATCGAATACCAAAAAGTGTAAGAAAGAAAGCGACACAGCATGTTTAATGCATGCATTTGAACTGGGTACATTAATAAAGATCCCAAAAATAAGCTAATTACTGCAATTAAGTGAATTGTCATAAATTTGAATTAAATATCTCGCCCAACACTAATTACGAGTTCCTACAAATGCTAAACAAGAGCACGACTTATATCCAACGATAAATTGACAAATTATGAGACATGCACAATTTTACAGTTAGAATTCCCCGCCTTTTCAAATTCAATCATATGCATAAATAATTTTTCAATTTACAATCTTAATGCTCCTATATCATAGAAAGGCCCTGTATTGTATCATAACGTATGTGTCATAAGTTTAATTGAATTGTGTGAAAAGGAGGAGAAGAAAAGAAGTCAAACAGAATGCAAGTGCCATTATGATAAAATATTCTAATCCTCTCAGCATCCACATTATTCACGTCGCTTTTTATTCAATATTGCTGCAGCTATAAAAGTTCAAAAGAATGCAGTAGCATCAACAGCAAATTGCATTTATATGATCGTAATCATTTACATAAGTATTCAATAAATTCTCTGTTTTTCGCCTTTAAATCAGGTAGCACTGGAACTTAAACTTTGATTTTATTATGCGGCAATAATTTGCGTAAATTGAGAAAATTGATGTGAAATGTTAAGGAATACCGTTGGAATGTCTTTGGATTTTGCGGTGGATGAATAAATTCTGCGAAACACTTTATGCTTGGGTACGAATTATGCTGAATATTTTTGATAATGACCCTTAGGCAGCACATACGATTTATTTATTTAAGTCAGTTTACACAGTTGTGGATGGGATCAAAGTTTGAGAAACCCTTATTGAAATACATACGCTATCATAAATTGATTAATAAATTTTGATGTTATTAAGCCAGCTAATCTTCATTAGGTTCACAATAGACTAAAACTTCTCTGATACCTAATTTATATTTCGATACTCAAATTCCCACAAAAACGATGACTTTATCCCACAAAACATATCTTAAATTAACAGATCAAAATCGAAAATATTTATATCAAACAGCGAATTATTTCATTTGTCTGACTGTGAAATCTCTTTCATACATAATGAAACCATGAAAAATTCCGATCTAGTAATATGAAAATAGCGTAAAGGAGGAAGGAGAGCGAGAAATAACACCAGTAGCAATCTACAGGACAGTTTATATATATCTCGCAACATATTAAGTCCACAGTTGGAAATTTTTCATCGATCTATCAAAAAACATTTGCATTTTAATGGCATTTTAAAAGATGCTAAAGAATTTTATGGAACTTTTACGCATAATCATGTACAGACTGATGGTGAAAAGTATAATTAATATTTAGATTTATGAATGAATGTAATACACACCTTCATCTTTTCCAAGCACCAAATAATCTTTATTTGCATCAACCACAGTCTCAAGTAGCGTCATTAATGTAGCAAGTCCATTCCACGGATCGTGATTGCTCATAGCACTGTGTAGGGAGAAAAGAAACATGAAAACTCATTAATAAAACTTGTCCCTTTAAAAAGTAGGTCTTTCATGTCGTACTTACCTAATTTTGTAATCAGAATAAGGAGGCGGATTCCACACATTCTCATGATAAAACATCCAATCTGTCCAGACCTAAATTTAAAGCAATAAAATATGAATTAAAGTCATGACATAAAACTTATGTGAATTATGTGTGTGTTTTTTTTTAGTTCTCTCTTTTACGTCAAAAGGATTAAGTATGCTGAACAATTAGCAGAAATGAATTTTTAACCGTTCCCGCGTACCGACTTATAACTGTTCTACGCTATATGTTTGGTTAAAGTCTGTTTCACTCTCTACTGTGTTCTTTTATATTATTTTCGTTTACTCTTTTTCCATTGATTGCATTTCATTTCCATTTTATTGATTCTCATTTACGGTCGGCATAGAATTCTTTTCATTATTAGTTTTCTTGTGTCTCTTTTTTGAGGGACGTATAAACTGTGTGTATATACACATACAAGAGGATGTGCCATTTATTGTGATCTAAAGAACGTGAGCATTAGCAGATGCTACAACAATATCTTTTCTCTATGATCATCATATGAAAATTCCATTTTGCCATAAAGCTATAGACACACACAAAAGAGGAATCTACCGATGAGGAAAAACAAAGCACTTTTTAATTCTCTTCTTTAAGCTAATGACCACAATTCTTTTAGCATCATTATAATCATCGCTTTTTTTGTGCCAAAATAGTTGTATAAAAATTTTACTAGAAAATAGTTTTATTTCCCATCTAATCACGAATATAGAAAAAAATTCTTATTAGCTGATTTTTTGCTCAACGAGAAAACAATCTATTTGCACTTTTGTCAGCATACTCATGACACGAGCATAAAGATGTTTCAAACAATAGCTGACGATTTCCAGTAGAAAGTGTGTTACTTAAATAGTTCATGACCCTTCACAACACAACTTTGTTTTTGTGACTGGACGTAAGAATTTAAACTTGCGACAAAGACATGAGGTCACAAAAACTGTGCGACAGACTGCAACGTGCTGTGTGATTTACGGAAACTTTTGAAGTTCTTGGCAGTGAAATTTTCTTGCAGCACACGTTTGGGCACACGATTAACAGTGAATTAGAATTTTTTAATGTATTCGCAAATGTCGTCAATTGAGAATAATTTTTAAGCAGTTCTTAAAATTGATTTAAATTTTGTAATAAAAAGATACATTGAAGAACTTTGTAAAATGCGCGTCATTCGTACCTCTCTTGCAATTTCTATAAAGCACATTGAACCACCAGAAAATACAACAGAACCAAAATAGAATGGGGCAAGACCGTTTTTCGATTAAGTGTCAGATTTTGCTATTATTTCGTTTATATCTCTGTAACGAAAATACTTACAGTAAAACTAAACATACTGTTTTATAGAACTTTTTGATGCCTATCTTTTGGTATGTAACTTTTTATTGGAAGTACTATACTTAAGGCTGTAGAGCCTGAAAATAGGCAAAATCTGACACTGAATTTTTGGGAAGGGTATTTGAAATTTTACTAAAACTAGTCTATCTCGCTTAGTTTTACACCGATTTCGATAGTTTTTTCAGCAATAGTTAGTTTAAAACTACAGTTATCATTAAAAAGTAATAAAAATAAAATGGCGACTTAATAAGTTAATTTAATTAATATTTTTAACCTTATTTTCCTATATTTTACTATCAATTTTTAACTTACTTAACTTTTTTCTTGACACAAATATAGTTTTAGACCTTGGCTTTATGATAGAAGTCAAAAATTTTTGAAAAAAGTAGTATAATTAACTTTTTTTGGTCATTTTGTAAAATTGCCTTTAAATGGCAATTGAATAGATATTCTTTTAATTTTATGATGTAAAATGATAATTATACATCAAATATGCTTAGTTTTAGCAAAATATATCACAATATAATGTTATAGAACAAGAAAAAAGCAAAAACTTTAAAAACTTTAAACAAAAATTTTCAACCGTTTTTGAAAATTTAAATTTTTGACTTGATTAAAGAGTTGTAAAATAAACTTTTGGTTAAATTAACTAAATTAGAAGGCTTTATTGCAGTAAATTCTTGCAGGAAAGTTGTAATTTATCATTAATTAATGCTTTTTGAGGGACAATAATGAAAATTTCATTAAATTTATATGTAAAATCAATTTTGGTTAATTTAACTAATTTTGTGTATTAATTTGAAAATGTGTGTATGATAAATGAAACAAAATAAGATTCTCAACAACTTTTATGAACATATCAGCTCCTTTTACAGCTTCCTTCTTGGATAAAAATCACTTTGAATGTTTGATTTAGAAATTAAACTAACTTATAAAGTCGCCATTTTAAAATTATTGGGTTAAAAATTCAGTTTTTATATTTGGCTATAAGCCACTGAAAGAATTGTGACGATTGAATAACTAAACTCTGAGTGAATCAACTTTCAATATTTGTTCACTTTTTTCGCGGTCTTGCCCAATGAAAACCATAATATTTTTATTAACAATCATAAGTCAAAGACAAAAGAGATTGAAAAATACAGAAGATGAGATTCATGAAGGGAAAAGCACAGAATAATGAAGCTTTTCTGAATAATCTCCAAAGGCCTAATATAACTGTTTATAATTAACATGAATAATAATAATTCCACATCTTTTTCTCGTCTCTTTTCTCTCTTTCTGTGTTGCGATGTGTTTTTATGCTAACAACAATGAGACATCTACAAAAGGTTACATCACGAGTCAAAAGAAAGGAAAACAATGTTAAGTAGTTGACCGATGACAAAAAAAGAAGTACAAGCTACCAGTAGCTCACCATCGTCAAGCATTTCCTCTAATTGAGATGGTAATTTGACGAGAACAAAAATATGTGTATTATATTCGTGTATGGAAGTACAAACGCGCGTTGGTTGGCGCCAAACAATGATATAAGAGATAAAAAAAAATAATAATAAAGAAGACAGGCAGGTAGAATGAAGAAAAAAGTATTTTTAATCGAATGAAGTTACAGACAGATATTCAGTAAGAATCCCGAAGTCAATAAAACTGAAATCAATCTTAATCACACGTAACGCGAAATATAAATAAACTTTATAAAATTATTATATTTTTGTTCATTAAGCATTGCCGGTACTTGAATGTTTTTTTTTTCAATTCCGTATTTTTTTGTGTTTTAAGTAAATTTTATTTGAATCACAAATCGAGTTGTGGAATTTTAAGGAGTTTTTGTGCATATTTATTAGAATCCAATGTTTGATTATATGATTCTTAATTTTGTAAATTGCAATTTGCTTGACTCAGCTCAGACAACTAGAATCTCGATTTTTCTAACATAAAACTCTAAATTGTGTAGCTAAACGATATCCTGAAGTCACAAATGAAGTTGTTTGAAACTTTAATAGAGATCGTAACTTAAAATCGATAATCAGCATGTAAATGACTTAGAAATGCATCAAACAGCATCCCTGCGAGGAGATATACTAACTACATTAGAACGTTAACTTAATTACGGAAAAGAAATTTTAACTCGCATCTTCAGCAGGGTCAACAGTCTTTAAGTATAACAGCAGACATTTCAAGTCTTGTACAAATAAATTGTCGATATTAATTTTTATTAGAAATTTGATATCAATTCGACCGAACCCCCAACCGTTAATCATTACATATTTACAATTCTAAGTTCTTTAAATAACATTCGTCTTGTCGCATATATTGTTTGTAATAAATTATTATTATGATTATGATTCCATCCCAGTACGATAAACTTATAATAAGATTTTTTCAATTTGATCATTTGAGAATTTAATAAGGTATGAATACTTGTGGCGCTTAATAACTGTTTATCGTGTTCAAACATACAGCGATAAAGTTAAACATAGATTTTAATGGACAATAATTTATCATCTTGAATCTCCTCGCTTGCGGTAGTCGATCGTAGGTCATGCTGGCACAAATATGATACATTGATTCAAATATATGAGGAATGCTCATAAAAATCTATTTTGTTGCCGCAGACGAGATTGTTTTATGACAAATTATCGTGATGATGGATTAGATAACACATTAATATTTCATCATCATTGACGAGAAGTTATTACAACATACTGATCATGAAAATTCTTATCATAAGCATTACACGATTATTTAATAGCATGATCACATACTTAGCAAAAGATATTTTAAACCATGCGAGTAGAACATAATAATCAATATTTCACTGTAACCTATTCTGACATGTTGTTTTTAGTGCTCAATTTTGCTCAAGTAGCTGCTTAAGGAACATTTTTCCCGTGTGAATGTGGGTTAATTGATGTTAGGAATTTTTATTGGTTGTGCGAATACCTTAATGAATTATATTTTGACTAGATAGCTAAGGAATAGTTTTCTTTTAGAGGTTGGCTTCATCAACTCAACTTTATTAAGTATATTTTAAAGATTCCACAGAAGTAATTTCAAAGATATTATCGCAAAAGCTAATCTTTTTCCAATAAACTATCATTTAGACCTTAAAACTCCATTAAATCAACAAAGCCATTCCTCCTTGACAATTTCTCAATATTTCCTGCAAGAAATCATCAGCAAAATCCATAAAATATCAAGCTTATAACCCATTACACAACTTGCGCTTCTTCTATTAACCTTCATTGCATCTTTAACTTAGTATGAAAAAAGTAAGCAGTTTATTATTTTAAATCAAATGCACGGCATCAAATCATTTTAAATGTTCATTAAAATTTTAGTAGAAGAGAAGCAGAAAAAAGATGATTAAGTGCTCTTTAAAGCTCTGCCATATTATGAGAATCAATTTAATATCTTGATGCGCATTTGCAATGAACATCAAGTAGCAAAAAAAAAACAGCTAAAGATATGACACAGGAAGTATTCAGTTTAAATGAGAAGTCAGAGAGAGACGAGCACACACGATCGTATGAAGAAAAGAGTGTAATTAACAAGAAAAGCAACATTAAATCCAATCAATTAATAGAGATATGGAAATAAAATTCATTTCCTTACCTTGATAGCAGGCAGCAAAACTTTAGAATCTTCGTTCAACTTTAAGATCTTTTTCGATTCGTCCTTCGTTGTGATGTTCCTAAATTATACATGACATTGAGAACATTTTTTTTAAATGAGAATCAATTGAACAGGAAATGAGAAATTTTTCATCTTACGTCTTATCGACTTTTCTTTGATCCTCGCCACTTAATATCACAACAGCAGACGTTTTACTACCGCCATTCAGCGACTCTCGAAGCATCTCAATGAAACGCTCAACGATTATACCAAACATAAGTAATGCAACAATAATTGCACATTCTTGTACTTCTGGACGAGCCTGCATATCTGCACCTATAGATGAGTCTGAAAATAAATAAAATAAAATGAAGAGAACAATAAAAAATTTGCATATAATTAATCTGAAAGATAATAAATTAATCATTTCGAGAATGAATGAGAATAGAGTATTTTATGGTCTGAGCAGCTTATTCTTAAAGAAAAAGTCAGGGTAGAGTTCAATTTGTCTGATGTAAAGCGGTTAAAATGGATCTAATATGAATGATGCTTACTCAATCGACCTTGAAAATCATAACACCACAATGCAATTAGAGATTTTAGTCTCGAACTTGTCACTTTTCGAATCAAAGCCATTAAAAATGCCGCTAAAGACATCCTTAGAAGACATAAGATTGAAATATTAATTAATTTGTTCAGCGTAGTACAGTCATATTGCTGAAGAACAACATAAAACATCCCTTCTTCTAGGAATAAAGAATGAATCACTACAATAGAATTGACCATCTGACTCAGAACCATCAAAAATGTATTCAATCTCAATCATTTCTTCTGTTTAGTTCCGCAATAAATACAAAAGGTTCGCAAAGGTCGATGACATTTTTTTCCGCTTCTAGATATATGAAATGTAAGTTCGCATGTTTTGAAACATTCCAAAAATAAAAAGAGCGAATCAAGAATAATCATACACAAGAATTATAATCACTTTCGACATTCAGCATGTGGTACGGCACTTCTTTTCTTTCGTACACCCGAAGGTCGTTGCTGAGTAAAGCGTTAAAAATTGTGTATTTTTTTCTTTTTCCTTAATAATAAAATAACAACCTATCAAATCATGTCATAATATACAGCATAAAGTCTTATGTCTATGAGCCGTTTTGTTGATTTTTTAATTAATCATATTCCTCATCACCACCTCTCATGATATATTGTAATAATTTTCAAGCTCCCTTTTCATAAATTGAGATGAAATGCCAAGAATAATTACCGTGTTAAATTTTTACGGTGATGACCGGGAGTTCAAGAAAATCTTAATTTTATTGTTGCTCTTATACGCGAAATAATTTCTCTCTGAAATATTTTTTTTATTGCTCAAAATTAAGGAATTTTTTAATAATATTATGACGAGTTGAAATGATTGTCGATGATTGGAGGTTTGAGCGACATTCAAGGATGTTGAATTTTGAATTCAAATAATATTATCATTTATCAGCTTGAGTAAAGCAAAAGAAAATCAATTTTGATCGAATGACACAAGCTAAAGTTCTTCATCAATTTGATATTCAAGCATTTATTAAGATCATTGAAAGCAATGATTTGGCACCTTAAGTTTAACTGACAAACATTCGCAATACAAGATAATCATCATTTAACAAAAATAATTTACAAACTATAGAAGCACTAAAGTTGAAGCTACTCAGAGGACAAAGGGAACCACTTGATTCAAATCCGTCAAAATTCTGCTTAATATTATGTACACAACACAAAGGTAGAATTGTAAAGAATATCTTGATGATTTGCTTTCTTTTGTTAAATATCATGTTAAATTATTATGATCCATAAGAGTTTTATAACGAAAATAAATGTTTAGGTTATTTATACATATATACGAAAAATGGTGTATGTATAAGCAATGGAATAATAAATTATAATAAGAATCTTCAGAACAATTTTATATTTTGGTTCTTTCACCATTATTCGCACAACAAAACTCTCAGATTCTTCCCATTGTTATAGAAAAAGCACAAGAAGAAATTATTTTTTTCTCCTCTCTTTTTCGCCACAGTCAGTTGAGCGATCGATAACCTTGCCAAGGACGATAATTTATTTTGTTTGTAGTAATTTTTAACTAATGTTTTAGAGTTGATGTTCAAGTCGCGCTATTTTTTGTCCACATTTAGAATCAGTAATGTAAAGCTACATGAACTTGACTGATAACTTTTTTAAAGTTCTGAGGCCTTATGAAAGTTAACCACATAGGACCTCAGATCAGAAGATGCGCTTTATTCCTTTATTAAAGGTAACAATTAACTAGTTCTTTTTTATTGGTTGTATTCATCATGAGCAAACATCTACTTATTTCACTATCGAAACAGAGAAGGCAGTTTTAAGTTTATAAGATGGATAGATTATTGACTATACACCAAGATTCGCATATTTACGTCTTCTTTTTTATGAGATTTTAATAAAATTATAAAAAAAAATGGATTTTTGTAGATTTACTAAAGACGATGATGATGGTCATGATTGAAGCAAGTAGAAAATAAGACAATAAAAGTCGATTCAACAGACATCTTTCTGGATATATTGCAAAAACGAAGCACAGTAAGATTAAAATCAAGCAGGTAAAGTGAGAAGGGTCTGTTTCGATTAATCACGACAAATAACACTTGAAAGAATTTCATATACTTCCGTTTTTTTGCATGCATCATTCGTGAACGATAAAAACTTTAATTGAATTATAATGATGATTATTACGATGATTAATTTCACACGTTCAGCCTGTGCACGGAAACCTTTTTTTTATTTCACGATATTATGAAAATTCAAATAAAAAAAAAAAATACAAAAGAGTTCAATGCTTCTAAAGGAACGGGACTTTCTTATGCTGCTCTCGCAAAAAAATTTCATAAAAACCTTTTTTTATTATTATATATATATTCCCCTTCTGTGTAAATATAATTAATGATATTTTCCAATTATTCTAATCATTCGGCAATTTAAGATATGATGATAATCTTATAAACTGTTAATTAACCGCGAGAGATTTAAATTTAATTATTAGTGTTATGCTCAAGAATTTACAATAAATTAATCACATCTATTATCATCAACATATATCGTTGATTGAATGAGCAAAAAAGTAAGAAATATTTAAAGGAATAAATAAGGAACGCACGTAGTAATTCAATTAGTAATTTCTTGCATATATCATAAAGCCATAAGAAGCTCGTCACATTAATTTAATATCTCCATTACTAATTACTTGGCATTTTCATCATTCTTGTTGTTTCTCGTGACTTCATGATTAGATTGAGATTTTATTGGATATTCGATTGGATTCTCGTTAGAAATGATGACATTGGTTCAATTCTCGGTTGAACGGTTTTCAGTAATCAATTTCTATTTAACTCTTAAAGCTTCAAGGGTGTAAATCTCAAATTAAAATCCAATAAGCCACTAAAAAAATAAGTAGTCATAATTCAAGTACTTCCAATGAATCTCTTTTAATGCTATTCGATAAGATAAGGACAAGTCTACAGTCAAAACCGCAATCATTGCAATCAAAATATCAAAAGGCAGTGAAGGACTTAAAGACCAAACAAAAACTGCTCATTGTTTGTTTCCTTACATCTGTTCCTTCTCCACAAACCTCTCAAATGTCTTTCATTGACATGACCTTAAGAAAAAAAAAACTAGGAACTGTGTCAATGGGGATATTTCATTACCAAGAAAGACTCAATTAGTAATCATCAGCTTTTCATCGTCTCTGTTACTATTTTAAGAACTCTTGAATATCACTTTCAACGATACTTGCTAGATGCTTCAGACCAGATACACACAAAAAACGACGTCTAAGCTTATTTATTTTCTTCTCAAGAATATTCTTACAAAGTTTTTTTTTAACGGGACTCAGTTGAGTTAATTAATTAGAATTTTTAATGACTCACGGACAGTTCTTTTCTTTCTTTCTTTTTCGCCACACATTACAATTATCTCGACGGCGCACGAGATCTATCATGGAATGATATCATAATGGCATATCTTTTTGTGCAAAAAAAATATATAATATAGAGAAAGAGATAATAGTGATTGGGACATAATGTGTGAAATGAAAGTTCATACCGGTTCTTTGATTAAGTAAGTTAAAACAAGCTACAAGTTTTTCATTGAGTCATCATGAGAATATTTATGCATTTTGAATCAACAATTGTAAGTGAGATTTCCGTTAAGATGTTGTTTATAAGAAGCAGGCAGAATAGTCAACAGAACAGTTCGTTCAATAATAAAATGTTTTGACTTACCTTTCAATTCCGTAAAATTGAGTGCATTGCATTCAATTGCATACATGTTGAGAGAAATTAATTGAAGTAGACGATGTGAGTTGATAGGAATGGGTGATATATGAAGCAGTGCTCGAAATTCTCTCAACATTTGCGTTGCACATGTGTGAAAGGTTTCCATTCTGTAAAATTATCAATAAATCTTTACAAATTCTCATGTAATTGAATTTATCATCTTCGCCTACCCAATTTTCGTTATGAGCTTTCCTTGAACATGCAAAAATGATATTATAAAGCGTTTATTGAGCTCAGAGGGGTCCATTTGATCTAGCTCATCATCACTCGAGTCTGTATTTTTGCTAATCATCGAAACATCTAACGGTGCTGTTCTATGAACTCGACTACCACCTTCGGGATGTATCCATGTCTCTTTCCTCAAATTACCATCAAAACGGTGCTCTTTCTCTTTGAGTCTTAGACGAGTCTTCTCCTCACGCTTCCGTTGACTAAACTCATACTGTGATTAAACATATTGAATTTTAGTATTCATAAAAAAAGATGTGTGAATCTTGAGTCAAGAATTTTTATTGCATTTTTTAGACATAAATTCGTTTTTAATTGGAAAACTAGGAGAAATTTAAGGTATTTGGGAGTGTTTTTGAGCACTTAATTGGCGAAACTGTAGAGAATATTAAAGTTATTTGGGAATTTTGAGAAATTGTTGAGCTTGGTGAACAATTTTTGAGAATATTTGGAAAAATTCACACAAAAAAATTAAACATAACTTGGAAACAGGACAAATTGGTATCACATCATTTAATCGGATTCAGACTTAAACATGGAATAGACAACAAGCAATGGAACTAGATTACAAAGATGAAGATGTAATATAAATCGGATCTACATAAACGGAATCAGATTTAAATTCGGAACAATAATGGACCTTAATAAGGATAATTAGGAAGAAGACTTTGTAGGTTTTTAAAATGAAATGCAAATAAATTTTTGTCACGAGATCATAAAATATCCATTAAAAAACCGTTGATACTTAATCAGTAAGGAATTATAGCCTGAACAACTTACCAATGCCTTATACTGAGATAAGCATTAAACAAGTAACATTAAATTAATTTATATGAAACAATTTAAGTCTGCAGTATAATAAAAAATAAAGAAAATTCATCTTACCTTCTTGCGAATCTCATCAAAAAGTGCAACAAGACTTTCTTTAGCAGCTAAGAATGGATTTGATGACATCAGACTTCTCATATAAAAATACACAGCATCAATTTTTCTTTTCTGTTGATAGAATTTAATGTTCATCATTTAGAGAAAAACAAATAGCAAGAGAATTAATTAAAGAACTTACAGAATAAACAGCCAACAATGCAAGTTGATTAAAGGGTCGTCCATTTTTAGGCACAATTTGTTGAGCTTTTACATAATAATTTTTTGCACGTCCAAAGTTATTTGTTGTATTAATTTGTTCGCGATAACGTGCCAAATCGCCGAGAAAGAGAAAAATCTTTTGTGATGACACTAGTGCAAGACCAACATAACCTAAGCCACTTTTGAAATTAGCAGCATTGTCACCAATATAATCTTCAATTTGAAACTTATGACATGCTTCCAAGTGAATTAGCAGTGCCTCTAAATATTTCGTTCCAGTATCAACAATTTCAATTGCCTTTTCTTTATAAATGCCACGACTTTCATCATCACAATCTTGCATTTTCTTACGTAATAATTCAATTATCCTATAGAAGAGTAACTTCCAAAAATAATGTTCAACATGCTCTATTTGGCAGAATCTCATGTCGACTCGTAACAATTCTTCAAATATTAACTGAACACTTTCGCGCAATTCTTGAATGTGGGTCCATTCCTGAATCAAATCGGAATTATCAATAAGCTGATTTAATTTACAATCTAAAACATCGAGTTCGTCTATTAAACGTTTACTTTTAATTGATTTTTGATATTGTTCTGAGGATTTTTTTAGCCACACTGGCTTTGCTGCACTAAGGTCATTTTGGTGATCATTGAAATGTTCATTTACGTCAGGCACTAGAAATTCTCGAGGACGACTTTGTGATTGTTTAACAACTATTGGCTTCGATGGATTATTAGGATCAAAAAGGACTCTCTGATCACCTTGATTATTGTTGTGAATATTATTATTGTTAGAACTCTTATTCAGCTCAACGGATGTCTCAAATTGTTTTGTTAATTCGGCAATCTTTTGATCTGTTTTACTGCTCATGTGTTGCGCTTCATCTGCACGACGCCAAGATATTGCTTCATCCTGTAAATTACTCGATGATCCCTGACGTGACCAATTTGTTGTACCATATCGTTCTGCACTATTCTCACGACTCGAATGATAATTATCACTTCCTCTTCGATTCTGATAACGTCTACCGTGATTTTGTCTTCGATCTAAGCTATTATCACGACTATTATATCCATAAGAACGTTCCATACTATTTTCTCTACTGTTATATGAGGATTGACTATTTTTACGTTGTCGATTATTTCCAGGTTTTGGGAAAGGCATTTTAAAAACATTTTGAAAATTATTATCATTCGGATTGTAGCCACCGCTTCGTTCAGCACTGCCATTACTCGATGCGCTAAAATTAGTTTTAAAATTGTGAATGAAATTCTTTTTATAATACATTGTCTGCTGTTTTTAATCAACAAAAAAAAAAAATAAATGTAAGGTCGAGGTCGTAAATCGCATATAAACACAATGAATTAAAAATATAAATCCTAGGATTAAATTGAGCGTCTTACTTAATTCCTTTCTTCATTCTTTTCGTAAGCATGAGAAGCAATAAAAATTTTAAAAAAAATTTGTCCAGAAATTGTTACAAATCATTCAATAATAAAAATTACCTTCGATTACGACGTCTTCGATGTCTGTGACGGTTATTGTCATCATATTTGTGATCCCTCGATGATGCATTATTGACATCGGGAGGAAGTGAAAGAGAATTGGCCATAACGTCTTCACTCCAATCGAATGAGCTTTGACCTTCTTTATCCGTTTTGCGAATTACGTCTTCATAATGCTGCTGCTGCTGCTGTTGTTGCTGTTTTTCATTTGGTGACTTCCATTCATTTTTCGGTGTATAATGTTGTTTTTGTGGCTGCTGTCTAGGTGGAGTTATTGAACGTGATCGGTGATGGTTGTTGCTATTATTGCCCCTGTCATTTCCTCTGTCATTATTATAATGGTTATAATTTGAATTTTGATTATTATATTTTGATTGATAATTATTATTTTGAAAATTCTGTGGTCGATGTTGTTGATCGTAGCGATTACGATTCCCAAAAGGCAGTGTTGATGAGTATCCTGAAGATTGTTGTGCAAATTCAAATAAAGGCTTGTCGGCAAGTTCCTCAGGCAGTCCGCAATCTTTTAAAAATTTCCTCTTAAGTCTTGGCGGTAATGTATCAATGTTCAAAGGAAGATTCTTAAATCCAGCATTATTAATTCGCGGTATTGATGGTGGTTTATTACGATGTTCATAACTTTGTTGGTTCATTCCAACTTTTTGATCATTTCCACGATTTCTATCATAATTATTCTTATCTGGATCTTGATTATAAGAGAAATTACTATTACTGTTTGACATTATTCTAGGTTCCGATCCTTGTCTAGACTCGTAACGCTTTGATGAATCAGATTTACTTCCTTGAATTTGCTGTTGTTGTTGTTGTTGCTGTTTTGCCTGATAATAGTTTTGCTCCGGTTTTTTTGATTTTTTGTTATAATAATCGTCATTACGATCTCGTTCTGAATACATATCATCGTCATGCTAAAGTAAAAAGTAATGTAATTAAAATATAGTGCGATTAAACATATGAAAATTGGAAAAATAAAATAACTTACAGATCGACGATTGAATGAAGGTTTTTGATATTTATTGCTGTTATTTCGCGATCCATAACTATCCATTTTGTGGTGATTTATGCGAGCAAGCTTGTAATGCTCTCAATTTGTTTATATTTTATGCGCTTGATGAGTTAACGTGATAACAAATAAGATTTATTTTTCAATGATTTTACTCCTTTCCTTTCATTTATATTATGATATCGTTACTATCAACGAGTAAATGGCTATACTTAAAATCTATTGTAATTAAATTTAAACCATTTAATAAGGTAGAAATTATATAAAACTGCAATAGAAATTTTAATTTTTTTAATTTTTTTTCTTTTACCAAATTTTTGCTATTTAAAAATAAAATGACTGTTATTCTATGTTGCTATTTTAGTACTCAGAACTTCCATGCAGTGTTCAAGTGCATGCACACCTACGAAATGCTGTTGTCGACATTTGAGTTGTTTTTGCTTAACATTTGTAAAGCTTTGAAATTCAAATTCTCAAGAGACGTTTTGTTTTTCAAAATCATAAAACTTATTGACTTTATAAAATTGAAAAATTCAATAGTTGCTTAAAGCTTTCATTAGTTCATAAAAACATTCATTAATTTTGAAAAACTATTTGCAAAGATACAAAAAACTTCAAAACCATACAACAGGCAACTATTTGCAAAGATACAAAAAACTAGTGACCGATAGAAAAATAATTGTTTAACCTTCAAGTCATATTTAAGAAATCAATTGATTTAATTAAGTCACTGTGAAGTGTGGAAGTTCATGCGCATCAATCGTAGTTTAGAAACGGTTTTGTTTTGTCGAAAACAGCGCAGAAAAAGTGTATAAAATAAATGGCAAGCAACAGAAATAATCAGAAAAATTTGCGTGAAGTTTACGATTTATTGGATAAGCTAGTGAAGAAATTCTGCCATGATAGACATAAGGAAGTATTAAAGAAAGTCACAACAGGAATAGTGGATTCACAACATGTATTTTTCTCAAATAATCAACAAGATGAATCATTAATATTGGGAAAAGTCAAAAACCATCTCGCAAATAAGTCACAAAGTAGTGTTACGATTTTCTTAAAGCAGCATGAAGAGCTCTCTACATTAACAGATCCAAAATTCCGTTCATCAATGCTTACGTTCCTGTTGTGTCTCTCCGATATGGAAACTAAATTGCCAAATACAATTGATTCAAGAGAATCTGGAAGTTCCTTTACACTTCCCGTTAGAAGTATTCAAAATAGCGCTAGCATGGAGCATATCTATCGTAATATTACAATAAGAGTATGTATCTCAATTAACCCAATTAATGCCGTACTTAATTCTTCTTTGTTTTCTATTCTTTTATTAGAATGCTTCAATGAACCCGATTAATACGGAAAGTAATTTGAAGCTAGTCAATTTCCGTAGAAAACTTCCATCATCAACATCAACAGATAGCGTTTTGGATGGTCAAACACCTGATTCTGAAACATCCTACAACTATTCACAAAGTGAAGAAATCGTCCAGGAAGCAATTTATGCGCTGACTGGAAAATCCGGTAAGTATCTCAAAAAGGATGTTACAGGCGATTTTAAACTGGATATAAAGTCGAGGAATCTCAATGCACAAGAAGCTGTGTCACTCATGAGATTAGCAGAAACTGGACGACTACATAATGAAATCCACAAATATACAGATCCAAACAGTGAATTTTTCCTTTGTGGACTTTTTGGGCAAGGCTTAATTGCACAGATTCAAATTGAACTAACACAGTTTTATGGATTAATCGCACATCTACAAGATAACGTATGTATAGACTCCATAAAAAACTTTAAAGTATATTTTTTAACGATCCCGTTTTCTTTGTAGCTTAACAATCAACGCGCTCGTTCATTCACTGAAAATAATGACTCATTAACGCTTTTAAAACTTATATCGTACATATCGGAACCTCAAAAACGCTTAAAGATCATCAGTGAACTTCTGCAGCAATGTAAAAACTTAAAAGGTGGTCAACTTGCTACTACACTGCATTCACAAATCTCAACAGGAAATTCTTCATCAAGTGGTATTGTTAAAAGCTTCCTTCGAGCAACTTGCCGTCCATTACAAACAATGCTTAGCTACTGGCTTCTTGATGGTGAAATTAAGGATCCACACAATGAATTTTTCATCGAAGAAATCAAGGAAGTCAGTTCAGATCGATTATGGCATCATAAATATCGCATTGTAAACTCGAGAGTGCCAAGCTTTATATCAAAGCATTTAGCACATAATATTCTTGTGTCTGGAAAAAGTATAAATTTCTTACGGGAAATATGCGAGGATAAAACTCCGATTAAAGGACGTGAAGAATTGCGACTTGCGTTCGAAAATAACATCGATGATCTCTTTCGTGAAGGATGTGACTCGAAACTTCATGATATGATAGACAGTGTCTACTTAAATACATCCCAAAAAGTTCTTGAAATTGCAATGGGTCAGTACAATTTGATGGAACATCTTCACTCGATGCGTAAATATTTGTTGCTTGGTCAAGGAGATTTTATTGGATTATTAATGGAAAATTTAAAGGACGAATTAGATCGTCCTGCAAAAGATCTCTATCAACATGCTCTCTTCTCAATTGTTTCAACATCCATTCGTGCCACATCTCAATTTGATGAAAGTGAATTGCTTCAGCATTTGGATGTAAGATTAATAAGCTCAGTAAGATTAATAGGATTAATGGTTTTTTTTTCTCAGGTTAAACTGAATCATCCAATTGATGGTGATAAAGGGTGGGATATATTCACATTACAGTACACAGTTCATGGACCTCTTGCCACTATCCTTGAGCCTAATATGGCTAAATATCAAGAGCTCTTTAAGCCACTTTTTAAAGCCAAACACGTTGAATTTGTATTAAATAATGTGTGGAAGGAGCAAATGCTAAACTCAAAGACATTAAAGAATCTCAAAAAGACACTAAATCCTGTCACATACCGCTTACATTTATATACCTCCGAAATGATTCATTTTGTTAATCAGGTAATTGTTATTGAACGGTTTTCAAATTGACTGTTGTATAGTTTTAGAGCACTTTCAAATGTCATAATTCGGTTAAAAATTATATTATCTTTTCAGATGCAATACTATATTCTTTTTGAAGTTATCGAGTGTTCCTGGACACATTTTATAAAACGTGTACAAAATGCAAAAGCTCTCGACGATATTCTTTCAGCACATGAAGATTTCCTTAATGAAGTACGAATAGGAGCTTTTCTAGATAATGAGACAAAAACTACACTTTATTTGCACTTGGATATCATCTACGATTCTATAATGAAGCTTGAGGAATGGCAAAAAACGTTTTATGAGATTGCTTATAAGGAGGCAGATGCTCGACAAAAGTATGAACAACGAATTAGCAACAGTGAGAAAACAGGAACATATGGAGTCACGGCAGAAATGCGATTAGAAAGAGATGAGGAACAAAAGATTTTTGAACAGCTAATTAGTACCTTTAAAAAGTCATTGGACACTCATGGACAAACTTATGAGAAATATGTCAATGAATTTCTACTCAAGCTGACATCGTCAAAGGATCAAAACTTGCAGTTATTCGGTACACGATTGGATTTTAATGAATATTATAAGAAACGTGATCAACGGTTGAGGCAACCACTAACTTATGAACACATGCGTTTGTCTGGTAAGCCTTAAACTATGATTGAATTATCAATCTATTACTTAATGGGTTTTTTTACAACTAGGAATGGGATTTTCTGGAATATTTTCACGTTCAAATTTATCTAACACACCGATGCGCTTAGGAAATCATTTGGGTCATTGACAGGACTACGAAATATATCCCGAAATAACATCCCAGGATCAAGAAGATGATCAAACTTGTACTAATTCCATTAATATGAAATTTATGCCACTTGATTGTTGCACCTTTTTATGAATAAACAATTTGTTTTTTAATTTGATGCTTATTAGAATCCGTAGATTAATTTATTTCCTATGAACTAAATTGTAATTAATTCTACTTATTGTTTCATCATTTGCTGTGCTTTTTGATTGGCTGCTAATAAATTTTCATTGCTAATCATTTGGAATTCTTGAAATCTAGTGCTTATTCTTTGATTCATTCGCAGGAACTTCTCCATGCAATTCATTGCACAACGATCTTCTGTGTCCTTAACATTTCGTGTTGAAAAGTCAAAAATGCAGTCATTGAAGCAAGTTTCTGATAATTTGTTGTAACTTAGTAAAAAGTCTTGAAACTACAAGAAAATCGTTTTAATTGTGGATATTTCGAGTGTTATACGGTAGATATGGACTTACTGATTTGATTTGATCCTTATCAAGCTGATCCAGTGATACTTGAGACATGATTTAATTAAATTTACTTAAAAATTGATGTCAAATATTTCAGCAAGTTTTGAGTGGAACCTTAAAAGTTTGAAATTTTGAACACCGTTATTTTTAATTAAATTCTAGAACAGCTGGGAATGACAAAATGAAAACCCAGAAATAAAATCACTAATATAATCCCTGAAGTAATATTATTAACATTTTAATGAATATTGAGTGCGATAAAACAAAAATTAAAAAATAAAAAATAACGGAATTAAAAATGTTTAAATTTCTACTGAATTTTCATACTTTAGTGCCCTCTTGCACAATTCAGTAAATCATATTTCATGCCTTTTGACTGACTGGCTACCCGTTTCTCACAAAGCTGGAAGAACTTGGAGATTTCTTATTTTTTGCATTAATTTGCTGCTATATGATAATGTGAACGATGGCATTTTTGCTGTTAAAATTCCTTAAAATAACGTTGAAGTTTTAAGTCCAACACATTATTGATATTGGATTAGCCAATGAATTTAAATATCATAAGACCGTTAAATTTTGAATCTTAAAAAACCGTTACATGAAAATTTTATTTTGAATTCGATTATTTGTTTTGTAGCTTGAATGTTATTTTTATTTTTCTGGATCTTGGTTTTCAGACATGAATAAATTTCTATTGAAATTTGGTCCTTTGTTTAAGAAATGACAAAAATTCTACTAGATTTTAGTTTTTAATTCTAGACTACTTGTATCCGATTGAATCTACGCAAGGAAAATGCGCTTATTTCATCCGTTAACATCTATATCGGTGACTCATATACTAGTCTGGTTAGTATTGGTGCGAAGTCTTGAGAAAAAAGAGTTTTTTAATAATATAATTTAGCTAACAGTGTTTAGATTATTAAAAATGAAAGTATGTCTCTATTAACAATACAAAGGAGTCCATCAAATTCAAATTCGATATCTAGTTCCAGTGTAAGTATAATTGAAAGTTTTAAAAATCATTTGCATCAAAAAAAAAAATTCAAAACAAAAAAAAAATTGTGTATTCTCCATTAATTTGTTTTGGGAAAGTTCTATTATTCATTTCATTTGTTCTATGACTATAATGTGACAAAGTAGCTGTTCCTTAAATGAATGCAATTACACAGTTAAATAGCATAGTGATGAAAAATATTGCGAAATTTTTCAATTTGCTTAAAAGTTTAAGACGACGACAAAAGAGAAGAAAAAGACGTTTTGTGCAAAAAAGTCCTCGTGTTTGATCGATTGAGGGCTGTGAGCGCCTTTAAGGAAGCAGGAATCAGTATTTAAATACATGATTCGTAAGAAAAATAATTACATCCTTTGTTCAATCAATTTAATATGAAGAAATTATTAGAATTTTAATCATCTTGAATGTTCAAATTAAATTAAAGTTTCATGTATAAACAACAGTCAATGAACCTTTATGCCTAATTCTGGTTAATTTGTTGGAAATACATCAAACGTTAAAACATTTGTAAAGGCTTCATTAGAAATCACTGTTCAAGCTGTTGTAAGGTTCTGCTGTAAATTTTCATTCAACCCCAAGCTAGCTCACATTGTCTGGTTGCTCAAAAAGTTTATTTGAGAGCCTCTAGCGCACGACCGACTGAACAAAGTGTATCATTAGACACCCTTCTGTAAACAAGTTTTAACAAAAATGTGCAAAAAAAGTCGAGATTCAAAGAGCATAGAGGAGGAAAGAAATAAACGGATGGATAGAATAAAGAATAATTGAAAGATAATAGTAGTGAAACTAGCAAAAAAAAAACATAATAATAATTCAATTGCAATTTTTTTATCATTTATTGTGTTGCTTATAAGAACGAAACATTTCTCATATTTCCTACGAAAAGACACGCTTTATTGACTCACAATGAGGAGGTTTGGGTTGGAAACGTGTAATAAATTCCTTATCTATAATAAATCGAATAAATAAGAACATGAAAAAATAATATTATTAACAAAAAAATCGAAGATATTCAATTTCAATCGATAAGACGGAACAAAAATTAATTTATATTTTACTCGCTTTAATCACACAATTTTGTCAATTTTGTAAACAAAACGAAAAACACAGACGATAAGAAGAAATTAAAAAACACTATAATCATAAAGTATTAAATACTATTATTCCACGAATAATCAGTCATTGTGATTCCTCTATAGTCGTCATTATTCATAAGAATCCACTTTACGATTCATGATTCATACTTAAGACAGCGAAAACATTCAAGTGATTTAATCTATGTGACCAAAAATGGTCCAGAAAAAAGGTTTTTAATTCTTTCTCTCAAGTGAATATTTAGATCAAGGTTGTGAATATGTAAAAAAATTACAACGACAAGAGAGAGAGGTCAAGGAACGAATAGAAAAAAGAAGGGTTTTTTTTTTGAATTTCACTAAAAGGAAGAACGAAGCATCTTCTCGTGAAGTCATCACTCGAATTTATTTTTGTACAAAAAAAATTTGATATCTACGTATTTAAACTATTGGCAAGTTCAAATGAAAATGTGACACTTCGGGAAAAAAAAATTTAAGCATCAATATAATCATATGCATGCAAATTAACTGACAAGTGATAGGAAATATTGTTTTGTGTCAACAATTCATGGTCTAAAAATTTTGATTTCGTTTTGTCAAACTTTTGAGTCCATTTTGATGATTGCGATTGTTTAAAATCTAATATGAACATTAGTAACGTTTGCTTGCTTCAAAATGTCTTTAAGAATTCATTTGCATAAATTATGCTCTGTGATGTGTTGAATTCGAATGACTCGACAAGGCAAAACATTTCAAGCTGGTATTGTACATGAGAAAAAGAACAGTATTAAAATTAGATTGTGACATTCAAATTGTTTCTTTCTGGCATGGATTAATTTAAAATGTCACACTGATTCTGTTGAATAATTACCAGAGAATCGAACATTATTGGTTTTATAAAAAAAAAGAAATAAGGTGAAGTTAAATGAATAATTACAGCATTTTAGGAATATTAATTTGCCTTACAATTTTAGAACACTGTAGTTCATTAATTCAGCAGTTTTGAGTGTTTGAGAATCTTAAAATCGAAATTCAAAATAATGTTCGCAATAATAGTCAATATGCGGATCCTCATTTGCATTCTATCTCTAGAATTGACCCCAATTCAATTAAAATTGTCATCTTCAAATCACTTCTAATTCAGGAAATAAATCCCTTAAGTGAAAATGTAAATACGAATGTCTCAATTTGGAAAATTTTCAAAAATAATTTTGTAGGGATTACTTTTTAAGATCGGAAGGAGCTTGAACTTTAAGTTTATTTACGTATGAAAATATTGACAATGACACAAAAAATAGTTCAATTGAGTACACAACTTTTAAGTAATCGAAAGTTTGTTCTGATTAGAACTTCCATTAGCAATGATACTTGATAGTGTTTACAAACATTGAGTAAACATGCTTTATGAAGGAAATTCTTCCGAAAACTGATATCGATTAGTAATAAAAATATCATTTTACTTCCAAGAACCTATAAAATCGATTTTTAACCTCAATCTATGTCAAAGCACTCACTAATATTTTTCCAAACCTCGTGAAATTCTAATAAAGACCTGAAAACTTCCATTTATCTATCAAATATTTATTTCAATTCGTGACATTATTCCAATACAATCGATCACAATTCGATGAAAAATAAATTCTAGAATTGAGTGTGAAAACGCCTCGATTTTCAATCAAACTTCCCGATATATCCATAATGTGTACTAAAGATACATCATCATTAATGCTAAATACTATCCATATGTTTAACGTGTGAAAAGAGCGAATAAAAAAATACAAAAAAAAATTTCTTCTTTTTTCTCATACGAGTCTCAGAAGAAGAAGTCACCGTCAGAAAATCAAGAAATACTCGAAAAGAAGAAGAAGGAAAAAAGAAAACAGAAAATAAATGAAAAAGAAAAAAAAAGTTTGTCAGTTTTGAGCGCTGAGCTCTCAGTTTGTTTTTAGCTCTTGACTCACAAAGACGTCGGATTTTTTTTCGCCCTTTTTCGTATGTTTCGCGTAAAGCTCTCATCGAAGTAGAAAAAAAAGTCAAATCTCACATTTTTTTATATTTCTTTCCTTCATTTCTCTACATATACACTATATATCTTTTCTTTAAAAACGCTCGTCTAAGTTGCAGTGTGTCTATGATTAACGACAAAATGATTGCAACTGTGCAATTTTTTGTTGGTGAAGTGAATGTGCCAACGGCTAGATAAGCATAGTAGAAAACTTTAATTAAAATCTGGTATGGGTATAGAAATAAAATAAAAATAAAAGTGAGGAAAGATAGAAGAGCAATATAAAAAAGAAAAATGAAAGTTCAAAAGCATGGCAATGTGCACTATAAAAAATGCTACAAAATAATATATTAAATGAAAATTATAAACGCAATAGTGATTAGAATTTGCTAAAGAAAGTTGAATAGAAAAGGAAAAGTTTTTCTTCTCTAATGATGATCAAAATGGAAATGATAATGTTAAACTATCAATAAAATGTAAAATGCTATTCAGTAGCTAAACAAGATTGAGATTGAATTGAACGAGATAGTTATAAGAACGTAATTGTATTAATCTGTGAGACATATTGTCATTACGCAGTGAATATGAATGCATAATTGTCTTAATTCAGTGATATATCGTGAAACTTATTCGGCCTACACTTGTGGAATCATTCACATTGGCGAGAATGAACTTTTGGGGGCCTAATGTTGTGAACAGTATTGAGCTACAGAAATTTGCACTTGAAATAAATCCTACATTATTACATTCGCAAATAGTCAAGACATAATACACAAAAAAAATGAGTACAAATTAAGCGTTGAAACAACGAAGTTAATAATTTATTAATCGCACAAAAATAAAGAATTGAAATTGTATTTCGGTGAAGGCAAAAAGAGTTTTTAAAAGAGCCATATTTTATGGTGTGAATTATTGTTGATGAAAACCTCTCAAAACGAGAGATGATGATAAAGTAAAAACCGAAAGAAAGAAAGAAGAAAATTATGAATTGTGTGCCTTAAAGAGGATAATATAATTAAAGTGAATTAAACTTAATATTTATCATATATGAACTCATTTAATATAAATAATAAGACGAGAATAAATTGAGACAAATGCTATACATTTTACCGCCTCCAACTAATCCCTCACCACCGTCCGTTTGGGATTTAATAATTAACTTTCATCAGAAAGGATGTCAGCAGACGGTAACAGAGACTTCATCAAAATCTATAAGATTTGACAAAGGTCATAATGGAATTAAGAGGATTCGTCATCAAAGTTGGTGTAAATCATCGGAATCTTCGTCAACGTATCAATCTCATGTAAGATAATGAAGAAAAGAAAAAAAGTCCATTCTGTTGTTGACCTCAAAATTGTTATTATATACATATATGATCAATTTCACTTTCTCGCAAAAACCAGACATCACAACGTATATTGAAAAGTATCTTTCAATTTTTCCATCTAAAACAAGCATTATTTCCCGTATTTCAAAGATTATTGTCGTCGTAATCTTTTCTTTACATATAACAGAGAAGTTTAAATTGTTGTTACGGGAAATGAAAAGACTTTTTCTTCTTTTTTCATACGTTTAACTTAAAGGCATTAACATATAAGCTCATTTCTGTTGCATTAAATGCGCTTTTCTGTGGTTCACTGACTTTCATGGAGCACCAAAAAAAAATTTATGTTTATTAAAAAACTTCGAGATTTAATGTTCTGAGGGAAGTTGAACGCTGTGAACTTCCTCTGTGCCATTTTTTGGAAGTAAACTCTTTTATTTTCACATCGGATATCAATTGAATTAAGAAGAATTTTATGAAAAATTCTTAAATATGAGAAACACGTGTTCTTGTCAAACATTTAAATAAAACCGTTAAAGTCTATTCTAAAAATGTCTATTACCTAACATCAAATGATTTATTGATCTTTGAATAGCCAAAAATATCAGATTGTTAAAATATCGCTTTAAAACTACGATTTGATCTTAAAATATTGATTGACTTTTGTTCATTTTCTTATTGAACCGCGCGAAATAATAAAAGAAGACTACAAAATTTATAAATAGTTTCCTCTTTTTTCATTTCTTCCTTCTTCTTCTGCTTGTTCTCATGAAAAATTGCGCAAAATAAAACTTACATAGATGAGAAAAGAAATGAACGAAAATTCCCGTCGTAGATTTATTTTTCCATACGTAATTTTTCTTTTTTGGATGAAAACTCCGAATTTCTAAGATTATTTGGAAATGACTATCGTCAAGTTGAGCTTAACTTAAAAACTTTTGCCACACGAGCTTGAGAACCACTGCTATAAATTCTTAAATGTTTTACAAGTTCATTCTTCGTTTTCAAAATCGTTCATGGAAAGTTAATCAGACATTGAAAAACGAAATAAAATTTTTTTAAAAGACTGAAATATTTTAAGGTCATAAAGTTAGTAATCCAACATGAAAAGAGTTTTATTTTTTGTGAAATTTAATTTTCCATTTTAAACAAATCTTTTATCATTCACGGTTGAAAGGCAAAAAAGTCACGATCATTAAAATATGCAAAAAAATAAATCTACGATAATTAATATTTGTTATTTTAACTGATGTAAACACATTCCTTGCGAAAAAATAATAAAATTCAATTGAAAGATAATCAATCAAATAAATTTTCCTCTGGTAGAAGTATAATAATGCATGTTAGTGAAACGTGTGCGAATCTTTCCTGGATAGTATTAATAAAACAAATAAAGGAGTTATTGTTTACACGTTAGAATCGAGCGAGAGCATTGTGATTCCATAAAAATTTTACACTTTAAGTTGTTTTAAAGGAAATCATAAAATTTTCTGCAAATTGGCTCAACAGCTTTAATGAATCTCATTCCGCATGAAACCTTGCTAATTCCAAATATTTTTTGCACATAGCTGCTTAACTATTTAAGGAAACTGAATGATCTTTCAAAGAATTCATTAAAAAGTCGTATAAATTGTGTGAATTAAGCCTTCCAATGTCTCAAATTTCATAGTGCAGAGGTTTCATTTATAATGAACTGATTTGATAAGAGCTAGCAGGAAATGATTGATGCTGTTTTTTAGACGCTTATCTGGGAAAAATGTGATTGAAAACAGACGTGCTGAGCGAAGCAATCTGTGAATAAGTTTCAAGTCATAATAGTTGAACCTTGGATGAGCCAGATCTAATGAAGTAGACATGAAATTATACAAATCGTTGAGACAGTTTGTACAATTTATGCTGAATTTCTCTTCTTCAGGCCACCTGAAATGTCAGGAAATCACGCAAGAACTTTTTCATACGTAACAGCTCATATCATATACAAGATAAATATTATATTCAACGTATTCTCTTGTCACAATATTTTTGTATGTACACTCCGTCAAGCATTTTCTTCAGTTTCTCGAAGCAAACAAATTTTCAATGTGAAATTTTATGTTTGCACGTATTTTTTGGCATATATATGCAAAGAAGAAATTTCTCATTTACCATATAAGGTATTCGATGATCATTTAAATTGTAATGTCCAAAAAAGAAGTATAAAAAGGTCCTGAATTGATTGATAAGACAAAAAGAAGAAATTTTGTTTCTTCTTCTATGCCAACCTCACAACGTTGCCCAAAATGAGAATCGAAATTTTTTAAAATTACAATGAAATAAAAAGCACCCATAATAGAGGTCAGCAAAATGTGTATGCTTGATACTTAAATTCAATGTAGAATGCTGAAGCTTACCGAGAGCAAAGAGATTGTACGAATAAAATGCACACTAAATTAGGCCCATGTTGGATATTTTTAACATTAAGGTCAGCTTTATACTTGTCTTTATGTCTTGTATGTGTGCCTTCAACCTCTTTCGGTTTCTCTCTTACTCACATATTCTTTTTATTTTTTTGCTTTAATCAATTTCGAAGGCAAATGCGGCCAACATTGATTGACATGCTTTGGAATTGACTCAAAAAAAAATTACTCAAATTTGAGCTGAAATGAAACGAATTGTGATCGTAAGATGTTATGAAATCGCATTTGTTAAGGTGTGTGATTAGGCTTGTGATCCTGGAGAAAGACAACAATTTATCGTAGTAGGCAACAAGTAAATACTTGAACTTTTTCACATTTTTTTTTTGAATTGTTGAAAGTGAACTAAAGTTAACTGTTGGTGATTTTGGAAGTTGGTGAATTGCTCATAAATTTTGAACAGCATCAGAGCCATTAATAATGTTCATTAGAACGCTAATTGCGCATAAATTAGTATGTATAGAAAGGCAACAAAAAATAATATTAGACCACATTCTGTGTATCTTGGCAGTGATTCTTTGCAGTACTGAATACACAAATGGACAGGGTTGCAGTTTTAATATCCGGTCTTAGCTAGTTTTTTTTTTCTTTACCTACCATTCGTAGGGTAGTGGCTTTACATAAGCATTCATTACAACTCTGGTTCTACAAACAGACAAAATGTAGATCAAATACATAACTTCTCCCCAGATAGCAAATAAAAAATAAGTCAAAAACTCAGCATGATATGATATTTTCCACATACATATGTGAATTCGTTATAACTATTGTCTTAATTGCCTGCATTGCAACATGTTAAAGGAAAGAAAGAAAAAAAAAGAAGTGTGAAATAATCGCTTAAAAAAGTCGTGTATGTAAAAGATTAATTAATAGTTCTTTACTCAGTTTTAATAGAGGCGCATATGAAAAGCGAAATGATATAGTAATAGTAATAATCATGAGTTTCATTTTCATTTTCATCTTTTTATTAGCCTATCTTCATTTTTAGACTCGATGTCATCATGAATAATGTATCATGAGGAAATGAGTTAAAGTATATTTTAGAAAATCATCGCACATTTCAAAACAAGTACTTGAAACAAAGATAATAAATATGTAGACATTTCATTTCTTCTCCATGCATTGTTGAAGCTCAATAAGCTCTTACTAAAAGTCGCTCGATCGTAGACTCGTCGGAACCGCACTCCAAAATATGCCCATATTAGGAAAAACTGAATCATAACTATTTTTTTCTTCTCCTCGCTCACTTCTCATTAACTTTTCACTCTCTCAGTTTCTCATTTAATCATTAAATTTCAATTATATGGATGGGCGAAGAGGAAAAAAAATTGTGTAATTGCTGCTATTTATAGACCACACGAAAAATAATAATTTTTTCTTTAATTTCTTTTTATTGTCCATTTAAACGAATGATTTATTTGAATGGCTTACTATCGATTGAATTATTTATATCAACAAATCTTTTTTGTGTCTGTTTTACAGGATTCTGGTGGTGTTCGAGAATCAGAAGAGAATCAGAGAATATGTAAAAGGTAAGAAGAATCTTAAGAATGCAAAAAAAAAACTATTGACATGTGCGCAACAGTTTGCATCATCTGACATTGAGATATCAACGGACCATAAAAAATGCTGTTGAAATAGCTGACCGAACAGAATGATTCCCCTTTTTTGGATTTTTCATTCGTTCTCTTTATAAGAATATATAAAAAAAAATCTAGTAAATAACCAACGTAGATGGATCACACGTATGCAATTCAGCCTTAAGCGAACTGTGAAATAATTCTGGAAAAAAAGAATATTACAACTAACGGGTTCCAAAAAAATATCAAATAGTTCCACCCTTTGGTCTCATTAAGCTTCATTTTTTTGCCAATTAAATTGCACAGAATATCAAGTTTTTTGAGGAAAAACATTTTTTAACTGATAAGTTAATCTTCAAAGTGGTGAAATATCGATTGGAGTTAATCCTAACGTATGAAAAATATGCCGATATCGTGCTAAAAATATCTTGCACAGTCAGCCAGCAAAAACAAACGAGATATTGTGCAATCTTTTCACAGAAAATCCAGTTGGAAAAATAATTGTAGAATAATACTTGTTCTGCAATCTCTGAGAAATATACAACTACTATTTATTTTATGAGTCAACGACCATTCTACGTTACGCTCACTTGTTAAACATGTTTGAACGACCCTAATCAAATGGTCGATAAAATACTTAATGATAACACAAGGTCGTTAATGAAAAAATATATCAATATTTTATTGCGTTATTATTTATTTTTTTGCCAATATGATTCATGCTCATTTTAATTGTTATTGGATGGATTTCCTCCTCAACGAAGGAATTTTAATGAATAAACATTTCAACAATATCGAGAAGCTTTCAAAGTTAGAAAATTTTGTTGTGAAAGAATTGCAATTCGGGAAACCATGGAAATTATAAACAAATCAATTTTATATTCGCCTCCATTAGACACGAGCAGACACAATCAGCTTTATCTTGCTTAGTCAGGGAATTTTTAATGTCACTTTGACTAGAGGATTACAAAACTTGAGGAAGTAAAGACTTGTTTTTAAAGTTCTTCAGTAATCTGTGGTAAAATCGAGGGTGGGGGGGTATATCATTGGTATCGTATTGTTTGTGTGAGTTACACCTTTCCATACGGCTCTATTTGACAACTCTGATCAATAAAATAGTTGTTTTATGTCACAAAGGGAAATGTGTAAAAACTCACTCAATGAACTCATATCGGAACTTGTAGTAAAATATTGTGTAATTAATAACTTTATCAGTCATCGTAAAATAATGCATTTCATTTATCCGCTTACGACGGGCTTCCTTACCTGCTCAATAATTGACATAACATTTTTCCACCCTTTTCATTAAATTTTCAATTTATTCACGGAAGGATATTTGAGAATGACTGGCAATACTTTTTATATTGAGTGCAACGAACTTTATAAAGAAAATAGAAACAGAATTGATTTTTTTTCGTACTTTACGTATGTACTCGTTTCGTCAAGTGAAACACGCGCTTGATTATTTATTTATGCATTTAGAACACTCTATTTGCACATAATTTCATTACGACATTCTTTTTTATTCATGAACTGTTGCTAATTTGAATCTAAATCGCAATGAAAATTGTAAAATTGTGGCTTAATTTGGGATTCAATAAATTTGCACTCATTTGACACTTTTAAAATGTAAAAATATTTACAAATTAAAATAAAATTTTTTGGCAACGTCCATAAACCGGATTTTATAGTATCGTGCGACAAGTTCCACAAAATCAGTTTGTTCTTCATTTCTTTCTTAATATGACAAACAAAAATAACACAGACAAGTATTAAAAATTATTAATAATATAAAGACCATAAATCAAAATTCGATGACAAGAGGGACGACGAAAAAGACTATTGGGTGAGGAAAGAAATGGAGAAAAAAATTGAAATTAGGCCATAAATAACGGTTTTAACCTAATTATTTTTTGCTGTTATGGTTTGTTTTATTTTAATTTGTTTCAATGCTAATTTTTCAATTCATTATTGTGTCGTTAACTTGCTTTTTTCGCACAATAGAATAGCATTACTCGGACAAACGCGTGTTCAAAATTGATAGTAAGCTCCACATTCGTAGTTTACGAAATAGATAGTTTAAGTAGTCAAATTAAACAATCAAGATAAGTTCACATTCAAATTCGTTTCTGTATTTGAGTAATTTTTGTAAATTTTCGGATTTATTTCCTTTGTTATTCGCGAGTAACCGTGATTGAAAATTAATCCCTCATATATGACAAAGAGAAGCTAGTCACCAAGGAGAAATAAAATAAATCGTAGATATAGTTCGCAATTTGCTGTGAACTGATAAAATGCGGCATATAAAATAATTTGGGCATATGACTGATATAAGATAAAAAGTTGGTGATTTTTTGGGCGCATTTGCTCACGTGATTCTTAAATTTAGATTAAAAGTCATAAGGGTCGTGCTTTATTTACAGAATTATTTAGATTTTTAAGTGCTCATAAATTATTATAGAGCTATGAATCCAGCTGCAACATCAAACAAATTTTTCGCATTCTTTGACATTTTAATTTGTGCTTGTAAATATTTCATACATTCCATAAAATTAGCACTCTTTGAACTCTCGAGATGTACTGAATTTCTGCAAACATGTACCGATATTAAAAACGTTATTTACATGTAAGGAAATATTTTTTCACTTTATGGACACAAATGACAAAAGTGATGAGAAAAACTAGAGCAACAATATTGTCAGCTTTTCCATAAACGTTTGCTAAATAATTGAGATAGCATAAAGTTTTATTATAGTTACAGAAAGTTCAAAACACCTATAGTCACAAAACACAAAAAATAAACCGCGAAGCGTAGAAAAACGTCAAATAACTGTATACTTTCGCTCTTTTGTCTTTATATTGTGTGTGCTTAGATTTTCTTCCTTTCCTTTTTCGTGCCCTGCAAGAAAACTTACTATAAAAAATAAAAATTAAATACGTCGCGTATATCAAATTTAACAAACAACGTAGACAATAAAAGATTACACAGAAACATTGCACACCTCAAAAAAGAGAGTAAATAAATTTTTGCGTTCTTTTCATTCATTCATTGATGTGGGAAACAAAATGCTGTCGTGTCATTCACGAAAACTTTTGAGTTAAAATTTAAACAAAATTTATTTTCTGCACATTGAAGAGCTTTACTATGCATTCCCACCATTTATGAATGTTTACTCATAAAGTTGTCATGATCATAAAAGTGATTTATCATCTAATGAAAGCCTCAAAGTCTTTTTGTGTGTAAGACTTACTCGCACACAATAAAAAAAAAAAGTTTTATTTGACATATTTTACTTCTATTTTCGGTGAAAGATAATTTGCATACAAATATTTATTTTATTTTAATCATTTTTACTTTCATTCATGGCTCTTCTTTCTCTATCTGATTATGCGAATGATTAGTGACTTTAACTCTTCTTTTTCTTTGTCGTAAAACATATGAGGATGGATATGAAATTAATTTTGTATAAAAAGACGAAAGACTTTTGAATTTAAATGAGACAGGGATTGAAAATGTCTGAAGATGTGCACGATAAGTTACAATTTTTTTTATTACGTCTATCAAAAGCTTTTATTTTGTCACGTAGGTCAGAATTCTTTGTAAATTGAATGTGAAAATGTGCGTAGTAAATTATTTTATAACAGTTGTGTACTTGTAAAGGTATAAAAGAATATCATACATCCAAATATTGACGTTTGTTCCAGTTCATAAAAAATATTCTGTTTTTATGACCTACCATTTCAAATGAATTAATCTCCTGTTCGCATTCATCAACAAAGCGTATGAATTTTTATTCAACATAAATCCCTGATCTCAAGTGCATAATGTCGCTAACATTGTATGTATTTATATTGAATGGATGTACGAAAAAAAAAACATGGTAGACAATAACATCAGACAGTATAAAAATGTAATTTTTGCGTCTGACTTTAGAGATACTTATAGACAAAACATGTAAAAATGAAAGGAAAGAAAGTGCCTATTAGCATAAAGTAAAAATTGTGTATAAAAAAAAGACTTGTGTTTATTTGTTGTCGCTGCTTATACACATTTGGAGAAAAAAGAAAGAAAAAAAAAGTCGCCTGTAACTTGAGAAAGAAGTAAAGAAACAGATTAATTTAAAATTCAAATGAAATGAAGCAAAAAAAAAGATTTTTATTATTCCTTCACAACAAACAAACGTGGGAGCTTTAAAAGTTCACATAATCATGTTCTTATGTCAGTCTGGATTTAATCCAATTCAACCATAAGTATCAATTATCAATCATCGGCAAAATGCATATCGGTCTGGATAATGTTGAAATGAAGTTTAATTTAACTACTTTGCCTTCATTACATAATCATTGACTGTTAGCTGCTGCTGTTTTTTGCTATGTTTTGAAATTAAATAAATTTGTATTTATTTATATATAATTTTTTTTCTCTCGTCTGCTTTTAAATGTGTGTTTAAAGCACCAACTTATATTTTTCCATATGTGAGATTTTTCTCTCTTTTTCTTTCAAAACCTATCAGTATGACTCTAATTTGAATCGTACATAGCTATGTTTTGGCTTTTTAACTGCTGCGGTTTAGTAAACAATTTTATTTTTATACCTATCTATAATGTATGAAATAACAAATGTGATTATAATACCTTCATAGTGAAAAAAAAAAATAATTCAAACGACAAAACTGCCGCTGTTGCATTGTGTTGTGTCAAATAGATGTAATTATGAAAATACATAAAGCGAGATAGAGAGGAAAATAAAGCTCAGAAGAATGAAATTGTTTTTTCAGGTGAAATAAAATTAATGGCATCACACATAAAATGAACTCGTAGCATACAATAACGAAAAAAATAGGTTTGTTAGAGTTGAGTAATTTTAACAATTGTTGAAAGATTTTTTTTTCTTCGCTTAGCGTGGAGCTGATGACTTTAATTTTTTTTTCTTGTAAAAAGAAATTCTTCATAGTAGTTCAAAGCCAATTCAGAAGTTATTGAAGTTTTTGAAAATTGACGATTTAAACGCATTTTAATGTGTTGAAGCATTAAAAAAGGCAAATATCTTTATTCACGGCATAAACTCAATAATTTATAAATAGGACTCGAACTCTTTACTTTACAAATTGAAGTTCTTAATACAGAATTTCATTTCTCATAACTATGTTTACAAAAGGAAATAACCAGTACAAAAACCTTCCCTTGAGAACGATAGTAACCATAATAAACATCCAAATGAAATATTGTTTTAAAAACTACATGAACCGTAAAGAACATGAGTAAACACTAATTGCATGGAAGTTTCAATTAACTGCTGACCATATCTTCAATTTATTCTCACCTCGATGGTTCACAAATCAGACGTAAAGATTCTTCCTTACAAGATTTGCTTTACCGTGAACTAAGTTGATGCCATCTAGACAAAGTGGAGACAAAAAAAAAAATACGTTTCCCATTGAGTAAATACATTAAAAAATACCTCCGAGTACTTTGATGCTTTAAACATTGGCATGTCAAAAGACAGAAGTAAAAAGAGAATTGAAGAAAATATGTTTCTTACCATTAAATTTCAAAATAGCATGACATCAATTGCTATTATGTAATATTTTAAAATAAAATTATGCTCACTTTTAGACTATTTTGCAAGAATTTATTTTATGCCTGTTAATTTTTTTCCTACAATAGAAATCAAACAAAAAATAGTTTTCTGTGTTGAGAGAAAGAGGGAATAATATGTAATTTCATATAATAATATCATTATTATTGCTACAATATTTATATATCTACTCTCAAATCTAATGTATGAGACGGGCCCGCAAGCAAAATTGAAAAAAAAAATTCCGATTGCAAATATTTTTAATTCAAATATAAAGCTCATTAGCATTAGTATCGCTTATTTTATACATGCAAACAAATTTATGCGATTTGGGTGCAATTTTAAAAATTGCATTATTTATTTTTTATTTCTTTTCAATTTTTTGCAATTAAGTTTAAAACTGAACATGGTTATAGAAATTTTTATAAAAACTAGACTTTGGAGCGTACTTTTCGAAATCACTTTTAATCTTTGCTAAAAAAATAATAATAATTTAATAGAAAAGCACTTAACTTAGTTAATCAATTTAACCTTAATTCTTGTAAACAAGCTAGTTTCATTGTTTTTTTTTTGTTAAATCCTTCAGATTAAAAAAAAAATTCACAGCAGGCAGTTGAATCTGGCATTAACAAAGTGTTCATCACATCTTTTTTTGTAGGGAAGGGGAGTGTCTCTAGCTGTATTAATTAATAGAATAATTTTATTTGAAAATTCTGTAACAAAAGGATGTACTAGATCAAGTTTTTGATAGATTCAATTATCAAAAAAAAAACCCTATCTTATGTAGCTAGTTAATATGATGGCTAAATTTCCCTTTCAAATTGATTAACCGTGGTATTTACCAGCAAAAATTGAAAGAAAAGAACAGAGCAATAAATGTTTTGCAATCGACAGATTAAAATTATAATTTAGTTTTTTTATGCCTTAAAGGGATTGTCTGATTGATTAGGATGAATTGATTGAGATAAGTTGGTTAGTAGGTTGAAGTAATTATGTCTGTAACTCTTTTTCGTTTGTTCATTTTTTCCTTTCAACATGCAAAAGACGAAACACGAATAATAATAAGAAGAAAATTGAAGGCAATCATGAATTAACAAAAAGGCAGAGAGATAATAATTGAAAGAGTAGTGACATTAAGGAAGTTTAATTTCGCATTTTAATGAATCATATATCTGCTGATATTACAAAGAATCGATTGATGCAAAGAGTTAATCAAAGATGCGCCTTTGTTCTCATTGTTTCTCATCGACAAACGACTTTGATAGTCTCGCTAAAGTGCACAGAAATGAAAAAAAATCTTTTTAAACTGATCTTAAATTTGCCATTCATATGTGAATGTGCATTTTGTAATTTATGAGAGTCAATGCACAGTGTTTGTAGCAACAGAAAAAGAATAGCGATCAAGTTATGTTTGTGAAGGGGGTTAGACTGTATGCTAAGTACTCAATTCAAAACTCAGATCACTAGATCTAAATTAAAGTCATTAACATTGAATTAGACTTTCCATTTTCGCATACAGATCTCACGCCAAAAATGTTTTCAGTTTAGAAACTCTTCTCCATTAAATTGTCAATAAGAAAAGAAAAGTCAACGTTAAACAAGTTTATATGCTCTGAAGATACTCGGACACTTAGATTCCGTTGAGAAAAAAAAGGCAAATAAAAAGTTTGACGCAAACATCATTTAAAAAAAATTGATAAACAAATACACGAAGTTAAATAAAGGCGTACGAAAAAAATATCTGAAATGATAAACGGCACACTTGCTGTAAAGTTTTCATGTCAGATTACACTGTGAAGCTCAAAGGCTATTAAGAATTGGCAAAAATGTTTTTTTTAAAGCAGGAAAAAGAAATCTTTTGAGCACAGCAGTAAATTAATAATAGTGCTTATGTCAAAAGGCAGTTTTGAATAAAAAAAAATTATTTGCCGTGTAGACACTTGTGTGTATAAAGGAACCAAGAGTTCACATTAGAATTAGTGTTAAAGTTCTCGTGTAGCGAACAAGCAAAAGTATAAAAGATTGAACAACTATGAAGGTCAAATCGTAGATTCTCGTTCTCTCTCATGCTTGATATTTTTTTCTGCTTTTGTGGCATTTCAAAAGTTTAATTCACATAATTGCCAGTTAGATTTTTACTTGACGTTCCAACAATGATTATTGAGTTCCTCCTTTAAGCACATTGCAAGTCAATAATTTAAAAATGTGAGGAACAAGAGACGATTAAATCAAATAAGCAGAACCGTGAAACATGCCTGTTCTCAATAATTGATACATCATCAAAAAATTATGTGAATAATGTAAACCATTTTTAAAGCTATTTCTTATTCATCTTCTTCGCCTGGCATGAGTACATTTTTCCTTCCACATATGCTCATTTTTCCACACTTTGTAGCAAGTATTTTTTTGTTTCTTCCTAAAATATTGCCAGGCACTAGAGCAAAAGCAGCACACAGCACATCACATGAGGACTAACACGCGCTCTTGCCTTTTGTGGCGCATCATCACATTTAATTGCTTCTCTATAATCGATTAAAAGTTATGCAGTGTCACGAGGCTAGATGTTTATTTTTTGTTTAACAACATATTAGAGAATTCTAGTCGTCAGCAATGATGTTGTTACTATTTCATCAATTTTTTTTTTCGAAGCGAGTATTTTACATTTCGTTGATAGAACGAAGATGTTTGTTTGCAAACTGTCTGGTTTACATCTGTCAAGAGTCTGTTTAAAGCTTAATTTGAGAATGCATTGGATTTTGCTAATTTTTTTATAGGTCAATTTGTAGTTTTTATGAATTATGAATCAGCGAAGATTCTATTGGCCTTGAGAGAATTTGATATTCAGAGTTCTGCATTGAACTGTCAAACAGAAAAATTGCTTACAGATTGTAATTAATTCTAAAACCTGCGTTGTCAAAAATTATCTTTGAAGTTTTTTTACTAGTTTCATTTATTTATTTTCCACTGATTAAATAAGAGAGACTCTGACTGGTTGAATATATATTTATAAAATTTCATTGCCAATGATCACGTTTAATTGCACTCTAAATTAGTAGCGCAAATTTGGCCGAAAGCGAATTAAAAAATAATATTATTACGATCACAAAAGTATAAATGACATAATTTACTAGAGTCTATGATGTAAAATTATCGTATTTTCATATTCACGTTATTTTGAGTTTTAAATTTTCCTTCTCTTACCCATGATCTTGACGAACGGTCTTATGTGATGATGACGCAAAGTTGAGACATAAAAAAAAGCAATTTTAAAGGTGTCTCATGTCTTTTGTGTGTATGTCTTATGAGATTACTCTAATTATGCCATTTATCAAAATTGAAGTCATATACACAAAAAATAATAATAGTAATATGAAGTAAATTTCTTAACAACTCAATTTTTTATGAAATCTATTTCTTCATTCTCCTTGCAGCTTAAACGAGTGTTACTTCGCTGGTAAAGGAACGGCATTAATGTTAGGTTCAAATGAGCGTCTACAGCGACAGACATTCAGCGATGGTCGTCGACTTAGTCAGATATCGATTGAATTATCTGCGAGTCAAACATCAATCGGTAGCGTTGGCAGTGATATACAGCAGCATTTACAATCAATGTTCTATTTATTGCGGCCCGAGGAAACGCTAAAAATGGTAATATTTATGATTCCACACTCTATGATCATAAAAAACAGTGAATATAAAAAGAAAATATCAATGATATTGAATGATGAAGTAAAAATAAAAAATTACGAGGTCACTCTCACTTTATGTTAAGCCACCGGATCTATTCATATCTTAATACAGCGCATTTTGGCGATGAATGTTTGTCCCACGTGTTAGATTTGTTTATTTTTTTCTTCGGGAAAATATTAAGATTTTATGTGTAGTTCAAGGCTGTTTGGCATTCTCAAAGCCTCGCCTTTTTTGAGCCTGAACAATTCTATGTAAAATTAGTGAAACTAAAGAGCTGGAGTTTAATGGACTTTGTTTAAGATTAGAAATGTTTCTAACACCGACATGTTTAGTTTTGGAACTAGGCAAAGTAGTAAATATTTAGACAAATTATTTGAGATAGTTCCAGAGAAACAGAACTAGAGCCAAGCCAAAAATAAATGCGCATAAAACAATTAAAGTTTTTTACGGCTTTTCTGTTTGTTTTTAATCCAAACACACATGCCCATATTATATATCCATCAAAATTCTATTTTCTTCTCACTTTTTACACATCAATTGATCGTTGGGCAAGCAAAAATAGATTTCAAATATGCTTGTATGCATTATTCATCTTTCTTCTTAACTTTTACTCTCTTTCTCTATTCAGCGATATTTTTCAATACAAACACTATCTATTCAAGCTCAATATGTATTTATTTATTAGTATCTAATTTACTATAAATGAGAAAAGAGAAGAAAAATAGACTTTTGCCGATGCCTTTTAATATTGTAATTATTCATGGCGAAACCATAAAAGTCCCGTTTTTGAAAATCGTCGGAGAGTCGCTATGTCTCTCGGTTTACACACAAAACAATTCTCTCGTCTCAATCTGGCACTTTTCCAACGTGTGTATAGTTACTTACTATTCTACATATGTTCATGTCTTTTTCATCAGATTGAATGAGGAAAAATTTGTTTGCTAATTCGGCTCTTAAAACCGACTTTTCTCTATTTTTTCCTCTCGTTTGAGACGATCAACCAGATGACAAGGAACAGAGATAAACAATGGAGACGACCTCGAATTTATAACGTTCAATATCATTTCGACGGTGTTGAGAAACTTTTACACTAAATGTAAATCTTTCTTCTTCATCAAAGGAATTGTCACATGTGTGTTATTGGCCCTTGATAATCATTTAGTGATACTGTAAATGATCTTTATTGAATGACATTTTCTCTTCTCTTTTTCATTCCTTTTCTGAAATAAATAAATATTTCCTAATATAGGCTGTAAAGTTGGAATCATTGCGCGCTGGTCGCACCCGTTATTTAGTGGTAGTTTCACGTCCTGCCTCGAAAAAAGCACAAATAACATCACCTACAAATGCTATTGTGGAAAATAATGACCGTAAAACTAACGATAGTAATAGTAATAATCAACTGCCGTCATTGATGAGTGATGTAGTTATATCACATACAAATGCAAATGCGAATGAGAATGATGATAATAATAGATGCAGTAGCAGCAGTATTTTAACAACTAGTTATCAAATTCAATCGAATAATAGCAGCAGCAGTGTTTTGTCGCAAACTAGTGCTAATATGACAAATGCAAATGCAGAAACATCATGTGATATTGATCCTCAAAAAAATTCTAACAGTAATAATAATTATAATAATAATTTTACACAATGCTCCAATATACAAGATGATATACAACAATGTGATAATGAATCGACAATTGGAAGCAGTTGTAGTAGTAAAAGCTCATCAAATGAAATAGAAGAATCATGTTTGTTGGGCATTGACTGTAATGAGAAGACGACAGTTGGATTAGTGCTAAAAGTTCTTGCAGATACCGCTATAAGACTTGACGGTGATGGGTGAGTCAACATTTACATTTTTTTTTTTCTCTTACCTGTATTTCTGCAATTATAATTGTGCCAATTCACATCATCATAGAGTAGTGCATTGAAATGGCATTTTGAGTCATTGAAAACGCATTCTTGTTGTTAAAGTTTAGCTTTAGTTTATTTCTTTGAAGAAATTTCAACTAATTTGCATAATATTCTTGAGATTTGAACTCACGCGAACACGCTTAAATATTATAAACAATTTCTTGAGATGATCTCAACAAGACTTTAACAATTATTATGATTTTTTTTTTTGCAAAATCGCTAATATAACTGAAGCTAGTTCCTTAAGAATAGTCAGTTTCAAAATTAATTAAAGTTCTGTTGTCGGAATACATTACAAAAATTGTATTTCTTGTACTAATAAGCCTTAACATCATCCAATAACAGCTTCTAAATATGAAAATCATTCTGCGTGAAATTAGTTTATTCCAATAAACAGACAGACTGACGAGTAGTATAACAAAGCACTAATAAACACTCTTCTTCCTACTTATGGGAAAATACGCTTTAAAACAGCGAGATATTCCTGATTCACAATCTTTTTGCATAAGAGGAAAAAGTAGAACTTCTTTATATGATGATGATGATGATATAATACGGAACAAATTCTTTATTAAATTACAATTGTGACCTAATTAATACAATCTCTTACATATAATATATATTTTTCCTCTATTTAATCATGCGAATATACAGCGGCTTCAGTGTAAGTGTTTGCGGTCGTCAGCACATCTTTAAGCCAGTTTCTGTTCAGGCCATGTGGTAAGTAAACCAATTAATTGTTATTATTCTTGTTGCTTAATAGTCTAAAGGTGAACTATATGGATATTGAGAATACATTAATAATAATGAGATCTCAGTTGATGGATTTTTAATTGACTACAAAAAACAGGAAGGCAGCAACTACATGTTAATATATTGCCATTGCCTTTGCTTTTTTTGCATATATAAACTATATACAAATTGGATAATTAAATTATAGCATTTAATCAAGCGCTATATAGAAAATGAAATTGAAAATATACGAGCTGTGACTATCCATTTGCACCGCTGCAATTTTGTTTTCTTTTCTTTATTCGATTGATTGTCGATGAGTAATAAAAAACACAAATTTTGGAATTTGGCTCCATAAAAAAAGTGAAAATCGACCGAACAAAATTCACAAGAGAACAATTTAATTACTTTTTTCCTCCTCCCCAAAATATAATTTTTTTCAATCATGTAACAATCACCGGACGATACCATAGAAAACAAGGCGATTTAATAATGCATTAGTATAAATTGCATAATTTTATCGATACTACGAAAACTTTATAAGAAGAAAAACTACGATTGGGGAGAGAAAAATAGCAATGATTATGCATGTGTCTCTGTCGATATTGTGTGACAGCAAATGAACGATTGCTAATTTAAATAGAAAGTTTCTTCATTTGATAGGCACTTAATAATCATCAATAATTTTACATTTAACGTGTTTTATTTAATGAAGCGTTTGGAAATTTTTTGAAGATGGCTCAATTTGAAATTTGATTGATTGAAGTTTATTTTTGTCTTTTTGTTGAGTTTTCTAAATTAGGAAGTAAATTAATTGCTGTTGCTCAGGTGCATTGTTGCTTTGAGCTCATGTGTTCTAAATCATGACATATAATGGATTAATCCTCTTAAAGCTTAGAATATTCAAAGCAGCCGAAGGTTAATATAAAAAAAAATTAATTACTTCAAAGGCGAATAATTATTGACATTAAAATTATTTTTCAGTAATGAACCTCAACTTTTGTATTGCCGTGGTTCTCATTATTGTTCTGTAAAAATCTCTTTATTGAAGTTGAACTATTTCTCACAAATGTTTTGACTCGAGTCTTTTCTTTATTATGCAACTACTGTTCGATTGTTTTATTTTCCTCTTAAATAAAGAGATACGAGTAATTGAAATTGTAATAAAAATTGATGTTACTGGAGATTGAAGTGGTTGAAAAACTTCTGAAGGACTTTTAGAACTCTCATAAAGTTTAAGCAATGAGATTTGGCAACAGATGCATTTAAATGAAAATGTCAATATCCAAAAATACTCTAAATGCTTTCGTAAACTAAGCTGAGTACTTTGTTACGAATATGTGTTATTTATGGAGTAAGTCGTGTAAATTGCGAGCTTTTCTTTCAGCTGCCATGAACTATAAAAGATAATTCGCCTAAATAAAGTAGACACATTAAACCGATTTGCATTTTTTTACAATGGCAAGCTTAATTTTTCCCGTTGAGGTTTATTTAGCAACAGAAATGACATTTTATGCAAAATAGTTGCATAAAAAATTCATCAGAAACTATGAACAGTTCTCTTTGAGATTAATTTCAAGAAATAATCGACAGTTCATGTTTTTAGAAGTGCTTATTGCGAGCAGTTTTGTTGAAACAACAATGACCTTGATATGTGCAAAAAATAATATTGAGAAACGGCATAAACATATGATGGTCTGGCCTCATGCCTTTCTATTGATTGCCAGAAAAGTAAACGATTCTCACATTCCATACACTTTTGTTCCACATGTTGATGTGTTTGCTTCATTAAAAAATATTTTTTTTTTTCTTGATGTTTCCTCATGAAATTAGATACCGGAGGTTGTAAATGTGAAGAAGAAGATAGAATATGTAGGACAAATTGTCAAACAACGCTTCTGCCAATCACAGAAAATTGAAAAAGTACGAAAGGCTTGTCGATGATAATTTCTTGGTATAAAATTTCCCATTTTTTTCTTTTCTTCACTATTAAACCATTCATACTCTCGAGACAATTGAGCTACTGTTGCTATTCGTGGTTGAATGATCCCACTAAGAAAATTTTTATATTCCATTTCAAATTAATTTGCCTTTTTTCTCGTCTCGTATATATTATTTATTTTATTTCATCTCTCACTGCGTGAATCAACAAGTTAAAAGACCCGCAAAGCAAAAATCCATTTAGAGATTTTTTCGAGTTCCAATGTTGACTTATTATGGCAACGACGAGTTTTATATATATATATAAAATTTTTATATTCACGTATATTTTTGAATCTATTTGCCACTGAATTGCAAATATAAAGCTTTTGAATGCAGTCATGGTTAGTAAATGCAAGAAATCATGGACGTGAGATTTTATTTATATTTAAGTTTCGTACGACGACAGGATCATGTCATTTGAATTTACTGATGTGTATCAGGATGTTTCAATTTAATTCACTTCCGATTTTTTAGCATTTCTGAGAATGCATTGAATATTAAATACACCTGAGCAAAGATTTCAGTACGAATCAGGGAGAGAGAGAGAGAGAGAAATATCACGACGAAAAATTTACAGTTGGTACTGCATTTGCATTCGTGAGAAGAATATTAAATCAATATTATAATTTGCTCAAAATATTAATAAATAAATATAAATATGGGCAAATCTGTGAGAGATATAGTTGCTTAAGGATTAAATGATAGTCCAATAAAATATATTCTTGAAGATAGTTTGGTTAAAATATATAAAGTTCTTTGTATTCAATGTTGTCTGTAACGCATATTGCCTACTCTTGGTGTCGTAATGCTTCAAGAACCTTTAAAACGTTTAAACCTCATGAATCTGCTATATTTTTTCGATATCCTGATAAAATTAAAGATTTGTAATCTTATTGGAGTGGAATTCCAGAGCAAAAAATAATTGACTCCCAAATCGTCATCATTTTAAGATTAATCTGTGAAATTTCACAATTTTACACTTTCATTCCCATCAATCGCAAGAAGGAGAGAAAAGAATGTTAATAGCATGATATATACCTTTCGCGCAGATTTACCCAAAATAAAATGTGCATAAGGAGGTTAATGGAAAGATCTGATAAAACAGAATTTTATACTTAATGGCAATAAAACTTTCGCAAGCCAGCAAAAAAAAATGAAATTATTGAAAGGAAAATAAATTATTTAATAAGAAGGGAAGGTTCTTATCAGTGATGACTGACTGTTACATTCATAATACACATACGTGTAAGTTATACACACAGAAATTAAAAACCTATAAAGCAGTAGATACCTACATGGCACGGTTGATTACAAATATGGTAAAGCAACTGTTGACGACAAAGCAACTTGCACACATTACTAATGTCTCGAAAAATTATTATTTTTATTTTTTGCTTGCTTATTTTACAGCCCGCGCTCTACTAGTAAATGCTTGTTCTTCAATCAAACAAGTCGCATGATAGACTTTTTTCAATTTACTCCTAGCTAAAATAGACTTAGAGAGTTAGAAAAGAGTAAAAATTCTATAACGCGAAGTTGTTCTAGAAAAAATATCAAGAAAAATTATTTGTGAAGTAACAGAAGCAGTTATCAAAGAGACAAAGCAAAATCTCAATTTTAAATGTGTTTTTTGTTTAAAATTCGAGACATTTTGCCTTAATTTGACTTATATACGCGATAATTAATAGTGAAATATAAGAAAAATATACGAATGTGTCGTGAAAGTAACAGTTAGCGATTGGAAAATCAATTGCTATTTTGTTCAAACATTGAAGAAATTAAATAATCCACAAAGTTTTAAAGAGAAAAGTGTGAAAATTAAATCGAACAATCGAATTAATATGAAATAAACGTAGTAGAAAACTTGCTTATAACTTTATAATCTACCTCCTATCCAATACTTATAGTGTGTGTAGGTGTTTATGAAGAGAAGTGAACACAAAAAAAAATAATAATAATAATGTGAACAGACATTTTTTGAATAGCGAATAACGTTTTCATCTCATATACCTATTTATTATTTAAAAAACTCATTTATTTTCTTATCCATATATCGACATTACGAAAAAAATAAAGAAACAAAAAAAAAATCATATCCAGTTTTAGTAACTGATAAATGAAGCTGAAGATAATTTGTGAAAATCTATCGACGAACGAGTTCAGCATCAGTGCAGTGACTATAATATTACATCAACAGTGTCTAAAAAACTAGAAAAATAAAAATTAAAATTTATTCACATAACATTCAGTAGCCAGTGATTGAATATTGCAGAAAATTACTATGGGCATGTTGATTGAGTGAGTTGATCATGCACTTAAATTAACTTCCCGAACATACAATGAGCATGCTCAGAGCACATTATTTGTGAGCCTATTAGCCTTTGTGAGAATGTGCTCATTTTCATACATTTCAGTGATGCGCTTACGGTACCTTCTTGAGCATGCTCAGTGAGCACATTCCTATGTGACATGTAATAAGATCATTGAGTAAACTCATGAGCATACTCAAATGAGAAGGTAACATGTCACATGCAACATTTTTCTCATGTAACATTTTTATTGAATATACTCATGTACATTCTCAGAGAGCATATACTCATAAATATTCTCAAAGAGCTTATACTCATGAAGATACTCAAAAGATATATGCTCAGTGAGTATATTTATGAGTATATGCTCATCTGAGCACACTCATGAGTGCACTCAAGTGAAGTTGCAAAATTCAAAAAATTAATTAAGCTAAATTTGAATATTATAGGTTAGCTGAAATCAAGTACTGTTCCGTTTATTTCTTTGAATTTCTGTGAATAATTTTGAAAGAGTTAGAAATTATTATTAATATTTTATCTCAAATACTTAGACGGAAACATATAAATCTGGTCACCCATCTTTGCTGAAATATCTTCTGCGTTGCTTAACTTCTGTCATCTCACACTTTTCCTTGGAGCTATTGTCTGTAAATATATAATAATTTATATATGGCATAACACATACTTAAATTATTATATTTTTACAGGCGAACTAAGTTCTTTGAAGTTTGAATCTTATTGAGCGCCAATTTTAACGTTTTCGATTTAGCTGACATTTTTTAAAAACGTCAGCTTCCTTAAAAAATCATTTTTTTAACGTTTTCGATTTAGCTGACATTTTTTTAAAAACGTCAGCTTCCTTAAAAAATCATTATTTTAACGTTTTCGATTTAGCTGACATTTTTTTAAAAAACGTCAGCTTCCTTAAAAAATCATTATTTTAACATTTTCGATTTAGCTGACATTTTTTTAAAAACGTCAGCTTCCTTAAAAAATCATTTTTTAACGTTTTCGATTTAGCTGACATTTTTTTAAAAACGTCAGCTTCCTTAAAAAATCATTTTTTAACGTTTTCGATTTAGCTGACATTTTTTTAAAAACGTCAGCTTCCTTAAAAAATCATTATTTTAACGTTTTCGATTTAGCTGACATTTTTTAAAAATGTCAGCTTCCTTAAAAAATCATTTTTTTAACGTTTTCGATTTAGCTGACATTTTTTTAAAAATGTCAGCTTCCTTAAAAAATCATTTTTTTAACGTTTTCGATTTAGCTGACATTTTTTTAAAAATGTCAGCTTCCTTAAAAAATCATTTTTTTAACGTTTTCGATTTAGCTGACATTTTTAAAAAATGTCAGCTTCCTTAAAAAATCATTTTTTTAACGTTTTCGATTTAGCTGACATTTTTTTAAAAAATCTCAAATAATGATGTTTTAAGGTAGCTGACGTTTTTTTAAAAAAATGTCAGCTAAATCGAAAACGTACACAATTTGCTCTTGAATAAACTCAGTAAGTGCACTCATATGAGAATATAAAAAAAATTGTGTGACACAGAAGTGAGCTTGCTCATTATATGCTCATGAGTACATTCAGTAAGTGCACTCATATGAGAATATAAAAAAAATTGTGTGACACAGAAGTGAGCTTGCTCATTATATGCTCATGAGTACATTCAGTAAGTGCACTCATATGAGAATATAAAAAAAATTGTGTGACACAGAAGTGAGCTTGCTCATTATATGCTCATGAGTACAATCAGTAAGTGCACTCATATGAGAATATAAAAAAAATTGTGTGACACAGAAGTGAGCTTGCTCATTATATGCTCATGAGTACATTCAGTAAGTGCACTCATATGAGAATATAAAAAAAATTGTGTGACACAGAAGTGAGCTTGCTCATTATATGCTCATGAGTACAATCAGTAAGTGCACTCATATGAGAATATAAAAAAAATTGTGTGACACAGAAGTGAGCTTGCTCATTATATGCTCATGAGTATATTCAGTAAGTGAACTCATATGAGTGAATTCACATGAGTATGTTCTTAATATTCTCAAGAGTATACTTATTGAATGCACTCACGTGAGCTTATAAAGTTTTTATAAAAAATTTAAGTGAGCACATTCATAATATTCTCATGAGCATGCTCAGTTGAATGAGCTTGCATGAGTACATTTTTTGAGTAGACTCACTTATATGCTCACTTTTCTGAGCATGCTCTTTGTATGTTCGGGCTTCCACGCGATAAATTTTGCAACTTTTTTTTCTTACTCTTAACTTATTATTAAGTCTTAAAGTAATGAGAACTATTCAAGAGGCCTCGCTAGAAAGAAGCTTCTGAGAAATATCATGACGGTATGATTTGTGTTATTCCAAATATGCCATGGGGCAAACCGGTGTCCTTTGCAATTGATTCATTTCACAATAGTCATTCCTAGAGTATTTTTGAATGGAATTGTGAAGTTATAAATATCTTAGCGTAGCATATGAAAATTGAGGATGAGAAATTCAAAATTTTAAAAGATGATTCATATTGATTTGAACTAAGCAGCAGCTTAGCAAAGACTATATATATAGTCCTTTACTAAACCACTAAGTTCAGTAACATAAAGGAAGAAAAATTAAAAAATTCTTTTATCTGATAAATTTTATACAAAGATACATGCTGCCCAAATTAAAAACAAGTGTCTGCCAATATTTTGACATGCAAACAAAGTTTGTTTCAGTCTGTTTTAAAAAGTAAAAAATTCACAGAGAATCAAAACTGAGTTGAAATTTTTTTTTTAGTCAAAGATCAATAGCACATACAGTAAAGCCGCCAGCAGTGAGCAATAAATTTTTATTTCTGTTAACACAAAATGAGGATGTTATTTTCGGTTGACAAAGCTCTTTTTGTTGTTCAGACAAATTGCTGCAAGCTGTTGATCAGTCTTAAAAGAAACTTCTGTACGTAGCCTGTAATATTACCGGATCGACTATCTCATAATTACACAAATCGATTTATTATTATTATTATAAGGAGCACAGAAGTCGATGGCTTTTGATCATCAATTATGTTTTTCTATTGACTATAATTCTATCGATGGTGCAATTTGTAATATGTATTACGTTGCAATGCTTTTGTCGATTATAAACTATCCTCCAAAAGATGAAAAGGGAGAAAAATTGCTGCTTAGAGTTGCTCGATTTGTGCAAAAGATTTATTGATACCCAGTAGCAAAATAGTCAATCGTACGAACACACACAGGAAATGATTGTTGATTCTCTCGCACGATATCGTAAACTATTTTTTCGCTAAACGAGAGATTGATTGAATAATTTGGACGTGATTTATAGATTTGAAATTTTTTATAGCTACTAAATCTTTTTGTATTTCACTCCACATGCCGATCAGACAGAGAGAGAAGCAAAAATTAATTTTATGCAATTTTTCTTATAAGTGTTATTAGCATTAATATTAGTAGTAAAAAAATCTCCAAAAGGCAGAGAACTGAACTGAAAAAAAAAAATATCATATTTGCCCATAAATTTCGATACTTGTTTGAAGGATAACCACCAAATAGAGCAGCGCAAACACAGAGAATATAAAAATGTATCTTTTTGTGTACAAAAAGGTTTTTCAAACAGGCTAATGACGTCATGCCATTCATACATCCATTTATTTACATTCTGCTTACTTTTCATCATAATATTTCAGTGTGTACATTAAGTTTATACTCATTATAAAAAATGTATCGTGGATATTGATTGGAATTGAATGATAGAAACGCATTTTTCGAATGGAAGCTGCTGGTTTGGAATTAATGTTAATTTGATAGAATTTTTTTTCTTGATTAAATTAATTGACTGTGACATTGATATGCTTATCTAGTGTTGTGAACAGCTGAATATTGTCAGCAGGGTATCTCTTGGTTAGTGGTTGATAATTTTATGACAACAGGGAACCGCATTAATTTTGTCAATTCAACTCGAACATGACTCTTGGTGTCATCACATTATTTTAATTAATTTCTTACAAGACTTGTTGATTCTTTCTTATAGATAAACAGTTGCTTGTTGCCTAGACAATATGCAAGTTCTAAAATTCTAAAACTCATTGAACTGATGTCTTATTTTGTATTTCATTATTATAAATATTGGTCCATATTGTTTGAGTCTTACGTATATGCTCGTGTATACATGCTGACAAATAAAGACATTCTCTTTTTCTCTCAAATTCCTAATTGTAAGTCTAGTAAAGGCTAAAAAACGATGATGAGCATTTTGTATTGTTATTGATACAAGATATTGTTATCGATTTGAAAGACTTCCTTATCTGTGTCTGCGACTACAAATGAAATGCGATCCATAGAAAGAACCCGGAAAAGTAAAGAAAATATTTTTCTGTTTTCGAATTTATTATTTTGTGCTCTATGACTTTAATTTTTTTTTTGTTTTTACTGTTTTCATTCCGCAAATAAGAATGACGATAATAATATTTTTTGTCGCATTTTTTTCCATGTCATGTTTAATTTTTTTTCAACTGTTTCCAACAAAATAATAATAATGTCAATGAAAATTAATATTTTTTTAGTAGAGGAAGTTGCAATGACAATAATCTACCAACCGATAAATTTCATTGAGCATTTTTCCAGAGGTTGGAGATAATGGAAAAATATTAATTGAATTTTATCGATTTGGTGGAAAATTGATTAACTTTCTTGTTATGTTTTTGGTTTTTGAGGAGAGTATTTTAGGTTTGATAGTTTGAGCTATTTACAATTTTAGATTATAAATAATGTGATCAACCAACACCAATGCATGTGTGTTTAATCTCGCTAACCCATGAGGTTGTAGGTTCGAGCTCTAGACGGTTATGTAACTTGAACAAGTATTTTGCAATTGAATTGATTTCACATCCAGAAAATCACATTACCTCAATAAATTGTCTAAGAATGACTAAATTTTCACAAGACATACACAACTAGTAGTTGTTAACTACTGTTTAAAACTTCTTAAGTTGTACATTTTCAATTAATTTATCAAAACAGAAAATCGAAAATGCAGGATTTTATTGATCATTTTAATTAAATGACTAAAATCGCTTTTGGTCCAAAAAGCAAATTATTTTATGACTTTTGTTTTGTTTTGATTTTAACACGCCTACATGAAGCCTTAACGATTCACCAGCAATTAAAAATCTTTGCTAATTCATTGAACCTTTGGACTATAACCCAAAATATTATGTTTTAATTATTCTAAATCACAATTTTCATTATCAATCACAGGTCTGCGCTTCAAACGCTTTACAAGATCTCATCAAAAGCACATGAGCACAATTTTTTCTCCGGTGGTCAATCACATGATTGGGTTCAGTATTATGAGAATCGAATAGAATCAGAAAGATCGTGTCTAAATGAGTGGCACACAATGGATTCTATCGAAAGTCGGCGACCACCGTCACCAGATACAATAAGAAATAAGTAAGTGAAAAAATATTTATTAAGGCTCGTCACCTTTTTTGTCTATTTAAATGAATCATATTAACAATTTCTTTTCTTTCCCTTTTTCAGACCAACAGAGCGTGATGAAACAGAGCGCGTTATACGAACAGCTTTAAAGGAAATCATGATGTCAGTTGATCTCGATGAAGTCACATCAAAATACATTCGTGGTCGTTTAGAGGAACATTTAGATATGGATTTAGGAGAATTTAAGTCATTTATAGATGAGGAGATGCTTGTGATATTAGGTCAAATGGATTCACCGACGGAAATATTTGAGCATGTCTATCTCGGTTCAGAGTGGAATGCTAGCAATTTAGAGGAACTACAGAGGAATGGGTATGTATTATTCGCGTTGGACAGGGTATGGGTACGATATTGATTAAATTTAAATGACGCATTGTTTGGAGAAAGCTGTACCTTTGCCATCCTAACTTATCTAAGAATAAAGTATTGAATCTTTTATATAATTAAGCGCGCTCATAATAACATCTTTTCAAAATGCATTTTCATTGTTAATAAAATTGTCCATGTTAAATCTCCATTACAACGAAATATCAATGAAAATTGTTAAAAAATTTTTGCGAGTGCGAGATCTCATGTAAATAATGCGTCATGAAGACATTAGTAACGTTATAAAGTTACATAATTTCCGTTCCATCTATTAATATACTATTATTTAATCCATTTAATCTTTCCTCAAACCATAATAGCGTCGGTCACATTCTCAATGTTACGAGAGAAATTGACAATTTCTTTCCTGGAATGTTTGATTACTGTAATGTGCGCGTCTACGATGACGAAAAGACGGATTTGCTTAAGCATTGGGACAATACATTCAAGTACATAAATCGCGCCAAAATGGAAGGCTCCAAAGTTCTCGTACATTGTAAAATGGGAATTAGTCGATCGGCATCTGTTGTAGTAGCATATGCAATGAAAGCATACAATTGGGATTTTTCACAAGCCATTCAGCATGTTAAAGAGAAAAGAAACTGCATAAAGCCAAACAAAAACTTTTTAGCACAATTAGAGACGTATCAAGGGATACTAGATGCGATGAAGAATAAAGAGAAATTACAGCGTAGTAAAAGTGAAACAAATTTGAAGTCAGATAATGCAAAGGATGGAAAAAGTTTGCCAGGCAGTGAACCAACGCCACTGATTCAAGCCTTACAGCACAATAAAAATTCAACGTATCCATCAAGTAAGAAGGAAGCGAATTATCTTAAACGAATTCATCAACGACCGAGTAGTTCACCTGATATATCAAAATCTGCAAGTGAAACATTATCGATAGCAAAGCCTTTATCGATATCATTAGAGACACTCGTGACAGTTGATGTTCAGGAACAACAGACTTGCGTCTCAGAAACAACAAACTTAAGATGGCCATCAAAAAATGGTCATTATTCTGTATCACAAAATCAAATAATTTATTTAGAGAATGAATCTGCAAATAATTCATTGATCGCAGGTTCACAGGAAGATACAACAATAATAGAAATGAATAAAACTGTGCCATTAGTGAGAAGCATTATTTCCGAGCTCGAACAGCATCATGAAAAAATGAAACGAAAGGAAGAGGATTTACAGGATCGAGAAACATCACAAAAAAAGGAACCAGACATTGAGGAGGAGATAAAACCAGAGCAACCACAGGTATACACATGTTCAGCTGAAATTATACGTCAAGATTCATTTGAAACTGATAATAAAATAGCTACAACTACATTAAAAACATCACCAACAGCCATAAAACGATCTCCGAGTACGAAGAAGGAAAACGATACATTTAGTAAGCAAGTCGATCGAGTTTTTGATCGTGAAGAGAAGCGTCAAAGTCGATTGGAACCGACCACATTGCCACAAAAGGACGGAACGAATTTTGTTTCTCGTCAGAGTTCTTGGAGCAGTGTCGATTCTGCATGTATAATTGGAGATTTGCCTTCAAGAAATTCATCGTGGGGTTCGGGTGATAATAATCGTCCATCAAGAAACTCTTCATGGGGATCATACGACACCGCAAAATTAGTACAGCCTGTAACTGAGGACGTTATAATGATTGGTGGAAATTTTTCATATGGAAAAGATGATATTCCTTGGTATCCAGGGACAGTAAAGAGGACAAAACAAAAGATTGAAGAAAAACAAAGTGCACCCATAACAAGATCATCATCATCAGGCTCATCATCTAATGATGCCAAAAACAACAATAATAATTTTAATGATAGTAATAACAAAATATTATGTGATATTAAAAAATCATTACTAATTGATAATTTATCAAATCGCACGAATAATAAAGGACCATCATTATCAACATCGCCTCAACAACCGCATAAGTTTGCAAAATTGCAACAATCATCGTCGGTATCGTCAGCTGCTATAAGCAGTAGTAAAGCACATACGAGATGTAAGAGTGAGGAATACTTAACTGCTCAACGAGCCATCTTATCAGCTGTTCATCGAAATAATGATAGAAATAATAATCGTAATAGTCAGCCATTATCAGCATCAGCACCTGAAACATTTTGTCTAAATTTCATTAAAAATAACCGAAATATTGAGAATGAGATATCAACAACATCGCTCAAATTACAACAGAGACGACACAATTTGAAGAAATCGGCAACGGAATCGTGTACAGACGAGCAGCATGTCGGTGATAAGAAGAACAAAAAAGAGAATCAACAAATAGGAAAAGTGAAAAACTTGAAAATGAATTTTGAAGCAAAAGCGAACAATAGTAGCACCAATAATAATAATAATAATAATAATGTTAATACAGTCACATATCGTGAGAACAAGAAGAACAGTCATTCATTACCATCATCGCCAATTGCCATTCACATTGATGTTTCATCTACGGGCAGTGGCTTTCCAAGCTCAAATCTTAGCGATATTAGTTCCGAAGATATTAATGTACGCGGATTAGTTGATCGATATGAGATTGGTAAGATAAAAACGTTTGTAACGCAAACATCAAATATCCGACAACGTCCAAAATCATTATACGATCCACGGTTTCAGTTGAAAACGTCACAGGATAAGAAAGCTGCATTAATGATCTCACATCAAACAAAGGGCGATGATTTGAAGCAACGTCCACCAATTCCAATACAACCAATCGTAAAGAATGCATTGATGACAAGTAATTTGAATAATATGTGCACCACAAATAAGTCCGTTGGAAATTGTCGTCGAATGCAGCAAGGCAAAACTCATCCATTATCGAAACTTGGCATAAATAAGCAAAGAATTAATACAAGTCAAGCTACTGCCTATAATACAATGTAAAGTTTTTCTATATCTCTCTCTATATCTCATCAAATGAATCCATTGTTTTGTCTCTCTAACAATAATATTTTTTGGATACCGTTTATAACCAACCAACCAACCAAACCTTATGTCCATTTACAACCAAAAAGTTTATTTCGTGCATATGCGCGGAAGTTCCAAAAAAAAGTTTATAACTATAAAGTGAGATAAATAATACCATCCAAATTGTTTTTTGATACACAAAAAAGTTTTGAGATAAAAATATAGCCAGTGCTTTAGAATTTTTCTGTTTCATAAAAAATCATTAAAATGTCTACATAAATCTATGATTTTTTGTGATTATTTTAGAATGTAATTGTCCATGACAAGGATTGAGAATGATGAAAATTGTAAATGATTTTTTTTTTATAAAATATTGGATCAAAATTGACTTAAAAGAAATGAAAAATTTGATGAATTTAATTAAATTTTTTGTTGTTTTTTTTACTTCTACTTAATATCGGGAGACTGTTTTGTGTCATTTTTTAATGATTTTTTAAATAAATAAATAGCATGAAAAAAATTATGAATATGCAAAAAGAAATATAAGGAAGAGCTCGAAAAGAAACTGAGAGACAAAATATTTATTAAAATTACAACTGACTTTTATTATAAAAAAGAACATACAAATGAGAATTGAGATGATGAGAATGACAGTAGATCTTTCATTTTTACTGCAAACATTTCAGTGAAATGGCTTTATTATTTTGCTTGGAAATCTTTTATTTCGAGCTTGTGAAGTGATTCCTTTTTTGAACAAAATTGAATGTTTGAGAACCGTATAAATGTTAAAACTTATAGAAAAGCTGTTGCATGGTCTTAAAAGTCAAATTAACATTTAAACGGTGAATTTGTTTGAGCCCAAAACCCTACAATTCTACACAAATCTGTTGAATTGTTTTGAAATTTTCAAATTCACAAAATCCTATTAAAATGTTTTTTTAAAACTTAATCACTTTAAGTTTGCAAAAAACACAATAACTTACCATATTGAAGATTTGTAAACACAAAACTCAATTAACCATGATTCTTCACAAATTTGCTAATAGCTTAAATGATTTTTGAGTACCCTGCCATAAATTAATTAACAAATCTACAGCATTTTCATCATCAGATTTATTTCGCAACAAGACGAAGGAAAATATAATTAGCACATCCGTAAAAGATCCAAGAAATTCCTATTAACTAGTCTTATCATAAATTTACGTTTTTTTTTATGATTATTGACGAGCCTTAAAGTGAAATAATAAAGAAATAAATCTTGTTTCTTCAAATTTTTTATAAACCTAAACAAAATAAAAAGTATGACTATATATTATATACAATTCATGCAATTGAATCTTTTTCATACATATATATTTGCGACTTGATCTAGCGCTTTATTTGTTAACAAATGAAATGGATTTTTTGAGGATTGTTTTTTCATGTTTGAAAATGTGAGAAATGAGAAATGATTCTTTGCGAATGAGTTATTATTATTTTCTGTACAAAGTTTATTGTCCTTTTAAGCCATGTCGCTTTTCCTTTCTGAAAGAATGAATAAAAAAAAATCGAATGATGCTAAAGCTAAAAAATTGAAATAAAGTATTTTTTATTGAGTTTCTTATTACAAACAATTAAAGTTTTTATTTACAGGAGAGATTATAAGTGTAGTTTATAGTATTGAGCTATAAAGATGATATGAAATTTTATAGCTAATTATTGCTTATGATTATCGATTTACGGTTATTAGTATGTATCCAAGAATATTCTTGTGATGGTCAGGTAAACATTTGGAGTTATAAAAATGTATTGATTCCGTAAATTCAACGAAAGTTCAAATAATTTTTAAAAAAATTTGTCATTCGATTTGTTAATTATAAATATTGAGGTAGGTACAAAATTGATTAGTTCCCTAAAATTAAAATCCTAGTATCTGAATCTACAATTTTGACGTTTCACAAAGATCAGGATTGCTTTTGAATGTTTCAGCACCTTCAGTGTCACCTTCTTTCGTCAACAGCAACTTTCTCATCATTAAATAAATGATTCTAGAAAAATAGTGAAGAATCGTCACATAATTAGTCATTAAAATTAAACGCTTATTAATACTCACATAAACATAATTAATGTCAACAGAAAGAAGAATTCGCTAAGGAAATAAATAGCACCAATAAATGTGTCGACAGTATGCAAATATACAAAAGAATAAATCGTGGGAAAAACGAAATTCACAAGACTTTCATTAACGCCGAGTATGCTAAACATTCGTCCCAACTCATCAGTTCCAACAACTTTTGATATAATTGATTTAATCGCGATTGCCTTTGTGCCGACGAATAAATCAATTGTTGTGCCTAAATAAAACATTTCAGTTGAAGTTGCGAATGCCTGTGAAATTTAATCAAATAATTATTTTTAAGCTAGGTCCCTAATAATAGAGGTCCTTGGTTGAAAACACTTGTAGGAAAATCAAGTTTTTTCATATCGAGGACCCCCAAATTAAATGTAATTAAGTTCTTACATAAATTGGCTTAGCGATTAATGTGCAAATAGTTGAAACGATTCCAATCATTGCATCGGATATTAAATTGAATTTACTAAATATTCCAACCATCAATAAGGTTCCTGCTAAAGCCATAACAGTGCCATATGTAAGGTGCAATGAGAATTTGCTTCCATCCCAATTTATCTTCAATCGCGTGTACAGATATGTAAAATCATTCTCGCCAAGCGATGCCAAAAATGCAATATTACAGATTATTACAAGCCAAACGAGATTCCGTAAATTGCCATCACGCCTCTTAAAAATGACGTCAATAAGTGCCAATACAAGTGTGGGATCGAAGAATTCGCGCAAAAATCCTTTTTTCGTTAATTCCGCTGTTGTTGTATCTGCTGCATCATTTTTGATCTTTATGCTATCAACAGGTGCATCTAAGTTGTTGTTGTCATTAACAAATGTTGGATTTTCCTCTCCATTCAATTGGTGCTCGTTCTTGATGTTATTTGGTGCCGCTGCTTTGACTTCTTGTAGGATGAAGATGATGTAGAGGATTCCAATAATATAAATAATTACACATATCGTGAAGAGCTCTGTAAAGAGATTTTTTTTTCAAGTCATTAGGCTTTTGAATATCTTTTTGACAAAAGAAGATGAAAAAATTGACTTTTGGTTCCGCATGTGTGCTTGTTTGTTGTTAAATAAAATCCCAAAATATTGCAGACATTACATGCGCCTTAAGTCGATTTCAACCATCTAAATTTCAACATTTATCTAAAAGCAATCAACAATTACTTACTTGTATATCCAAGAACATTAAAGAGCACACTGAGTGAGAAGAACAATGATGAATAGCACATAAAGGGGAGAAGATCAAGAAAAAAAATTAAAAAATTGATTGTGTTATTTTTAAAAAATTCGTATGGATGGTAAATTACCCAGAAAAAGGAATAGACACTATAGGAACTATTGTCAAGAAGATGGCAAAACAACCGAACCGAAATGTACGATTTTCTTCTGTTGTCATCTGACTCAAATAACTGTAAACACCGATGAGCATTAAAGTTTGTCCTATGAGAGGAATTCTTGCGTTAATTGAAACGGAATTAAACATGGCTTGCAAAAGTAACGGATTTATTTGGAGGTCGTTCACTTATTACATTCGTATTTTAAGGGGGAGGGGGGGTTTGAAAAATTGTAACAAAATGTAACATAGGGAAGGGGGGGGGGGGGGGGGGGGGTGTCAAGAAGTATGTAACGTTGTAACTGTCTGTCTTTTAAAAAAATTTTCACGAAAAAAATTTGTTTACAAATTCACACCTCTTTAATGATTTATGTCCAGATCTCTTTTGATAGCTAAGCAATACATAGTTTTTGTTATATAAAGTAACAAATCAATAGAAAACTGGTTTACAAAACTTTAAAATACAATCATAATTTTTGGAAATTTTCAAAATTAAATCAATCATAAGTTTAAAAGTAAATCTCTCTAAATCTGTCATTCATATGATGATTAATATGATCCCATCATTGTGATATTTACATTCAAAGTTGATTGTGAATTTTCCAAAATTCGATCGGACATAATATTTTTCATGACATTTTTGAATTTTCTTCAAAAAAAAACAAATTTTTGCTTTATATCTCAATCCAATAATTCATGAGAATACTAATAGTATCAATCAAAACATTACCTATTAAGCTGTACAGTATTTTGATGTTTAAGAAAAAAAAAATACAAAAAGAATTCAACCGTCTTTTTAGTATAAAAAAAATTATCAAAATAAAATAAATTATGAACGAGTTCAGGGGGGGGGGGGGGGGGGTGTGAAAAAAGTTTTTTTGCGTAACGTAATAAGTGAACGGCCTCTTGAATGTTTGAATTAAAAATATAACGAACCTCCAAAAAGAGATGGAACAACACGTTCAGAGAATGCAGGAACTTCCATTGGAATCTCATTCATAAATATGGAGCTCAATAAAAGAACAAGTGCCCCAATTAATTCGCCAAGAATTGGCAATAGCACTAAAGGCTTTCGAATTCCTTTTTTGTCTGACCAACTACCCGCAAAAAGTACAATAATTAATGGAAAGACTGCTGAAATTGGTGATCTTAGACCAAACACAAAAGACAATAATTTTTGCGATTCCGTTTCAGCAATACAGACATTACGGGTGAGATTGTAAATCGTATCGTTGATGAGATTTGCGTCAATTTCTGCTGCCAAATCAATTTCAGCACAGTCAATTCCATTAATCGATTTATCGATCATGTTGCGACATATTTCATCACTTTGGCCTAAATTTACGCGACAAGCCTTCTCTAAATTTAAATTTTCCATCGCAACAATTAGAAGACATGATGGTAAAAACCAGCACAGCGTGAACGGCTCAACAGATATGGAACTGACAATTTTCCTTATTACTTCACGTAAATCCGTTAAAGCCATTTTCGTGACTTTATGTACTGAAGATACTCGCGAGACTAAAATATTGTAACTTCATTAATCCTTTCTTGAGTTTTGGATGTTCTTCATGCGACGTTCTTTAAGATGGTCATCTTGTCTCAATTTTATTTTCGTCTCTCGCGGCAAACACGAGCATCACTATAATTGATTCATTATAATCATCAGTAAATATCATTGTATGTGCTCACTTTGAAGTATGACTTGGATGATTGAAGCTGTCATTGTTGCTGAGATATTGGAGATAATTAAGAGTCAGTCATGCATGTGATGAATTTGTTTGGTGTTGATAAATTCAATGATTTTTTTATGGCTTTAGATTACTTTATTTGATCACAGATTCTGCACGAAATTGTTTTCTAATTTTTACCAATCTACTTAAAGTTTTAAGAATGAATTAGAATTCAGAAAATTCCCAAAACCTTTTAGTCAGAGTTAGTAATCTTGTTGTTATTCAACCTCCTCCCAATTATCGTTGATTTTTTACTGACAGTGTCAAAGTACTCCTCGATGTTGCATCCACCGTCTGATGCCAACTCTGTATTTAAAATAACATTAACCTTTCATTACTGTCTTCTCAACTAGCCATATTACGGCATACTTCTTTATTTGTACTTAATCATCATTAAATCTTGTTTTTCGGTATTTGGTCATGTTCATAAATGATGTTTACTCCATTTATGAGACGTCATAGAGCTTATAAGCTTTAATTAATTTAAGACTTCTCACATAGAAATGAAGCTTTCAATTTGAAATGTTCAATTATATATCAACATTCCTAATGCACGAGCCCTAAGAACTCTTCATAATATAGGAGAGGGATGTAGCGAAATTCCTCAGTAATGATTTCATTGACTTCTATTGCCTGTAATATGTTTAAATACCGAAAATATTACTTTAGCTAAATCTCATTTAGCTTTTTATAGACATTACGTATAGTCTTAAGAAGAGTTTGCAGCTATATTGATTTTTAATTTCATATTTTACTTTTGTTGATTTTTTGTTTTTAAGAAAAAACCACTTAAATTACGATATTGTACGTGACAAGTAATTGAAGCAGTTAGTAATGTCAAGTATTAATGAATTAATTGCTACGTTTACTATCACATAAAATCGAAAATAAAGTCTTTCAAGTGGTTTTTTTTATTCGTGATTTTTTGTCACGTTTATGAAATGAGGAAAAGCTCACGCTGAAATTGGTAATAAATTGAGGTGTTAGATGACGTAAATTTTAAGTTGAAGTTTTAAAAGGTTTTTTTTTCATGAGTCATTGTGAGTTATGTGAGAATGAATTCAAGGATTGCGATTTAAAAATATTATATAAGAACCATACAAATGTTTGATCATTTCATCATTTGGAGGGTTTTTATGAACAAAAAGTTAAAAAAATTTATTGCTGTTGTATTGTTTCAAATCAAAAGCTCTAGAACATTACAAATTCGCTAAAATAAAACATTTGCAAAGTTTTTAAGTAAGGTCATCTCTTAATTCTCTTCATAATCCTTTTGAATTGTTCCGAATGTCTAAACAGCACTCAAAAACTTTATGAGTACACAGTAAACATTCAAAATCTACTAGACAACAATCAAATATGCAGAAAGAAGATGAAACAGCATGAAACTTATTCATTCAACCATTTAAACGTTTTTGTTGGCTTACTGAAAAGGAACTAATTAAATACTTAGGAATAATAAGCTTGGATGCTCCAAAAAGTTTTAAAAGCACCACAAATAGTAAAAAGCCTTAGTTCTTGTATATAAAAAGAAGTTTATTGTTGCTTCAACGAATGAATGTATTTGGAATCAACTAAAATGGTATCAATCTGAAAAAAATAATTTTCAATAATTGAAATACTGAAGCTACCCTAATGTGTATAACTTTTTAATATAATTGTACGAATTTTGAATTAAAATATAGATCGGAAATAATATAGAACAAGAAAGTAACAGGCATTTTATAGGCATTAATATTGAGGAGTATGTAATGTCTTTTAACACTTTGTGTTCTCTCCTTAACTGCAGCATGTTGCTGGTGTTGGATCAAGTCCTGAACTCTTTGTGATCATGAGACGAGTAAATTCTTCAGCAACCGTTGGATGAATACCGACAGTATTTTTAAGGATCTTCATTGTGATGCCTGCTTTCAATGCAGCAGCAAAACCTTGAATAATTTCACCAGCAACTGGTCCCAAGAAGTGCATTCCAACGATTTTCTCATCACCTCCTTTAATTGCAATAGCTTTTAAGTAACAATAACGAATAGAACGTTGAGGAACGAAGAATTCAGTTGGTTTGTAGTAAGCATGATAAACTTCAATGTTATCAGCACCGTGTCTTTCAATTGCTTTTTCTTCACTCAATCCAACACATCCATATTCGAGTGGTGAAAATACAGTCGTAGCAACATCATCATAATCCATAACTTCATCGGAATTATTAAAGAGATGTCTTGCAATAATTCGACCAGCATTAATTGCAACTGGTGTTAATTCAGGCTTCTTATAAAGAACATCACCAACTGCATAAATATTATCTACATTAGTCTTTGAGTTTATATCAACATCGACCTTTCCTTCGATGACATTAACGCCAGCTTTAGCAAGATGCATGTCATCAACTAAGGCATATCGTCCAATTGCGAACAAAACTGTATCATAAATTTCTTCATGAACTTCCTCTGGCTTCTCATTAAATGTCCATTTAACAAGCAATTTTCCATCATCAAGTTTCTCAACAGCCTGAGGCTTTGAGCCCATATGAAAAACAACTCCCTTTTCTTCCATTGATAATTTGATCATATCTGACAATTGTCTGTCAAATCCACGCAAAACGATTGAACGAACCAAAATTGTTGACTCATAGCCCAATCCTTTAAGGAATCCAGCACATTCTAATCCAATATCTAAAAAAATATGATGAAATATTTCAATGTTATTGTGAAATAATCAAAAAAGCTATAAATATCTTCTTACATCCACATCCAACGACAAGAGTTTTGCCTGGTTCACGGTCTAATGAGAAAATGTCATCACTTGTAATGCCATATTCTTGTGCTCCTGGAATATCTGGGTATTTTGGACGTCCACCGCAAGCAATTACAACATACTTGGAATTTAATGTACGTTCCTTTTTGTTCTTCATAACAACATGAACATTATGATTATCTTTAAAGTATCCAAGGCCATTGATATATTCAACTTTCTTATCACGCAAATCAACTCGTGTCACCCAATTTACGGATTTAATGTGATTCTGAACTGATTCTGTCAACTTTGTCCAATTGATCTTTTCTGGCTTCTCGAGTTCCCATCCATATGCCTTTGAGTCCTGTAAACAATCAACATCATTTAGATTTAGATTAATCAAGGGTTTGTTAAATTGAGTGTGAGTCAATAAACTTACATGAATGGCTTCTCCGAGTAAAGAGGCTTGATGCATGAGTTTCTTAGGAATACAACCGACATTTACACATGTTCCTCCGAGACCCCACTTTGTTCCCTGTTATATAAAATAATTAAAAACATGTTAATGAATGCTTGTCAAAAAGCAGATTAAAGAGAAATGATAAATGACATACCAATGGTGTTGGTTTAACGAAATCAAGTACGGCAACTTTCGCTCCCAATTGTGCTGCTTCTTTTGCACATGCTAATCCACCGGAACCACCTCCAATCACGACTAAATCGTACTCATAGGTTTGACCATCTAAAATTTTAAAAGAATTATCAATGCAAACAGTAGAATCGATACATGAGATTAATTTTAGACGCATGATTATGCAAAAAGGCAGATGCTAATGAGTTTGTTTTGATGATTATATTGAAGCTATGCTTAATGCAGCAATTAATGATTAACTACGTAAATTTTTTTCATTAAGTAATGCGAAGTATTTCTGTCAAAACTTGTTATAATTTAACCGTTGTCATAGATACTTTCATAATTTTATCACTTCTTTTATCGATAGATTGCATGACATCGGCTTTCCGTGCATAATTAAATTACTTTTCAGCCTCAAATTTTTCTGTTGTTATCAATTTTTTAATCAAACATTTTTATTACGTCAGATTTGTGAGGATTGTCATTCGTCATCGTTATAAGCACTTTATAGCCATGATTGTTTGAGATAAATGAGCTAATTATCTTTCATTATTGCGCAATAATTAATTTTGAAGAACTTACTGGAACTTAAGAATCTAAAAGTAGTTAACCTTAGATTTGTGACGAAATTCCCTCTATATTGTAAATTAGCTGTTCTAGATGCAATATTTACACTGTTTTTTAATAGATTTAGTACAGTCATCATGTAAATTTAACTATTTAATGAATAATTCATCGAAAAATTCTATTGATACTTTCCGATTGATTCTAGCACAATTTTTCTCACAGACTATGACTGTAAATATTTCATTTTACGACTAATACATGTACAGCACACTTGGATTGTCTTCTTTTTCCTTGAAATTTCATATTTAACTCAAAATTTTTGATCAAAGAAAAATCTATTTTTTCAAATTTTTAAGTGATATTTTATCGATTTTAAAGCAATTAAGATAACTATGAAGTCAATATTAATCACTGGATGTAATCGAGGCCTTGGTTTGGGTCTTATTAAAAGTTTAATAAAACATGAGAAATCACCGAAATTTATTTTTGCGACATGCAGGAATTTAAATGCCGCTAATGTAAGTATAATTTACCATACCTTGTGTTATCGGTGCCATTATTATTGATACAAAACAAACAACAGTTAACGAGACAAATGAACAACTATTAATTATATCCACTGAATAAACCAATTTATTGCAAAACTTTATATGCGGATTATGTTATGTAAAAACCAGTCAAGTAGGAACTATGTTATGTATAAATCAGTCAAGTGGGAGTTTAATATAATTACCATTCTTGACAGTTATTATTGATGCCATTAAAGGCATCGATATCACGTGAATTCTTCTAATTAATGCTGTAAACATGCTCTTATTCGCATAAAAATAAATACTTCCAAAAAATATTCTAAAGTCTTCTAGATAATCCGCACTCATAAAATTATTTAAATTTATTTTGACTGTTAGGAGTTGAAAGGTTTGGCAGAGATCAATGACAAACTTCATATCTTAGAGATTGATTTGAAGGATTACGATAAGTATCCTGAACTTGTTAAACAAGTCCAAGAAGTAGTAAAAGACGAAGGGCTCAATGTGCTCTTTAATAGTGCTGGAATTAGTCCACGTTCATCATTCATGGGAATTAGAGGATTAAAAGCCAGCGAACTGATGGATACTTATGCAGTCAACTGTGTAGCTCCATTGATGTTGTCCAAAGCATTTATTCCTTTATTGAAGATGGCATCAGAAAATAATCAATCATTGCCTTTAGGTGCTAGTCGTGCTTTAATTATGAACATGAGTTCCATTCTTGGATCAATCAAATTAAATACTGACGGATCACTTTATCACTATCGAGTTACTAAATCAGGCGTAAATGCAGCTACCAAGTCGTTGAGCATTGATTTGAAGAACGAAAAGATTATGGCAACAGCTATTCATCCAGGTATGATTTTCCGGATATTGTTTCTGAAACTTTGAATGAAAAGTTTAAAACTATGTAAATGTTGCTCATTAAACGAATTTGTAAGGTTTTAAAATTCAAATATAATTCAAACGCCACGCTGGAACAACAGAATAACTGACAAAAACAAAATTCTAATAAGAATCCATTTCTTTTAGGATGGGTAAAGACTGACATGGGAGGTCCAAAAGCACCGATGGAAGTGGAAGAAAGTTGTGATAAAATGGTTGAGACATTATTCAACCTGAATCCAACACACAACGGAGCATTTATTCAATACGATGGTAAGTCACTGCCATGGTAAGAACTAGGCTACATAAATTGGAAGAGATATAGTCTTTTAAAATTAATAGTAAATTTATTATCATTATAATTAATAAAATTATGTATCATAATCTCAATAAATCCCATTGAAAATCTTTTTGTTTGAGCTTTTCTATTGCCAAAATATCTCCATTTGTTGTTGATTCAATTAATTACAGTTGACTGCCAAAAACATGTCCTAAATGATGAGACATCCTTCACTTATTAATGCTTAATTAAATGACTCGGATAAAATGTAGTTAAAGGACATACGGTGCACAATTTTTTTGTTCCAAAATTGAATTTCGTTTGATTCACTTCCAATTGTGTAAATGCTCGGGGCCTGAACGGTATGTGATTTTTATTTCCCATAATCTTCATGCATAAATCAATATTACAAATGATGCGTTGCTTAATTTCCTGTGAAAAATTATTTAAACTCAATATCTTTGGATAAAGCATGAATTTATGAAATTACATTGAAATTGCTTCGTATTTTTCTCGTGTATTGCAACCTCATGATTCCTCACGTCATTCTCTCGATAGAATGTGGCATTACAGTATCGACATAGGAACGACCTGTGATGAGATTTCTGATGCGTCTGTAAATTATTAGCTGATTTAAACTTCTTGGAACATGTCGGACATTGGAAGTTTTTGTCTGTGGTATTGTGAACTATCTCTTGGTGCTAAAAATAATGTTTTCATTTAGAAAATAATGTTCATAAATCCATAAATTAATATTTATCAATTTTATGTTTTTCGAACCATCAATCACACATCAACGTACAACGTTGTCACAGCATACAATATATGTTTATAAACATCAAGCAAAAGACACTCGTATCCATTCTCGTTTGTCATTTGATGATACAGCATAAAGCATAAAACATAAATATTATGCTAAATTTTACCTTAGCCAGATGATGCTTTGTCATAAATCGTTTCGTGCATTTTACTCCGGATGCTTCAAAATTGCAACAAAAATTTCGTTCCCGCTGTGGTCCATGTATGTTTCTTAAGTGCGTTGCTAATATGTACTTATTGGAAAAATTTTTGTTACACTCTCGACAAATATTCATGATTTTTTCTTTGATAAAAAATGATATACAGGACCAATGGAAAAAAAGATACAAGGAGCTTGCCACTTTTCAAAAGGATTGAATATTAAGGGGGACTTTGTGCAAGAGAAAAAGATTGGAAAACTCAAGCATCACTTTGAAATTTTAACGTTCGTTAAATCAGTTTTTTTTATTAGATGTGCTACATATCATACCTCTTCATTATCAATAATTTAGATGTTCACCTTAACAATTGTCGACAGTTAATCATTGATGTGAGAATAATTACATTTGCTGTTTCTTTTCTACTAATTAAGAATCTATAATTAGATAGCTTTTACATTAATGTTTCATGGATGTGACAAACTGAAGTGGAAATGGCAAAAGGGTATCGCACGTGGATCATTTACAAATGTTTAAAAAAGAAATTTTTAACGTCTTTCAAAATTTTGACTTTACATTTTTGGTGCTTGCCCAAATTTTTGAAATCCGTTGAAATTTTAAAAATTCTAAAACCGTTTGAATAAAACCAACTCCAATCAATCACTGATGTCAAACCACGAACAGACTCAACAATATGAGTAAAGAGGACAGATGTAATTAAATGTTTACCACTGAAGTTTCGCAGCACATCGGTGTACGTTTGATCAACAATACATGACACATCATGTCAATTGAGGTTGTTTCAGGGGCGTAGCCAGAAAATTTTTAAGGGGGGGCCCATTTTCGAAAATTAAAAAACCGTTGTTTTGTATCCTTAAATCTATATTCATTCTTCATAAGTTTAAATATTTAATTCATTATTCATACATTAAATTTAATTTTTCGTGCTGATTTTGACATTTCTTTCATCACTTTCTCTACATTAACTGGTTCTTCTCTATAACTACTTAATAAAACAGTTATCAGATTTTCGTAGGGGGGGCCGGGCCCCCTATGGCCCCCCCCTGGCTACGCCCCTGGGTTGTTTGATTATTCTGTAATGGAAATTTCAATTTTATCCTTGTTTGGTTGAATTTGGTATGGTATGTATTACTGATGCTGGGTTATAATTCCAGAAACTATAAGTCCAGAAAATCATAGCCAATAAAGGTTGATAAGTCCAGATACAAATTGCACCTGCTGGCAAATGCAGCTGGAATTATAAACTGCACAAGAGGTCCAGCTACATTTTTCTGGACTTATAATCCTTGAAAATTATTTTTGAAATTATTTCAATTTTTTTTTTCTTTATTAATTATGAAAAATTATGCATTTGAAAATAGGCGATTCCAGAACGGTAAATTGCAAAAATTTTGACTTCAAATGATTTTTTTTGTCGAAATTTTTTACTAAACCTTACAAGCTTTTAAGTTTTTCTGATGTAATTTTTTATTTCCTATCTACTTAGTTATTTGTCCAAGCATAAAATGTCCTAATTAGATTAAATTAGAATTAAGATATTTCAATTCTTCGGCCCGTTGCTTTGTGACCAAAAATAGAATTTTGTAAAAGTTTCAACAGGGTTTTCAAAAATTTTGTATCAAATACTCATCTTTGCAGCATTAAATGTACACTTAATGATAGATTAAGATCTGTTTAGAAATGTAAATGCTCCAAACTCCAGTAATAAAGCTTAAAATAATTTTCAAGAATTATAAGTCCAGAAAATCAAAGTCAATAAAGGTTTATAAGTCCATATATAAAATGTACCTGGACTTAAAAACCTCTCGTGCAGTTTATAGTTCCAGCTGTATTTGTAACTGGACTTATGAACTGCACGTGAGGTTTTTAAGTCAAGGTGCAATTTGTATCTGGACTTATAAACCTTTATTGACTTTGATTTTCTGGACTTATAATTTTCTGTGCACGATTTTTGTATCTGGACTTATAATCTCTGGACTTATAACCCAGCATCTGTATTACTCATAAAATGTCTCAATTAACCAACGATTAATGATGAAAATCAAAGATCGTTGACCTATAGGAAAGACTACGAAAAGTTTTTTTTTATGTGTTTTCTACACTTTATTACAGTTTTTCGTCTGTTTTTCTTTATTATATTAAATTATATACATAATAATGCAATGATTTTAAGATGCAAAAATATAATTATGTAACTTTTTTCATTCTCATCTACCAATTATGTTACCAGTATAATTAAGTGTGTAAGTAATACTATTTTTATATAGTGTTATGGGAAATTTTTTTTTTATTAATAATAAGATCCTTTCTTTTTGTTATTTTTCATCTTTCTACTGTTAAAGATTTTCTTTTTTTATGTATAACTGTTTTTAAATTTAATTAAAATTTATATTCTGAACATGTTGTACCTGTGATTTATGTAAGAGCAGTGAACTTTTAAAGCTCATCATTTTTATTAAAAGTTTGAATTAAATGAAACATAAATTTATTTATTTATTTTTTTGATAGAATATGATTTAAGGTTTTTTTTGTATAGCGAACAATTGGAGAAAATAAAATATTAAGTAGAAATCAACGAGTTGAATTGATTTGGAATTGCTTACTGAATGCGACATTCGTAGATGGGAATTGAATTTATTTTGATAAGTAAAATCTGTTTTTTAAAAATTCATGTTGAAGTTCTTGGTTTTTAAACAGAAAAAAGAATTTAAGACCAGAAATCATATTCCTAATTTGAGTGCCTATTAAAATAACGAATTTTAAAATTTCGAAACTTCATTTTTACGAACTCTCATTTTTACGACCATATCATTTTTTACGAAAAATTATTTTTTCGACTTTTTTATAAATTTCAAATTCTAAAATGTCGTTAATTTCATCACGTGTTCTCTTCAATAATAAATCTTCAAAAAAAGATTAAGAGAACAAATGTTTTTAAATGTATGGAACTAAAACATATTTTTTATTCAATATTACATTTCATGGACTATATGTGTATGTTTAAAGGAGTAACAAACACAATTAAGCTCTTAAATCATTTTTGACTCCTGCAATAGCCTTTGATGTTTCAACTCGTGGCACGGATTTTCAACGGTTCAGGATTGATTTAATGGAATTCTCTGTCTTTTCAAAACCTGGAAAGCCACAAAAGCATAGAATACCAGGTTTTGAAAAGACAGAGAATTCCATTAAATCAATCCTGAACCGTTGAAAATCCGTGCCACGAGTTGAAACATCAAAGGCTATTGCAGGAGTCAAAAATGATTTAAGAGCTTAATTGTGTTTGTTACTCCTTTAAACATACACATATAGTCCATGAAATGTAATATTGAATAAAAAATATGTTTTAGTTCCATACATTTAAAAACATTTGTTCTCTTAATCTTTTTTTTGAAGATTTATTATTGAAGAGAACACGTGATGAAATTAACGACATTTTAGAATTTGAAATTTATAAAAAAGTCGAAAAAATAATTTTTCGTAAAAAATGATATGGTCGTAAAAATGAGAGTTCGTAAAAATGAAGTTTCGAAATTTTAAAATTCGTTATTTTAATAGGCACTCTCCTAATTTATCGGACATTTCAAATTCAAATTTGATTTAAACGGTATAAATTCCAAAATTTACAGTAACTGTTCTGAGCTTTTAAACATTCAAAAAAAAAAAACTTAACGTCTTTTAGTAAAGAATCATAAAAAAATTTATCGTATAATCCCAAATCAATTTCAATCGTTCAGCATAAAACGATTCTTCTAAAATAGAAGCCTATTAACCATCTAAGTACATATTTCAAACGAAATAATTGGAAATTTTGATCATCATTAATTAAGGTATCCTTTATCATAATAATTATTATTTGAGGTACTTTCTGAAAGAACCAGAAAAAATACATTTTGTTTACTCCTTTATGCCATGAAAAACACAAATCGATATTTTGTATCCAATGTTCATCTAAAAAAATTGTTGGCCTAATCGCAAGTCAATTTATCAAATTTATTTTTTTTTGTATTACCTTGTATTTAATATTATTTATTAAATATTAATATTATGCATTTAAATGTAAAGTCTCTAGGGTTCACAATAATCCAGTTTTCATCAATTTATTATACTTGATCTAATTTCATTTATTTTAAAGGATATTAATTCTTTGAAGCCACAGTCAACGTACATTTGAGTTTTTTTTTATTTTGTCATGTTACAAATTTTAAATTACATTATGCCACAAAAAAGTCATTCTCGATTCTCGCGATCTCATTCATTCTACAAATACATATTAAATTTAATTATTTTACTTTTTTGGTAAACAATAAGCTAAGTAGATTCATTTTTAGATGATTAACAAATCGACATGATGACGAACCATAAAATTTCTCTACTCTATTCAAAAATGTGTTTAATAATGTCTATAATTAAAAATTGGCTCCGGCCAAAAAAAAATTTATCCTCTACGTACACCATTTTTCAGTCTCTCGCAATATAACTTACGGAAAAGTTTATTATGGTTTTGATATGAAAAATGATGAGTGCTTTGAACAGGCGTTAAATCTTGTAATGAATGTTTGTAATGTGAAAATTGATCAAATTTGGTTGGTTGAAAACCATACAAATTCATTTTGTTTTAAAATTTCTGTATAAAAATCCGATAAAACCTTACAAAGTCAATTCCATTTTAATAAGAACCGTATAAATTCTGTTTTATGCTGTCTAAAACCTTACAACAGTAAAGTTTTTCTGTAGAAGCAAATGAGATTTGGATTTTTCCAGCAATCCAAAGAGTTTGGTAGCATATGAAGCTAGATTTGATTAGAGAATTAATAATTTGTCGAATTCAACACATTTATTTGTGCTCAGAAGTAAAAACTAAATATCCTTGAATGTCATCTTCTAAAATCCAATAAAATCAATAAAAAGATTCTCAAAAGAACGAAAGAAATGCCGATGAGATGAATAAGCATAAATTATTGAAGCGCAACATCCCCGTCAGGACGATTGATCCTTTTTCTCTCAATATTTTAAATAAGTGAGATTAAATTACTTGCCGTTACTTGCTACTCACGCAAAATTGAATTAAAAGCACGTGATGCGTATACAAAAAAGATATACTGTTGCTCTTTAACATTATATAACCTTTGTTCTCAGAACTGTCTCCATAACTACAAAATAGATATTGTTACCAATTTTATCATTTTAAACGATCCGAGCTGTCGATTTGAATAAATTCTTTTGAATGTTTTTATTTGGAAGAGAAAAGAATGAAGTTTGAGTTCAGAATGAACGAATCTTCGACCGCATTATTATGTATCACGGATTATGGAGTATTTTATCACAAAAACAGGCCGTAGGAAGCTTTTTAAGCTTTTCTTCTTAGAATTAGAATGTTCAATTCGGGTAAGTACTTAAAGACATGAGGAGAAGAACAACAGTACCGGGTAAAAAGTATGCAAATGATGTTAGTCTTTCGAATTCTATAAATAAACAATCAAAATATACATTGTAGCTTCAATATTGGATAAATCCTTTGCAGCACTTAAAGTGCCCCCGAAAAAAAAAAATAAAAGTTTTATGCCTTGACTCATTTTTTGGTTAATTTCTCACGGTTGAAACACTACATTTAAAATGGTGGGATATAACTCGACTCTAGAAATTATGAAACACTAATTTTAATTATTTCATTACTTAAAATTTAATAATGTTTTGCCTCTTTCTATTAAAAAAGTTTTTTTGAGCTTTTAGCTTAATTTTCTCATCTAAATTAAGTTCATTTATGATGATCACACATGCATTAAATGAAATTTGGTTTTTTTTGTCTTGAAACAAATTGCTATATAAACTATATATAATTTGTAAGTTTCATCATCTTAAAATTTATAAATTATCATAACTAAAATTAAGTATGTTATTCATCATCACAATCTGTTTATAATAAGAGAATTTTACTTTTCATATTTTATGTTAAAACTTTGTGAAATTTGAAATCCGTTAAAAATGTTTCAAAACCCTTCAAATTCCGAAAAGAATTTCTAAGGTTTTCAAACATTTAAAAATTTATTAAAGCCAAATCTCACATTTCTCAACTATGAAAACGTAACTGCTTAAAATTAATTAGGAGCCGTTCACTTATTACGTTACGCAAAAAACGACTTTTTTCAACCCCCCCCCCTCCCCCCTTGTTACAATATGTTACAACTCACAACCCCCCCCCCTGAACGTTCATAATTTATTTTATTCTGATAATTTTTCATAAATCATTAAAAAGGTGGAAAATTTAAAAAAAAAATGTTTTTGGTGTGAATTTGTAAACAAATTTTTTTCCTATTTTTAAAAGACAGACGACAGTAAAAACGTTACATACTTCTTGACACCCCCCCCCCTATGTTACATTTTGTTACAATTTTTCAAACCCCCCCTCCCCCCTAAAATGCGAACGTAATAAGTGAACGGCTCCTTAATGATGAAATAGAGAATGAAAAAAAAGTCCTTATCATTAACTTTAATCAAAAACATTAGAAACGAAAGATAAAAAATTAAAAGTCTACAATTTCCATTTTAAATGGCTTTTTTGATGAATTTTGATGATTGTTGTAGTAAATTTTTAAATTATTATTATTATTGTTCTTTGAAGTCATCGTCATCGGTTCATCATCATCCACATTGTCTTCTGAATCACTCGTTGCTAAAGGTCCTCCAATTCTCGTCTTTCCATTTCCGTAGTCATCATCATCCTTTTTTTGGAGAAAAATAATTAAAGATTAATTCAATTTTAACTTAGATTAGGTCTTAAAGTAAATTTAAAGCTGCCTTAAATTGCAGAAATAATAAAATGTGCATTATTTTTGACCAAACAGCTATTTGAACATTTTAATAATTTGTTCAGCTTCCAGAACCACACAACAACTTTGAAATCATAGTAAGTCATACAATTTAAAATAAAATCAATTTAACGAAAAAAGTGTTTCATTGAGTTAACAGAGCACCTGAAGTGAGTGATCCTTACGTAAGTGAATATTTTTGTTTCATTATTAAAGTTAAAGAATTGCAAATAAACTAGGTGAAATCATAATTTTAAAGAATTGTGTATTTAATCAATTCTTTACAACCAAAGTAAATCAAAAAATCTCCTTCAATAAAAGTTTTCCCATGAGTTTAATTAAATATGAAATATTGCAGAATAAAAAGAAATCAGGGAAATAAAGGAAGTAGGACAAAAGTCTGTAATTTATCGATTATCATATTTTAAGCTTATAACAAAATATATCAGCGATTAAGTTTCTTCCAACGACCTGTCTTTCACACATAAGCATTAGATTCAGTCACACATTTTACAAAGGAAGAAACATAACTACTTTTTATTAACATGCCAAATTAGTATCGTTAATCAATAATCATAATAAATAAGAATGAAATTCTTTTGTTATGAATCAATAATGGAACATTTCCTTTCTAATATTGTTGAACTGTTGACATCAAAAGGACTTGTAAACTTCTTGACGTAGCTGAATCTTTAAGATTATATTATCCTTCTTAATTGGGACAAAAAGTCATGACAAAACTTGAAACTCTTCTGTGACATGAGTTAAAACCTTGAGGATTTAGCAAATCAATTTAGACTTAAAAGCTTCTTGGAAGTTTAAAACTTCTTGACAATGTAAAATGATACCGTCAAGTTAATGGTCGCTAAAGATAGCTCGAGGCAAAATGTCATGGTTTATTTATACGATACTAAGTGCAACAAAGAGTTTATTCGCCTTTAATAGACACTCAAACAATCTCGACAATTAGAGAAAATGAGCTAAATAAAAAGTAAGTAGCAACAATAAGCATGCATTAAGTTTAGGCTTAATAAAATTACTATTCAATTACCGTATTATGTTAATATCTAGCAAGGATATTGTCAATCGTTATTTTATAATTTTTTTTTGGGACAAAACAATTTCAACATTTTTTTCTTTTTCATTTTGTTTTGCTGCGCGGTTTATTCTTTATGTCTTAATTCTATACAATTCTTTAATTTTTGAGCATTTCGTTAATTATTTTTTCATCGAGAGACTAAAAAAAAATCTGTTCTGTGTGAATTTTAATAATGGTGTGTCGTCACTTGGAAAAATTTTGAATGCCTCGTTCTGTTTTTCTCTGATTTATGGATGCAGGCACATTGTTGTAATCACGTGACATAATTGCTGATTAAACTGTGACTTAGTAATGATTTTGTTAAGTGTATTTTTTTGTAGATCTGCTTTTTGTTCTATGTACACACACATTTATAATTTTGTTTGAATATAATTCTTATTGTAAAGAATATATAGGAATCCAAACTACACACAGATGAATTAGTAATGTTTTTGACGTATCTTGATTTCCTTCATATCATCATCCTCATTCCTCTATAACTTTCAATAAAGTATCCATTAATGATTATTAAAACTTTTTTTTTCATATCCAAATTATAATTTCTAAATGAGAAAGAAAAAATTCTTGTTTTAGCAATAATCAGGAAATATAGTATTTAGCTTATAAAAGTCAAATTTTTATAGCCTATTTAAATTATATTTCCTCTCAAAATTAAAATCTTTTCAATAAAAGAATAATAAATAGAGAAATGAAAAAGAAATAAAGTTGAATGATTAGTAACTTACATCGAAATCTCCAATCGTAAATCGCGTTGCTGCGAGTGAAGAAGCTGGCGGAAGAGGCATATCGGGACTCATTGCCTGTCATTTTTTTTAAAGTCAATCAAAGATTATTTCAAATCCAAACATTTCATTGAAATATCAATTTGTTATTTAATATTTTGCATTATATCGGTTAGTCAATTCGATCCAGATGTCAGTCAATTACATTTAAATATTTTATTATTATTAGAATATCACACGGAAGGGATCAGAGTAGGAAGGAATTTTTGTTTTAAGAGAAAGATAAAAAAGAAAGACATGGAATAGAAAAACATTGATTAATTATTACGTCTATGCACATATATCAATATTAATAAATACATTTTTTCAAATACTATTGCTATAAACTATAATCAATTCATATTTAATGTTTATAGCTCCAAACACGAAAAATAAAACATCACTACAATGCAGGAGTGTACCTAGAGGCCTCTTTTTATCTCTTTGTAAAATTAGACAAACTGCAACAACTTAAAAGTAAATGATTCTTACTAGACCAGAACACATTCCTAATTTTCATTTTTTTATTGCTACATTGAAATTGGTGACACACTCTTAAAAAAAATTAACAATGCATTGTAACTTTGTATGAAAAATTTTACAATGTTATGATTAAAATGGCGTTCTTCATGAAATTGTTAAATTTAACAATGACCATTGTAAAAATTTTTGTCAACAACAATATTGTAAAAATTAACAATCATATTTTAAAAAAATTTTGGAGGTCACCCATCCAAAAAGGAAATAAAATTTTGCTGCTTAACTTTCAATGACGTGAGTTTAATCGTAATCATATTTCTTAATTTTTAATCTGATTATAAGTGACAAAATAATTATTTAAATGAAAAAATCAATTTTATAAATAGTGAAAGTATAAATAGATTGCATTAGAGCTTTGACCTTAACGGCTTTATTTTTTAAATATTAAATAGTCTGAATGAAATTTCTTGATACACTCCTGCAAAAAATATAGATCTATATATAGACGTATGGAAAATGAAGCGATTAGTAATTCATTTTTAAATCAATAAAGCATGTCTAATGCAAATCAATTTGGTATTGCTCGAGAATTTTTTTTATAATCTAATCTCGTTAATCTACGTAATTGTGTTTTATCTTTGTGATTTTTCCCCCTTTTCAATAATATAAACTCAATTACAAGTTATACAATGTGTAGATTGAAAATTATATATGTTGGTAATTTTCATCCTCAACATACGTAATTTGGGTACAATTTTAAATTAAAAATACACAATAGATACATACATAGTTGACATACGTAAGCAGAGCGTATGAATACACCAATAAAAAAATTTAAAACGATAATGAACACATGGTGGAAAATTTTCATTGTGGAAAAATTCTAGAAATGAAAACTTTTTTTTTCAAGGCCTGAGCAAGGCTCATTCATGAAAAAAATCGTTAATTGCATATACAATCATGGAGCATGATAAAGCAATATATTCCGGAAATTTGTTTTCATTTAAAACGTTTTTAAGGGTTCGCCATGCGCATGCAAGAGCATGCTTATGCATTGTGACTTTTATGATTTTTTTTAATTTCCAAAAATTTTACATAAATTTTTGATTCCTTTTATTTTGTCACGTCAATCGAAAATAAAAGTTGAAAAAAATATAACGAATAATCGAAGCGAACCCTAAAATTTTAAAAGCCGAGATTTCAAGGAACAAGAACTTTCTTCCTCTTTCTTCACATCATTTAAAGGATATTCTTAAATAAGCTGACTCGAAGTACCACAAGCATTCATACAATGAGAATAGAATAGTAACTCCTAATGAAATATATGGCACGTCTTACTAAGTAGAACATTATAGAGAAGTAAATTCACTAAAAAAGATGAAGACGCATGTGGAAATGAAAATAAATAAAAATGTTTTATTTCTTTGCTCGAAATGACGAGAGTGAAAAGAGGAAATTTCATCTGAAGTCCTTTTTTTGTGTTCAATTGCCTTTATAACTTCCGAATTGTTATAATATAAAATGCAAGCACATATATACAATATACACACAAAAATAATCATTATGACCGTGTTCTTGTGTGTGTCGTAAAAAAATTATATTATGTATGTCGAATAAATTATTTTAACCATATGACGGCATAGAGGATATTGCATATTGAATGAATTTTCACTTACGTCATCATCTTGATCAATCATCTCCTTTGTTGAAGCAGTTGTCTCATTACGACGAATTGAGCCTTGATGAATGTCAAGATCAACCTTGAGAATTTGGAATCGACGGAGCAAGTATACGAGTGGCATTGGTAGAATCCCTGCAAATATCATTCCCAAAGCAATAGCCATGACCCAGTTTGGATAATGAAGCTCTACACCTTTGCCCTAAACAAATGAAAACAGAGATATAAAGTTAATCATTGTCATAACACGAGATTATCTAGTGGGCGTGAAGTACGGCTGAGACCCATATCGACACAGTTCAAAAGTTATACCTAATTTATGTCATAATTTTTTCAGTTACAAAAACACTTAGTTTGAATTTTGTCACCCTCGGGAACACTATGAACCAGTATAGCCGATACTTAAGGCCATACTTCACACTTATTTGAACCACATTTTCTCATAAATGTTAAAATATTATTAAAGAGTAATTAATCCTGAATTATGTCGCTTTTTGTCAAGTGTTTTAAGATAAAGAATTTTTTTTTGGTTTCCGCAGTGAAGAGTATGAACAAAATTCAGATGGGGTAGTCAAAATTTTAGCTTTCGATTTTTTTTAAGCTATGCATTATAAAAAATAATATTGGTATGTGATTTATGTCAGAATTATGTCAATTCAAATAAAATATTCAAAAAAATTTTTTGACCAAAGTACACCATAGAAAATCAATTTTCAATTTTTGACTAGGGGCGATCCTAGTCAAAATCAATTTTGTCACTCTTTTCTTCGAGGGTTTATCCAAATGGATTGAAACTTTGCATAAATATTCTAGTGCTTAAAACAAATACAAATAAAACATTCTAAAATTTTTTTGAACAAAGAAACAAGTAGGAAATACATTTTTTATTATGAACTGGGGACAAGCCTAGTCAAAATCTAGTTTTTCGATTCGATGTTTATCTAATTACAGTGAAACTTTGTATGAGCATTTTAGTACTCAGGTCACACATTTCTGAAAACATAAAAATCATTTTACTCGTATAATAGACAAAATTTTAAGTTATGTTGTTTTTGAATGAACAACCAAATTTATCAAATTTGGGTTTGACGACTTATAGAATACAATTTTCGTTTTAGATATTTAAAACTGTTTGGCATAAATATTAGTATACTCACACAAAGTTTCACTGTAATTGGATAAACATTGCAAGAAAACAAAGCGAAAAACTAGACTTTGACTAGGCTTGTCCCTAGTTCATAATAAAAAATGTATTTCCTACTTGGTTCTTTGATCAAAAAAATTTTAGGATGTTTTATTTTTATTTTTTTTAAGCACTAGAATATTTATGCAAAGTTTCAATCCATTTGGATAAACCCTCGAAGTAAAAAGTGACAAAATTGATTTTGACTAGGGTTGTCCCTAGTCCAAAATTGAAAATGTATTTCCTACTTGGTTCTTTGCTCAAAAAAATTTTAAAATGTTTTATTTGTATTTGTTTTAAGCACTAAAATATTTATGCAAAGTTTCAATCCATTTGGATAAAGCCTCGAAGAAAAAAGTGAGAAAATTGATTTTGACTAAGTTCGCCCCTAGTCCAAAATTGAAAATGTAATTCCTACTTGGTTCTTTGCTCAAAAAATTTTAGAATGTTTTATTTGTATTTGTTTTAAACATTAGAATATTTATGCAAAGTTTCAATCCATTTGGATAAAGCCTCGAAGAAAAAAGTGAGAAAATTGATTTTGACTAGGGTCGCCCCTAGTCAAAAATTGAAAATGTATTTTCCATGGTGTACTTTGGTCAAAAAATTTTTTTGAATGTTTTATTTGAATTGACATAATTCTGGCATAAATCACATAGCTTAAAAAAAAATCGAAAGCTAAAATTTTGACTACCCAACCTGAATTTTGTTCTTACTCTTCACTGTGGAAACCAAAAAAAATTTTCTTTATCTTAAATCACTTGAAAAAACAATAACTGAATTTAAATAAATTAAAAAGATAAATATATTCACAAAAATTGAAAATTTTGTGTGAATATGACTAGGTCAAAAAAATATAAATTTGATTTATGTAACTGACAAAATTATGACATAAATTAGGTATAACTTTTGAACTGTGTAGATATGGGCCTAGGCCATACTTCACGCCCACGATTATCTACAGATTATGAAAAATAAACTTACAAGTACTGCGTCCCAAGCTTTGTATTTTGGCACTTCCTTAATGTAACCCCAAACAGATGCGACGAGTAAGATACTCATTAATCCAGGTCCAATATATCTCCATGTTAGTTGCCAATACCATCCAGGTCTATATCCAGTCATTTGATAAATATCTTCTGTGAATCTATTGATTGTTTATTGAATATTAGAAAAAGTAATGAAATATGAAGAAGAATGTCTTACTTCTTATGACCATAGACATAAATAACAGCAATCATTTCCATAAATGCCACAACCACCAATCCCAATGTACCAGCAAATGAATCAAACATTTTAAGCCAGTATTCGCCAGCACCTGTGTATTAATAAAAATAAAATATTATAAAAATTTCTCCATATAAAAATGGCGTGGGATTAGATGCGTAAAAAATTCTTTCTTCTTACCAGTTGTGAAAATGAGACCGACAATGAAGCAGAACAGACAGACGACTCCCGTTAAAATTGGCTTGCGTACACGCTTGAAGATATCGATATCGAATATTGTGCAGAGCATTCCTTCTAACATTCCAATTTGTGATCCTAATCCTAATGCCAACAGCATTGTGAAAAAAAGAACTGCCCAGATAGTTGATCCTGTAGATAACATGGAGTTTTTTTTCAACACGTAAATACTTGTTGACATAGTAATAAATTTTAATTCTACTACCTGGTAATTCAACAATTGCTTGTGTAAATATGATGAAAGCTAATCCAGTTCCTTCAGCGGCTTTTGAGAGATTATCTTCTAGACTACAAATTTGAAGTCCCCAATCCTTAATACTTGTCGAGTTTGTTGAATTTAATTGATTAACCATGTTTGTAACAGCATCATCCAGAAGATTTGTGTCATTTGTCAAATGATGATTCAGTAAAAGTTGTCGGTTCCTGTAATTTTATCATATAGTAAACATACTGCGTTGTCAAAAACATATCATAATATGCGTATCTTACACGTCAATACAAGATTCTGTATTCTTTGTAGCCTTGAAACCCAAAATGGCGAATATTACAACTGATGCGTAGATTGCTGTAAAAGCATTACAGAGTGACACAAGAAGAACATCCCTAACGCAATTATTCTTTGGGGTATTATAACTTCCAAATGCTATGAGTGAACCAAAAGCTAGTCCAAAACTATAGAAAACTTGCGTTGCAGCATCTAACCAAACATTCGGCAATAAAAGCATTTCAACTTTTGGCTTATACATATGCATTAAACCGGCACCAGCACCGGGTAACGTTATTCCTCGAACGAAAAATATTGTCAGTACTAAATAAGGGAAGAGCGATGTAAAATACACAGCCTACGCATGAAATTAAAAAGGAAAGTGAGGAAAGAATTTATGTCTTACATTTTTTATATTAAAGTAAATCTTCTTACCTTTCCGGAGCTCTGAATACCTTTCATTACAATGAAAAATACCACGAGCCATGCCAATATGAGGCAGATTATAATCCACCACTTAAATCCACCATTGTCATCTATACTTGGTGATGCATCCAGTGTATCACGATACCAGAAATACTCAGTTTCAGAAGACCTTAAACATTCGTCGACAAATGTATTATTCGGTCCCAATCTAGGACATTCGGACCATGGCAAAGGGTACTGAAAGAAATAATTTAATTATCATTGATGGCTTTCAATACGAGCGAAGACACTACTTACTCGAAAACTATTTATAAAGTAGTAAATACACCATGTAATAATAACATTGTAATAAATAGCAACAAACAGCGTCACGATACAAGATGAAATTCCAATGCCTCCCAGCCACGGATGAATAGTGTTCCAAACACCCAGACATCCCAACCTCATTCGTTGACCTATGCCCAACTCGATTAAAAATAGAGGAATTCCCTCTAATACCAACATGATCATAAATGGGATCAAGAAAGCTCCTGTAATTGAATATAATATATAAATAGATTTACAATTAGCATCAAATCAGTATCAATTCATGTGACATTTGCTCCCTCAATCGAGTCATTATAAGCACGTTTTTAAATTAGTAAGATCATAGTACGGCGCCTCATCATTATGTCACAGTATAATATTAATTTATATATACATGCATGCATACGTCGACTGTCGTGATGTGTCATGACTTACATTTTTATTTAACTATTCTATTCATTGTGCATACAAGATAAAATGCACTTTTTTCACATGATTCATTTTTATTTAATTTAAATGACTACGTCAATTTGCAAAAAGATTTCAAGAGTAGATTTAATTAGAGGAATGGCGCTGCATTTTCGTCCGCTTTTTAACCATGACAAAAATTTTCATTTTCATTTAACTAAGCGTGAGAGAAACAAAATGTGTAAACATGTTTGTAGGTGTTTTGACCTTAAAAATCGTTGCACTGATTATTGATGGAATTTTTTTCCTTCTCAGATTTATGCATGTATTGCTATTGACATTCAAAATGTTTAATATCTATAAAAAAAAACGAAAGCTTTTTCAATTTAAAAAAATTGTTTATGAAAGATCGTGGGACTTGATTGTTTTTGATATTGAAATTTTTCCATTACAAAAAAGGTTTCCGTGAATGGATTTTATTTTTTTTTGTGAGCTTGGGTTGAATAAATTCACTGCAAAGTTCGTATTGATTCTGATTACTATTCTTTACCGCAATGTTCCAATAATTTTTATAATTATAAAAATTGATTTTTCATCACTATTCATTCAGATACAAAGTTTACAATAGCAATTTAAAACTTCTTGCAATTCACATGGAATTTATAACGATAAAAAAAAAATCAGTAATGAACGAGAAAAGTTCATAAAAGATTCATTAATAGTCTACATTCAGCAATAATTACAATCGATACATCAAGTGCTGTTGACGACGTTTAAGCTTGAAAAAGAGGGGGTTAGGCTTAATGGTGAGCTCGATAGCTCTGTGACACTTTATAGAGTGCTCTTACACCCTTATTGAAAATTAATTTTTCTTCGAAGCACATCATTTATGATTGACCATCCAAACATTTAAATAACTCGATATTACATGATAAAAGCGAATATTTTTCATATAAATTCAAGTAATCTCAATCATGCATGACATTCATCATGACTCAAATGCAAAAAAAGCGTGCATTACGGAAAATAAAAATTAGCCGGTAAATGAAGTCACACACAATTTATTCTGACATTGAAAATGCATTTACCGCAATAAGCCGAGATTTTCTCCAAGGCAGTCCATTTACATTACTTGATATTATGAAATAAAAGCGGTAGTTTATTTTTGTGTAAATGTTATCGCACATAATGTGCCATTTATCAACAGCGACGACGAAATTATCTATAATTGTAAGTTAAGGGAACTGATTGAATGTAAATGAAGTGATAATTTGTAGTGGATTTTGCTTAATAAACTGACGTTACAATGTTTGAAGTACACAACTTTGATTATTATGCAAATAATTCAATATAAATATAGATCAGGAAAGGCGGAAATTTTATAGAGCAATAAAATTTTCTTATGAACAGCACCGAAGAGAAAATATGCAGTACGAGAGTTTTTCTCGTAATTTATTTAGTCTAGTCAAGCTTAATTTATGCTATAAAATTTTCATAGTGACTTTTAAATAATTCTACTTGCTGCTATATTATGAAGAACTGTTATAATTATTTAATTACAAAAATTCTTAGAACTGGCTAATTATAGAAGTATTAATTAACTAGGAGCGCATTAATTATCAACTTAACAAGCCTTCTTCTAACTTGCAAGCAATTTTTTTTCAAGGCTTATAAGTGAAAATCATTTGCATAAGTCAAACAAGCACTTCCGAGACGAACAAAATTACTTATTTAAATGCACACAGCTGTAATGATAGACATCTTACATGTAACATTTTAAATGACAGAGGAATTCTATTTCAGTCATGACACTGACCTAATTATTGTCTCTAAAACGATATTGTATGTAATTTTAGTGCAATTATTGCTGTTAGAGTCCCATGAAATGTGCATTAACTGCCTAAAGAGATTTTTTTGACTCAGACTTAAACTTATATGTTATGGATATTAAGATTATAATTTTATAATTTGATGATTAATCGATTCTTTAAAATGGATCAAATTTGATATCCAATACTTAAAAATAACTAGTTTTTGAGTGACTAATGCTGAGTGGAAAATTTTTAAGTAATTTATGGTTTGCCTGAATTACAAAAAAAATTATCAAAACGTTTGATTTTTTGATGTTGCTAATTTATAGGGAACAAGGATGATTTAAGGTGCATTTTTGATATCAATTCTTATTAACATTAGTTTTTGGCACTTCTACATATATCAAAAGAATCTTCTGGAAAACAAAGTCAAAGTGAACAGCTAAGCACACTTTTTTAAGTAAAGGGTAAAACCCGGCATAATGAAAATAATAACAATAGCTTTAAAAGTTTCAAATGTATAGCACTGTAAAACGATTCCAGCAGATATGAAAATGAGAATTTATAATAAATGGAAAATAATGCATTTGACACATAAGCGAACGGTAGAAATAATAGAAATTGTTTACGTTTAAAAGCATTACATGAATGCAAATGAAATGCAAGAGTATCTGAACTTGAAGACTTCCAAGGGTAATGAAAGAAAATGAAGATGACGATGAAAAGAGAAGAATAAATTTTCTAGTCCGTTTTTTATTTGCCATGCACTAGATCATCATAGTCGTGCACATGATGATAAATGAATGAAATTTTTGCCTTTATAATAATACATAAGCCATAGAAATGTCGCGGACTAAAAATAAATTGCAAGCACCCTAGGTCAGGGCAGTAAATCGAACGTATACACGCTACATTGTATTTTTATGCTTTATTTTCCGAATTATGTCTTGTTTCCGGATGAATGATGATAAAAGTATGGAGTAATTGCAGCAACAACAAGTTTCATTATTTATTTTAAGGCGTGGAAACTATCCCAAATATCCCATATATCCCAAAAATATTCAAAAAATTCCTGAGCATGTATGCCCGATAGTAAAGATATCCCAACGTATCCTTAGTATATTGGACGTGTAATATCAGGATATGATGGGATATCTCAATACAAGCTCAGGGATAGTTTTGAATATTTTTGGGATATATGGGATAAATGGGATATTTGGGATAGTTTCCACGCCTTGATTTATTTATAGACAAAACTCTTTTAAAATAGTACGCGAAACGAATTAGAATAATATTTGCTCTTTCCAGTTCTTTTAGCCTCAACATTTTGTGCTGAATTTCCGATTTTTCTTTCATATTCCACTTCTCATTTTCTTTTTGACCCACAAAATAATAGCCTAGCGATGATTTTGCAAAACTTTGCATTCTTTTCTATGTAAATTATGCAATAAATCACATTACACTGACAGTCGATCGATCGAAGAAAAAATATAAAATAAAGTAAAAATAAAAATTCTTTATAATGATTACTCACCGCCTCCATTCTGTTGACATAAATAGGGAAATCTGCCAAAAAAAAATTTAAATCGATTATGGAAAAGTTTTTGAATAGGAAGGAAATGATTTGAGAAAATTTAATTACCTCCAAATGTTACCAAGACCGACAGAATATCCAATGATACTGAGGAAAAATTGCATTTTTCCAGACCATGCAGCACGAGTTGGATCATCACCCCCTGGAGCACTAAGTGAACTAATCGACCGTCTTTGTGGTGGTGAGAGTACAATTGTAACTCCATGATGTCCATCTCCACGGGCTCGTGTATTCAATGGCGCCATTTCATGTCCATTATTGGCATTACGCAAGACACCACCTCCAACAATCACACCAGCACCCTTCGTTGCATCTGTTGTTGGCAAATGTGTTGCATTTGAATTGCTTGTCATGATTAATTTCGTTTGTACGAAATGTTTGCTATTTTACTGCTGCTATTCCTTATGATTGTAAAGTTTTTTTGCGATCTTCTATCTCAGCTTAGTTTTAGCAGTGAGTATAATTAAATTCTGAAAAATTTATTGTCAAATGTTCATATTAAATACGATTTGAGGTAGATTGATGATAAAAGTAATTTGTACAAGTGAATTACACGTTTTTCGGATTAAAGGAGCTCATTAATTATTTCTTTTTCTGTATCTGGATTTATCTCCAGCATATGACAAAGTATCAAGAATTTAAGAGGGTTGGTGAACAAGACCTACAATTGATTTACAAGCCACAGATGACGTCTTGTTCGATTAAAAGTTATTCTACAGATCCAGTAAGGATAATGGAGTTTGTGTTCAGCTCGAATAAATTAAATTAATGCTCAAACCACAAATTCGGTTGTTGAACTCACTTCATGAAAATGTAATGCTCAAACAAATTTCCCTAAATAATTCAATCCTATTTTTTGCCTAAATAATAAAACTTTTGGGTAGCTCATGGAACTTTTATGTATATATTCAGATTAATATTAGCGAAAAACAGTTGAGAATGATAAACGTATCGTATTCCTAATCAAAATATACAACCAATGCTGTTAACAAAAACTTATACATGACACACAATATGTCATTAATTTGGCAGATCGTGAATGAATCGATTCTAATCATACAATATACAAAACAACCCCCACAATCGACACAACAGACAATCGAAATTATTTTTGGGCGGAAATTGGGTCAAATTAATGTTAATGCAATTTTTCGTCTGTGCTAAAAATAGGTCAATGCTACTATGAAAATCGAAGGTAATTCAAACTCCCTCTTTATACATATCTCTGTCTTCCTTTCTCTCAATCTTCTTCTAAATAAAATAAAATACTGTAAAGTGTGTGCAAGGAACATGTGGACTGGAAAGAGAAAACCTTTTTTATGTCTGCCGAGCATAAAAATCTTTTTGTTTCTCTCCTTGAACATGTTTTATGCTCGTACACATACACTAACATAGACTGGAGAGCTTTTTGATTCACTTTTTTGTGCTGTAATACTGAAATTTTTTCCCTTTCGCTTCCCCCCATCCTAATTTAAGCCACCTACAAAAATTTTATTTCTCTCATTTTTTTTGTGTGTACAACCAAGCTATGAAGAAAAAAATCAATAGACGCTTTCAATATTAAAGCGCAAAGCATTCAATTTTGGTGCTAGTCTGTGTCACATCAATAAAAATGGTTAAATCATATTATGAATATGCCACAGGCTTGCTTTTCTAATAATACTTGTTCTCTTTCACTCTTATTTCGTACTATGACATTCATTTGAGAAAGGAGAAAGGAAGAAAAATGCAAATTAAATTTTCTTGTTTACAACACAGATTATATAGCTCAATAAAAGGCGATAAAGTCCATAATATATTTTTTCATTTTGGTTGATCACTAAATCTATCAAATGTGGCGTAGATTTGATTGATAAAAATCACGACGAGATGTGAACGAAAAAAGAAATTAATGAACTTTCATGAATCAAAACACGTGTTGCTGTTTGACATAGCACAATAAATCCTAACCTATAAATCACGAGTTTACAAAAATAAATTTTGTTGATTTCATCCTTGAGTACAAATGTAATTTATAATTGCTTTGCTTTTCTAAAAGGCACATAAGTTTCATCTAAATGAAACACGAGAAGAAGATGCTGTAGCTGTCTGATGCAATGTTCTCAATAATTATTGTCTCATTTGCACACGAGTTAAAAAAATTCTCAATTTTAATTTTTTTCTTCTTTTACTATTTTCTCCCCTTCATTTTTAATTTCATTCCTGATTGACGTAGTCACTGGCATCTTCACATGTTTTTTGCGCCTCTATTTTAGCCTTTTTAATCTTGGCACGTTTATTTCCATATAGTACAAAAAAAATTCTTCATTAGAAGTATGCGACATTATGTAAAATAATCACAAGAAAGAAAAATATTTTAATTACGAACAAATAAAAAAGTTAAAGAGACGGTAAAAAAATTACGTCGTTTTAACAAAATTGAAAAAGTCTCCTTTGTAAGGGTGCTCAGCAAACTCTTAAATAATTTAAAAGAATTTTTTTTTGAAGGGTAAAATCAGCCGCAATGACCACAACTATAATTCCAAAATAATTAACTATAACTAGTGTCCTTCGTTTGCGTCATTATTACATTTTGCATATATGTAACGCGTTCTTATGTTTATTCTGTTATGTACATATGTGGTAACAGAGTACTTTGAACTTAACGGAAATAATATTCGGTTCAAAAATTTTAATTTGTTGTTTTGATGACAATACTGTCTAAAAGCGAAAAAGAGTCTCGATGCAATAATTTGAGGTTTGCTAGATGTTTCAACTCAAATCAATATATATTGAAGTTTTATTCTTAAGATCACTTTGAAAACAATTCTATCAGTACATTTGTTCATTTTAAGGTCCAAAAGTAACTAGAACAAACCTAAAAATATCTTTTGGGGCTAAACTCAATCAAAAGTTTTATTTCAAGAAATTTACCCCATCTACAACTGTCATAAAGAAAATCAGTATTCAATTAATATTGAAAGGAAAAAGGAAGTATCTAAATATTAAGACGTTTTTCATGCATTTCAGTTCGAGTGCTCTATAAATAGACGTTATGGAAATATTTTCAATTTTCCTTCAAATTCTTTTAGTAATAACTATTTTCTTACAAAGTTTATTACACAAATACATACTCGATATGTGAGTTGAACACTATTAGAGAATGGGAGACACAAGGAAAGTCGAAATTGTTTCTGTGAATTTGATTTAAGCGCATTAAAAATGAATTTTTAATAGAAAAGTTTTTATGATGTCTAGTAAACATTTTGCAAAGCGCCAAGGTTGAAATATTCTCAAGGATAAAATTAATTAAAGTAATAATTTCACTTTTTGAATTTGGCAAGTCATACATTTTTCTGATATTTTATTGTATTTCACATTGTCTTGAAATTCGATCAAATAATTCAATTATTCACATGAAATATGAGATTTTGAGGCGTTAATGGACTCTAGTATTACGTGGACGATACCAAAATCAGACAGTCAATATTTATGGAAAATTTTCTAAAAATTCTGCCAACATTTTCATTTCCAAGAATGGTCAATGCTCCATAAATAGACCAGTTATGTACATATCCGTACATATGAATAATTTTGAATACGACGTCATCGAAAATTCATTGATTTAATACAAATATTCAGGACTACCTCATTTGAGTGTCAGACATCTATTGAAATAATAATCTGTACAACCAAATCAGTTATCAATATCAACAACAGACAGACTGACATACTTAATTTGTACTTATATCCTTTTCATCCTTTGTAAAAACTGTTTTCAAAATCAAAATCGATTTCAATCAACCTAACGTTAAGGGTTCACAAATAAATGATGTCAAACATGTTAAGGTCTCTGTTGTTGTATAACAACTACATTTTGTGACGAAAGTGGGAGAGGTGCTGAAATATTTTATTGTTAATCGACGTCATTTGTAAATCACCCCCCCCCCCCCCCCCCCTTATTGCTATTTCTTGATTTCAATATCTGTGTTTCTATTATATACAAAAGGAAAACTATAAATCGATAACTAAAGAATTGAACTGACACGATTACGTGTATTTTCATTATTATTGTTGCAATTTTTTTTGCCCATATTTTGCGACAAAGTCATGAAAATTCATGGGAAACTACTTTTAAACCTATTTATTATTTTTTATGAAGTACATTTTTTAAAAAGTTATAAACGAGTTTCCACGATGATGACAACGACGTCGACAATTCTACGAGATATGATGTATTAAGTAACTGTTACGTAGGGTAATTTAGTATGTCAATTAATAAAGTGCACTTCCTCCTCGAGTATGTTATAAAGTTGCATAATCTTAAGAGAAAATCCTTATAAATGCTGATTTAATGGAAGAAAATTTCCCATTCGCTCAATTATCTGTTTTTTGCGCTCTTCAAGGATGAAACAAGCTGCATACATGAATTGCATGCGAGGTAAAGAGGAAATAAGGCAACGGCATTGGAATTTTAGATTCGCTTTGCTCCGAAAAAACATGTTTTTCAGTCATACAAATTTTTTTCTTGGGAATCGAAATTCTCTTTAAAAAAATGGGAATGGAAAATTACCGAATCTAATATAAATTTTTTTGCTGTCGCTTTGACTTTTTTTTTTGGTTTTGAGAATTCAAATTACAACTAGTTAAGCACTATTGACTATTACTTTAGCTAATAATTTCAATAATTGATTTTTTTTTAATATGCTTTTTTCATTAAATTTAAGCATATAAAGGACAAACAATTATTGTTTGTAGCACGATTTTTTTATCCTTCCGACTTTCTCACTTTCACAGCTTTTATTTTATTTTATTTTATTTTTTTCCTTATAATGCGGAAAAATGATTTTTTAATTAACTTCTTTTTCACTTATTTTCTTCGAAATTTCCTTATCAAGTAAACGTTAAACATTTCTTTGATAATTAATTCAACTAATTTTGGCGTTGTTTTATGCAGTTTGTGGTTCTTAATCGAGTTTATAGTGCAAAATATTATTAAATATGCATGCGAAATTGTCGCGCGTAGGGTTCCTTATTATTTTTCGTGACCGATTATAAAGAGAGAAAAAAGGGAACTGAATAAATGCAAAAAAAAAATTATTCTTTGTAGCAATGTACATCGACAGTGTGCCTTCATTTTACTCACATTTGGAAAAACAATATTTTTTCGAGTGAGTCTCCGAAAAAATTATTATCGCGCATGATTCGCTCTAAGCTCATGAAAAGCTCTCTGAGAAAAATTGAGAGAAAATTGTCTATGTAGTTAGGCTACACGTGCATTTCTTGCTCTGAAAAGGAAATTTTTATCTCCTTTTTGATACCCAAAATTGTTTATGACGAAATTTACAAATTTTTTTTGCGTTGTGAGCTTAACATTGGGGATACTTAAGGGCATTCAAAGGGAAAATTCTTTTATTTTGACCTAATCTCATAACTTGATTATTTTGAAGAGATCTCATGGGTAGCAAAAATTTTAATTTACAACAACATCCAGCATTTGTTAACCAAATGTTAAGTCGTAATAGAATTTTTCATCAATGAAATGTGCTTTCGTCATTCACTAGAAAAATTATATTTTTTTTGTGATAGAACTCCAAACAGTCTGTGAAGGTTCACCGATCTTGCGCAATTATGCTTCCTATTTTGTCTTTCATTATGAACCATCCTCGTCTTTTGTTGCTCTCTAATTCCATTTATTTTTTTTCTTTGAAGCATCACGTTATTATAAATGAATAGAGATGGAAATTTTCAGTGAATAACATTCCATTTGACCGTATATCTTAAGAGCGCGTAGCTATACAACCCGTCGTCTGCAGAACATTTTTTTTTTCTCATCCCTGTTTGAACAAAATTTTTAAGACGTAATATCTTGCAGATTCTTATGAGAACGGTACACACCTTACACTCTCGCTCTCAAATTTCGTAAGTATTATTGAGTAAATAAAGGAATTCTTGGAAGCATATCTAAGTTACGACTAAAAGATACGAGAATATATCCTTACAATTGGCATTCATTATTCATACGATACGGAAGCTATTTATAAATCCAATACTTATAAATACAATGCTCTTACTCACTTTATAGACAGCATAGAAGGGTCATGGAAGTATGTTTTATTTCTCTCTTTTATTTCCTTTTCTTTGCGAACGGGAGAAAAAGGGAAGAAAATAAGAAGAAGAAGAAATAAAAACTGCCTCATAGACTTTTTAGTTGTGCTACATGATGATGAAGAAATTTGGTTCCTCCTTTCATCAAATTTTATTCTACCGCTCCTCGGCTCGATGACCTTGAGTAGCGGATAAATTTTTTTGCGTCTTAAAAACACAGAATTATAGTCTTATTCACAAATAACGTCCTCTTTTCTATATCATAAACTGATATGTCTAAAGCCTTATTTGACAAAATTTGTGAACAATCCCTAGAATTTACCCATAATACAATAAAACTTAAATTTCCGACTAATATGTTTGTTATTACATTTTCAAATTATGCGATTTTAATTCTATTCATACATTTTGTACAGCATAGCAAAAAAAAAATTCTTGGAGGCAAATTAAATAAGATTTTTAAACACGTGTGTTCATGCATAATATATTGTTTCACTAGAATATGGATGGTTAGCGCTAGCAACATTCTTAGAAAATCAAACCTTTTCAACACAGTGGCACGTAATAATGAGGATTTTCCCTAAATCATTCTATTCATATTTACGGTAAACTTTTTTTGAAGGCAAACAATGATAGACTACATATAACACAGTCTTCTTTTTGATATAATGTATACTTGATGTATTTTTGGCATAATTTAGCTCAAAAAATATGAATTACTTCATTTGATATGATTTGTAGCTTCGACTGACTGAGTTCGCTTAATAGTTGATTTTGTATAAAGTCAGGGTTTGTGTGTATCAAAAGAGAACTGTTAATTCATAAGAAGGAATGAAGGTGTTGCCATAACATGCAGTTTATTATTATTGAAATATTACACCCCAAAACAATATCATCTCAATGATTGATAATTAGCTATATATTGTATAAAAGTGATGGCTTGTATGAAATTAAAAAAATTCAATCGGAGACAAAAGTCGTAAGAAAGATGTTTAATCGCAAACAGTTGACGATGCTTTTTCCGACGCTGTGGGAGGAACATTTAAGGCATTTTATGGGATCATTATGCTACGCAAAAATGCTTTTATCACTTCGTATTACGAAAAAAATGTGCGGTTAACATTCTAATTTCAAAGGACGCCTTTATTTTTTCCATACGCATTATTTGTTGTGAATCTATAACTTGATTTTAATAGGATGGTAAACCAATGATTCCTATCTATCGAATTTGACATTTAAGTAGTGTTATTTGTCGAAAGTTGATACATTGATCGAACAAAATGTTTATTAATCTATTTATACACAATCCTATAAAATTGACATTGTGACGATAAGCACAGCAAATAGATATCTGATGTTCACCTGACTCAAATGGTTCTTCTTCTTTTCATCTATGAAAGATATACGTTTACATAAACAAGCCTTCCTCGCACGCCATAAATTCGCTTCTTTTATTATTGTGCAACGGAATAGAGAAATTAAATATCAAGGAAGAAAATATATCAAACAAATTGAAAAGAATTGATTTGCAATTGAAATTGATTTAGAATAACATTTGTTTAGCTGTAGAAAATTAGTTGAAAGTCATCAATTAATTACTCAATTAAAGTCTCTACTGACTCCAAGGGAAGACGCAATAAAATGCATCCAATATGCATGATAATTAACAGTCTATTTATGTATTGGAAGCAATGAAAATGAAAATGACATACAATATAAATTTATCAATGAAATTTTTGTGCCTTTACTCTTCAATGAATCTGAATAAAAGCGAGATGTGGAAAATGGTTTTATTTTTTGTGACCTTGCGAAGCTGTAAACTTGGATAATATATAAGCCATCATGTTCATATTACTTCTTTTTGTTTTTCCTTCCATTCGTTGTAACAGCACCAGTCCTTTTTCTCAGAAATTATTGATTCTTTTCTTATGAAATAATCTGATTTTTTTTACGTCATCTGTGAATAATATTTCATCCCTTTTCAGCATTCTCTTCCTTTTTTTAAAAAAAAGCGGATAATTTTTTTATATTTCCTTTGTTGGACGTGCGTGAAAATGTCAACGACGTAATATTTTTTTTGTGAAATTTTCGTGTGATAGTATTAAAGGAAAAGCTACTTGTCTAAATTATTTAACGGCCAAATTCAATTTCAAATGAAAGCTTCTAATGACTGTCATCACTGAATTCCGCGCCAAAAAGTTTGTTTAAAGATGCGAAATATATCGGAACAAATCGAAAAGCTGATCTTTATTCATAGAAATAATCATCAAATTTCATGGATTTTAAGTGATTTCACTCGTAATTGGGAAGAAATCGATTGATGAAATGATTCATCGACATGTCTAAAACTGAAACGAAAAATAGATCCAATTATTCTGAGCTCACATGGGGGTCGTTCACTTATTACGTTACACAAAAAAACGACTTTTTACAACTCACAACCCCCCCCCCCCCCCCTCCTGAACGTTCATAATTTATTTTATTTTGATAATTTTTTATTCTAAAAAGACGGTTAAAGTTCTTTTGTATTTTTTTTCTTAAACATCAAAATACTGTACAGCTAAATAGGTAATGTTTTGATTGATACTATTAGTATTCTCATGAATTATTGGATTGAGATATAAAGCAAAAATTTGTTTTTTTTTGAAGAAAATTCAAAAATGTCATGAAAAATATTATGCCCGATCGAATTTTGGAAAATTCACAATCAACTTTGAATGTAAATATCACAATGATGGGATCATATTAATCATCATATGAATGACAGATTAAGAGAGATTTACTTTTAAACTTATGATTGATTTAATTTTGAAAATTTCCACAAATTATGATTGTATTTTAAAATTTTGTAAACCAGTTTTCTATTGATTTGTTACTTTATATAACAAAAACTATGTATTGCTTAGCTATCAAAAGTGATCTGGACATTTATAAATCATTAAAAAGGTGGAAAATTTAAAAAATGTTTTTGGTATGAATTTGTAAACAAATTTTTATCGTGAACTTTTTTTTAAAAGACAGACGACAGTTTGAACGTTACAGTTTGACACCCCCCCCCCCCCCCCTTTGTTACATTTTGTTACAGATTTTCAACCCCCCCCCCCCCCCCCCCCCCCCCCCCTTTATTTTTAGATTTTTATAATTCAGAAAAGTTCACAGACGGCGTTTACTTAATTCTTTCGCAAATAGAGAACTTGCCAAGATTTATTTATGGACAAGTTAACGAAGTCTCAGTCATAGCTGAACTAAGCAAATATTACATTATAATGGATTCAATTTTTTATGGCTACATATTAAGCAACGACATAACTCCTCGTGCGATTGGTAAGACCACAAAAATTTAAGAACTAGAAATCAGGAAGAGTCATCAAAGGAACAAGCTTTTAGAATTTTTCCCAAGATCAATATTCTTCATGCATTACGACTTATTTTATGCTTTAGATGGTCCGAGACTTCGTGACCAAATCGGTCATGGGAAAGTTACGATGAATGATGAAATAGCTGAGACAATATTTCAAGCATTATTACAATTTACAGTATTAATTACAAATTTCTATGATCAACGAGTATTTAACGTGAATTTTAAGTATGACAGCAAGTATATGAGCAACTTGACATTTTATAATGAATTTGTAAAGATCAACAACTTGATTGTAAATACTTTTGAGCAATTAGAAATCCCATGTGCCTTAAAAGCTGAAACAGAAGTGAAATTCCAAAGAATTTTAACTGAAAGAACTAAAGATGACATCAACATTCATTTCCGTCCATTAGTTGAAACTCAAATAGTCAAATTAATGTTAAAAATAATGGAAACGTTAGCATGCTCGATTCACAATCTACAAGAATCAATTGGTAACCTTTTTATTCTCTACATACAACGTAAATTAAGCACAAGTAGGAGAAACATTCTGTCAAATTTGATCTCATTCCTGCCAAATTTTTCTAAAGGTTTTCATAGCATTTTAAGTCTACTTATGAAGATATTCTCAACAGTCCAAAATCTTGATGACAAATTCAAAGACAACGATTGGTCCAAAAAGATCATCAGAGTGCTTAAACAAACTCTTCAGATGACGCAGATCTACAGCAAACATTTCTCAATTGACGATCGTAATTATTTTATTGCCAATAGTAAAACATGCGAATTTCTATCGCAAATAAATGATAATAGTCGGCACATGTTTGAGGAAGACAAACAACAAATTTGTTAACGTAGATTTATCCGATTTATCAAAAAAATTATTTACGTCTCAGCTGTAGCTATTTTAAAAGAATAAACATCAGAATTCACGAGATTGCATCTAATCTAACAGGTTTTTTTTTTATCATGTTTGTGGGTCAACGGGAAAAGCATCTCAAATTAGCTGATGTCATTGCACTATGTTTCTGCATTCCACTCTAATTAGTCTAATGATTTTTGCTTTTCACTTCCAATAACTCTCATACTTAAATAATATTATTCATTCCACTGTCGAATGAGACATAGAGAAAATGGAACTAAGAGTGTTCAATATCTATTTCGTTTCATACATGAACGTACATCTATCTATGTTTTATTTTATCTATTCACAAACAGCTGATTTACTAAAACTTTTACAAAACAACTCGCTCTCGTACATATTGGAAACTTCATGCTTCAGTTTTTATTCAACTTTGTACGAGAAAAGACCGTGACTCGAAAGATGGAGATTAATGGAAAAGATCATCAGAAAATTCAGAATTTCGAGGACTTGGGTAATTATTTGTGATAAATTGTGGTTATGACGAAAAAGTAATAGTTGAAAATTTATTTAATATGTGAAAAGATCTCAGCATTCAAGAGCTTATAGAAAGTGCTGTGCAAGCAAGGAAGCTTGCTTATTGTAAGTTAATAAATCGTTAAATAAATAAGTGGACAATTAGTATCAATGTGCTTAATAATTAAGGTCCATACTCGAATTTTGCTGTTGGTGCCGCTTTGCGAACAACAAGTGGTGAAATAATCAAAGGTAAGAATGTGCATATTTGTATATAACATATGTTTAATGCAGCTGTTGCATCATATTCTATGACGACTAAAATTTCGAATCGTGATCAAAGTCATGCAATATTTTTTTGTGGGATATAGAAAGAATTTGTATGGTTCTGATAATACATTTGTAATGATTTGAATTTGTATGGTTTTATAGAACTAATTGTAAAGTTCTAACCGAAATGAGTTGTCGAAAATGCATTTGTATGGTTTTTAAAATTTAAAAAGAACTTGCATGGTTTTAATTAACAGTTTGATCCAATCGGCAAGGGTTTCTGACGTAAAAACAGGTTTAATTAATCATTAAAAATATTTCTATTGACTCTTTACAGGATGCAATGTCGAGAACGGAGCACATACACCTTCAATTTGTGCGGAAAGGACAGCAATTGTAAAGGCAGTAAGTGAAGGTCACACAAATTTTGAAGCAATCGCTGTGGTAGCATTTCAGGAAGATCAATTCACTAGTCCCTGTGGCGTCTGCCGTCAAGTCATATCAGAATTTGCATCAAAAGACATAAAAGTGTACATTTCTAAGCCAGTTCCTGTGAGAATTCTCTGCACTTCACTGTATGAATTACTGCCGTATCGATTTGATTCGAGTAGATTGAAGCAAGACTCGTAAGATTAAGCATGGATAAATAACATGCTTAATGCAGAACAAAAAAAAAAAATTAAAAATCAGTGAATTTTTTTTAAATAAAATTATTTATGGATATGATATAATAAGCTTATAATACTGTGTTTAAATATCAAACTACTTCACTCACAGGAGACGTTTATGATTTATGACTGTGTATTATCTAAAGGTTATCTTTTTTTGCTCCTGAACCACATTTTCTATTTTGATTCATTCTGGATTATTGGGAAGTAACTCAATAGATATAAGTACAGTGTCTTTACATACAGGTAAATGATTTAATATTTTTTTTTTGCCTTACAAAATGATGAGTCAAATTAAATTCCAACTAATTCTTATCATTTTAAGACATGACATGAACGTGCAACTCATAACGAGTTCTAAATTTGTTCCTTTGTGGACTTAGCTTTTGCGATTTATGAGTTTATATAAAATGGTGCGTAGCATGAATAATTTATTTTATGCGATAAAATTGTATATCAGTCATACTTTGACATTTTTACAAGCATCAAGCGACGACGATAGCTGAATCTTCAAGGGTGTTTCTTTACATATCAAAAATGGTGTAGGACTTAGGGATTTGTGTGGTTCTAAAGGAATTTGTACGATAAGTTTGTATTACAGTAAATTGAAATGAATATTCAAAGAACGAGCAATGCCAATCGAGATTAATTGTTTGATATATTCATGACCTAAAACTGCAAATCAAAACAAATCATTTAAATTTCTAAATAAGAATGCAATTCCACAAAAGGAGTAAAAAACAAGTTTTAATGAATTATTTATTTTTCTGTTATCTTGTTTTTTATTATTTTTATAATCTTCGTTACAATTTTAAAGACTTAAGCATGACACTTATAGTTAATAGGGTAGTTATTATAATCTGATAATAATCTATGAAACAAATTTTCCTTAAAATCTATTAACAAACAAAAAGTTTCTATTTTTACCAAAATGGGCACCATCCTGCGAATAAAAAAGACACACAAAAAAATTAGTAAATGAAAAAAATTTGAAAAATAAGTTTAACTCACCGATATAGTTTTGACATAAATTTTCGTTGTTTGTAGCTTGTTCAATAAGTAAGTCAACTTGTCTTTGTACATCCACCTGTTCTTGCGTGTTGAAATCACTTCCAGTAAGTTTCTGTTTCACACGATCGATAATTGTTCGAGCTTTCTTGTTTGTGACTTCGGCAGGATGTAAATAATTTTGTGTATTGTCATCTCCAATTATTTCCATAGGTTTTGGTGCGACAGCTTTTGGATTTCCAGCAAAGCTAAGCAATTCCATTGAATCTTCTGCACTTTCACCTAAACTGTCAATATTTCCAGCACCACCGACTTCGAGATTTTTGGATCGTCTATTTCTATCAGCTGTATCCAAAAGACGCCAATTAAGTAATGGATCATAAACGAATGCTTCAAGAACAGCCATTAAGCTGTCTTTATTCTTTCTCAACACTGACATAACACTTTCGCACGTCTTTCTGTATGTTCCTTCAATTCCAGTCACTTCCATAGCATTTATTAACATTCTCGTTAGACGGAATGGAATCTTCTCTGGGAATTTCTCGCGAGTCATGGCAACCTAATATATATTCATTATTAATCTATAGATTTAAAAATGTATTTATCAACTTACCTCAAAGCAATCTCCAAAATCGATATGAAGAATTTTTCCACTTAAACGATCCAGCATCAAATTTGAAGGATGACGATCTCCGAGACCCAAAATATATCCAACCATAGACATAGTAGCCAACGATCGTGTATAATTTGTTCGACGTTCAAACCACACTTCAGATGATGGACTTTTCAGCCATAATAATTTAGCAAGATCGTCACCACTTGTGAGACTTAAGGCATATTCAAAGACTTCTACTTTTTGCATTAATATTAATTTCTCATAATCCGGTGCCATACGTAACATTAATCGATGTTCTATGTTAATTAGCGTCTTCTTCTTTTCACGATAATCTCTAATTAAAACATGAAGTGTGTCACAATGAGGCACCCATCCAATTAATCCACTATTTGTGCTAAGTGGAATTACAGCGTAGCGTTGAATTGTCAAATTTCGTCTAAATGTATCTGGATCATTCAATAAAAGCGTATTTGCTAAGCCAAAAAGCTGCATAACTCGTTCATCTTGACGTAAATCTTCATGACCTTTGAGCAAGAACATGTAGTCTTTTCCGTTTGATCCTCTAATGCATAATTTTCTTGGTCGTTGTTTCGATGTAATTACCTATAAAAATTACATGTCATGGATTAAAAATAAATCAATAGGATATAAAATAAATCCGACGGATCAAAAACAAATCCTTGGATTTAAGACTTGCCTGCAGATTTGTTTGTATGCTGCAGATCTTGATTAGCTCTAAACCGGGTGAATAACTTCCTGGAACTGCTAATTCAAGGTCCCGACACTTGAGAAGCTTAGGACTAACATATTGAAGCTCTAACGACGTCAATTGAGGCAGTTGTTTGGAAATACGACGGAAAACGTGATAATAAAGATCCCAAGCTTGCGTCAAATCCCTCATATTACCAGTCACCTATAAAAGGACAACAAATACTATAAATAAACATTCATAAAAGCGCCTAAAATGTTTTTCACCATACCTTATAATTATTGCACCATTCAAAAGCATCCGACAGTTCTCGCCCGTAAGCCTGATTAAATGAAGTCTCTTTTAAAGTTTGTGGACCCCTTTGAAGCATCGCATGAAGTGGCGCTAATGTATCAAACATTCCTTTGATGTCCCTTTCCCCGAAATATAAACGCGAAGCTTCTTCTAATCCTTCATACCATTGCTCGTGCCATAAAATAGCAACACGAATTAATTCTTCGCTGCACATCTTTGCTTGTTCAACAAGTATACTCGAGTGTTCTTTCATTGAATTTAGAATCCTATTTGCAGCATTCTTTCGATTTGGTGATGCTGATTTAGAGGCAACAGAGAGTGGATAAACGAGAGCTTGTGGATGTGATTTGCCAATATCTGACAATAATTTATGAATTAATTCTCCAACAAACAACCTTGGCGTATCAATTCTAGCAATCAGTTGTGGGATGACTTGAAGCCATGTATCAATTTCAATTATGCGAATTCCTTCATTCAAGGCATCAATAACTTCAGAAGTTTGTCCATAATCGAACCATAATGTCAGTAAACGTAAAGTATCTTGTAATGAGTTTCCTTGTGATAAATTTATAGACCTAAAGAATCCTTTTAATGCAGGCACAGCGTACTGAAGTACTAGTTGATTTTCTTTATCCTTTTTAATTACTTCATTTGCAGCCATAGCAACTGTGTTTGATGATGATGACATTTCAGCTTTTGCAAGATCTAAGCGTTGTGTCTGAATAACTTTAAAGTTTGCATAAGCCCAAGAATGCCATGCCTTATATGAAGCTGCGAAAGAAAATTATTGACGTGAAGAAAATAATTTCATTTTAATTTAATTTAAAATAAGAAAGTAACTCACTTTTATCTAGATTTGTAGCTGCTTCATAGTATGACAAAATACTTTCAATAGATGCATCATTCAATCCTTCAAGCTTATTCTGCCAAAGACCCAATTTCATATAGCATCTAGCGAGTAGTCGATTATTAGCATCCTGCGATATTACGGCTTGGGTGGTATTTCTCTGTATGACATTATTAAATGTGATAACGAATCTCGAAAGTTTATCGTATGCTAATTCCTCCTTTCCATCCATCCACAAATGTTTCGTGTAAGCAAATGTGACATGAGGTTGTACAACAGGCAAATCTTGATCTTCATTTTGAGATGGGTCACATCCTAACAACATAACAAGTGTTTTGTGTGATAATTTAAGTTGTTTACTCTTCCTACATAATGAAGCATATTTAAGCCATGTATGAACATCTTCTTGAGGTGAAACAACCAATGAATGAACTTGAATAATCTTTTGCCAGTCTTCAACAAGTCGTTGACCACCTCTAAGTCGCTTCCACCACATATTTTTAATATTTTCTCGACGCTCAGGAATCAATTTATAATGAATGACTTCCTCAAGTTCCGATAACATTTGAACACAAACCATTGCACCATAAGCTCGTTCATATGATTCTCCAGCCATTGCTGTTAATTCGGTGTCAAGTAACAGTCGAGTTTGATCAATCAACTTCTGTCCACTTTCAAAATCATTATTATGAATCGCTAAAACTGCTCGATAAAAGCTTCCATCTTGTGTCTCTTCAGGAATACATTTTACATATGATGCCATCTTATCCCAATCTTGAAGACCCCAAGATGCCACAGCTGCTAATCGTCCAGCACGTGAATGTCCATCATTTGTTAATATGTCCCATTTATCTGTCGCTAAATCACTCAAGTCATTCCATTCACCCATCGCTTCCAAACACCTCATTTGTCCGAGCATTGAATCAACATCGTCGCCTACTTTCTTCAACTTTTCTTCATATAATCCCAAAGCACGTTCCCAATTGTGCAATTTCTCATACCATCTTACTTGAATCTCCAATTCTGGATGTGCCATAACATAGCCAAGTAAACCTTCGGCTGCTTCTTTCTGCTGTAATTTATTGTTGATTAAAATTAATGATTCTATAACTTGGTGAGTCTTTTCTTGTCTAAATTCAGCTTCTTTATAATGTAAGGCTTTGGCATATGCTCTGCTGTCCATTGCTCTTTGTCCCAGCAATTTCGAGTCAATTGGCAACGTTTGACTGTCACAATGTTCCATAAATTCAGCTAGATTTAAAATTGTTTGTGTTATTTCAGGAATATCAGGCACCATTAATGCTTGCTGTAAACTTGCGGCTAATTGCTTTTTCTTCACAGCACTAAGTTCAGTCCAGCATGAAATGAATGCAGCATTAAATAAATCTCTTAATAATTGTGGATAATTTTGTGCGAGTGCTTTACAGGATCTTAATGCTGGCGATTGTGATTCCTTCAATAATCCAATACTCAATGTTTTCAACCATTCAAGCCAATCATCCTTTGATACTCTTCTTATTGACTGCCATAAAACTTGTAAATCATTTTCAGAAACTTGTAACTTTTTAATTGTATTGGAATCGACAACAACTGCAATTTCACGATTCTTAAATCTCGTTTGTCTTAGTCTGAACTCATCATCAAGTGCTAATGTTGTGTTGCTCTGAATTTTCGACAAAAGCTTGGCATATTCAGTATTATTGATCTTATGCTTTTGCATGATTTTACTGACTAATGGCACAAATACTAAATAATTCTTTCCAAGTTGAATGACCATCGCACAGAGTGTCACAAGAGCAACAGGTCTTAAATCTGGATAATTGTCAATGACTCGTACAAGTGGATGAATTATTCTCGATGAATAGTCCGTAAAGTCGAGAATTTCAGCTAAATGATTAATTGTTTCTAAAGCAGCATTTGAGACATTTTGTGGGACATCGATTGGTTCGAAAAGCTTAACAATTGGTGGAACAATAAGATGTAGATAGTCATCAAGATTATCACCAAATTTCTGTAGCGTTCCAAGTAGCACAAAAGTGACTTTTTTATTCTTGGAATTATCATGTGACAAGACACGAAGAATGTGAGGCATGAGTTGTGACAAATAAACCTTAAATTCACATCCCAAAGCTATTGAAATCTTCTCGACCAAATTAATAAGTGTGATTTGTGTTGATTCACTTTGTGGTACCCAAAAATCTTTAACTAGCTTAAAAATGTCAGTCATGTAACAGATAATGTGCTGCTTAACAATTTCGACCAATGTTGAGAGTTGTTGAAAGAGGAAGTCACGTTTACTAACTTCTGCTGTTCGTATATTATTCAATAAGCTTGGCAATACTTGTGATAAATAAGGCACACATTTAATTCCTAAACTTTTAAAAATGAATGTAACAGCTTGTACAACACTTGTATGATGCTGTGCTAAATTTCCATCCTTGAGAATTTTCATTAATGTGGATATAGCAACTGCTGGATAATATTCGTCCAATTGATTCCCCATGTTAACCAACATTTCAGCTGTCGATAAATCATTATACTCATCAACTTTAATATCAGATATAGAAATCAATATTGTATCATTTTGGTTGTCAATCAAGCCACGATTCATTTTATGTTTGTATGGATCTAAAGCTCCTAATAATCCTAATACACGAATTGTTTCATGACGAACGAGAATGTCAGTTTCAGTTTTTAAGAAATTGATAAGAATATCAATCAAGTTAGGATAAGTATGATAAGGTATCACAACTTTTCCAGTAGCACTGACAATTTGACCTAAAGTCCATAGAGCAATTCCTCGTTTATTTGGAGCACCAGCGTCTGTTAACATCTCAACAAGAATCGTTAATAAATCATCAGCATATGCATCCATAACATTTGATTGACTATTAACTTCTGCCAAGTCTCCGATTGCTCGTAAAACGTTCAAAACAACGCCAGGATTTAAATCTACTTCCTTTAATTTTGGCACTAGAATTGATAGTATTGGACGCATATACGATGATATTAATTTTGGTGTATTGAGAATTAAATGATCCAACATTCTTGCACTTTGTTCCTTATTTCGACTCATCCCAGAATGCTCCAATTCTGTCAATAGCTGAACGAGTGTTTTTCTTAAACTTGGCATGACATAAGCTGGATTCATTGAGCATAATCGTCCAATTGTTATTATTGCTAATTCTCTTATTTCAAAAACTTCGTCATTAAGTGTCACCAGCAATGATGATAAAAACCATGGTTGTGCTAATTGCGCGTCAAAAGTCTCGTCAAGGGATTTCAAAACTCTTAATCTAACATTAGCATCAACATCTGTGACTCCAGCAATTAGTAGTTTCTCTAAAACATGACAAATTGTCTCTTTTAATGTTTCTGAAATTCCTGTCGTTTCTGATGATTGCTGAATGGATATTTTTAATAAACTACTGCATGTTTGTACCGCCTCAATACGAATTTCTTGTTGGTCATTAATGAGGAAATAGTCAGCACATCGTTGCACGAATGGCAATAAATTATGTCCTTCAAATTGAAATGTTCCTAATGTTCTTAATGCAAGCACGATTGTAGAAATGTCTGGTTGATTATCTGTGCTTTGGACAGTCAAAGCGGCAAATTGTGCTGTTAAATTGTGCTTTATTGGCGTTCCTACCTGAGGTTGTGGCTTTGAAGTCAGCAAGACTTGAGAAAGCATTTTTAATAGAAAATCTGAAATTTCTCGCTTAATATTTGGTATATTTTCAGCAAGTTCTCTTAGACAAATGGTTAGTGCCGGTGTTAATCCAGTCGAAAACATTGGTTCAAGTAAATCTTTGACATCCTTTGATATTCCATTTTTAACAGCATGTCCGAGTAAAGTGATGCATATAAAAACAGACGAATCCATTTGCGTTTTCTTCTTTACTGGCGTATCCTTTTGAGGTAATGAAGATTTTACGACTTCCATAATTTTGGCAATGTAAGGTTCAATACTCTTATCAACAGCAACAGCTATAAAGCCTAAAGTAATGAATGCAATATTTCTATCCTTTTCTTTTCTATTTAGTGTCATTAACAAGTAATTGAATATTCTTGCTAAATGATTCTTTACGAAATCATTACGATTAAAAGCAGCCAAGCGTGGTAAAATATTCAGGAGCGATTGTTGAACATACGAGGATTTTGACAACATTTGCTCCAATACATGCTTACAAATCTCATTGTAATTTGTTTCGATAATTTGTCGACATGTCGGTGATTCATTGATTGATAAGTGATGTCGTGAAAACTTTGAATCCGTGTCAAAGTCATAAAGGTAGGATGATTGTGTATGAAATTGTGGAACATGATTTGTTGGTGTTCCAAATTTGTCAGAAAATGTCGTTCTAAATCGTGGAAAAACAGTCGATGAATCATCATGAGGCCTTTGCTCGGGCTGAAGACGCTTTAATGCTGTATATTTTTTCTCCCAAACTGCATTTGAACATCTCAAAATTTCATTTAAAATAATTAAAGCACCGTGAACTCGATCATCTTTCGTTACACCTTTCTCTTTGGAAGGATTCTCTTCAAAACACGAAATTGCCTCATCATAGCATTGTTTATACCAAGCTGGCTTAACATTAAATTTAACAGTTTCTCGTTGAGATGTTACAATAAGTGCAGCACGCAATGCTTGTCCTGCACTTTCTCTAATCATAGGCTTTGCATCTCGAATTGCCATAAAAATGTGGTCAAAAAAGCTCGAGACTTGCTGATAGAAAAATGTTGGATTTGCTACAGCCAGTTCTCTCAGTATAATTACAGCAGCTTGCCGTTTTCCCTAATAATAACAATAGTTATAAAGCGATTTTAGTTGAGTCGAATACCAATTTTAATAATTGACTTACTTCATTTCGTTCCTCAGATATGAATTCAAACGCTTGTTTGATGTCATATTCGAAACTTTCAACACCTTTCGATCCAGGTAATTGACCCAACTTTACTAATGTTCTAGCTGCTAATTCCATGACACCGACGTCACTTGATGGAAATAGAACCCGAAGGTTATTGAGATAGCGTGAAATGCTCGTTGTCGTATTCACTACGTCTCCACTAATTAGGCATTCTAGAATTAAGGGGAATATCAATATGATTATATTCAAATTGTTGTATTGTTTAGCTTACTTATGGCCAAAACTCCTCCCTTCTTTTCATTTATGTCTGCAGACGAAATCATGTCAAATATATGATGATTAAATTCATCGAGAAATGACACTTGTTCCTCCTGTGGCATTTCACGCAATTCCGTCTTAACATATAGCAATAGTTCCTGTGCAGCTCTGTTCTGGTGACTTTTTGACTTTAAGCCTTGAACAAACTGCGACACAATATTATCTTTCGACATCTTGGATGTTTGTATGCTACTGTCTGTATATTTATTTTTCTTACGCGACTTCGCGTGTTTTCTTAATTTGAGTATACTTAGACAATTGATTTTGCTGATTCTAAGTTAATTTAATTCGATTCTTTTCATCTGCTGGATCACAAAATTCATTCTCCTCGCTTTGAAAAAAATAACAACAACAAAACTTTACACCGCAAATAATTTTACTTTCAATAAATTCGCTTATTTAACAATTTTCCTCGCTTGATCTTATTTACATTCTATGAACACAAAGTTTATGAACTCTTTTCAGATATTTTTATCAACTAATATGCACTAATTACGGTTTAATAATGACTTTTCCAAATATTTTTTTTTAAATTTTGATTTTTTTCATAGCTTTAGTGCGTAAACTTTTACTCTCGCAGTGTTTTCCCCTCTTACAAATGAGTATCATAGTCATCAATGTTGTTTTCGTTAAGTGTCTAAAGAGCATTTCTCGAAATGTATTGAAAATTTACTCAATAAAATTTAACGGATTTGAAAATTCAAAATATTAAAACCTTACAAATTATATTGATAGTTGAAATCATTTGTAAGGTTCCGTGAAAAGTAAAATAAACCAGTAATATTTTAACAGCGAGATAGCAAGCCATAGTAAAGTTTATGGCATATGGGTCCGCAGTAGAAGCAGGAAAAGTATACTTCATGCCAGAAAAATGTAAATACCTTAAAAATCTGAAGAAAGTGGTTATCGATTAATTAAATTAGCAAATATTTCGATATTAACATTTTCAAGTGTAAATTTAACAAAAGCTTATTTGATTTATTTCCAATCAAATGATATAAAGTGGACAAAAAATTAAATAATTGAAAGTATATATCAAAAAGAAAAGTGCTGAATACAGAGTCAGAAAATCAGACCTTACTGAAATTTCTTAAGATTATAATAATTTTAATTAAAATGGCAAATAGGACGAGATATATTCCAGCTTTATTTGCATGGCTTCTGCTGTTGGGTGCAACATTTCTATTCTTTTATTATCCGTAAGTTGAAAACTAGTGAAAAAGTCAATTTAAAGGCATAAAAATGAATAATATCTTTTGCTGAAAGTGAAAAAAATTCAAGGAAAAGAAAAAATTTTAATGTAAAAACGGAATTAGTCATGAAAATGCAACAGTTTTTATGATCCAGTGATAATGATAAGTGACATGGCTCAATTTGAAAGTGTTTGGTGACAAAATTGTTTGTGTAATTTAGAATTTTCACTTTTCTCGTCTTTGTGTTCAGTGGAAATTACAGCAAATTGAGGAAAAATGATCACAAAAAGAGAGAAAAATTCACTTCAATTATGATTTTTAAATTAAATAATGATGCACATTAGCAATTTCGCATACTTACTTTCATTTTCTTCTGCACTAGATGTCGATATTATTGGCCCAAACATCCATATGTTCCAGCCATTCAAGGAATCCTTACATTCTTCGTCATTGCCAATTTTTCTCTGGCTACTTTTATGGATCCAGGAGTCATTCCCAAAGGTCAGTTCCTCTCTCTCATTTTAATTTTTCTACGTCACTATATTTAATCTGGATCTAATTTAATGCTTTTAGCACCACCTGACGAGGACAGAGAAGATGAATTTCGAGCTCCATTGTACAAAAATGCAGAAATAAATGGAATCACTGTTCGAATGAAATGGTGCGTGACATGTAAATTTTATCGTCCACCAAGATGCTCTCATTGTTCTGTTTGTAATCATTGTATTGAGGTAAGAATTCAAAATTTCATAACTCCGCTTGATTCATTAATTAACTTAATTTTATTTTCTATTCTTTTCCTTCATTTATAGACGTAAGTGAATTAGTTTGTGAACTATTATGACTCGAAAATTAATGAATTATTTTTCACTAATGAAAATTTTACTTTCTTTCGCCTGATATTTTCATCGATGTTAATCATGTAGCTTCGATCATCATTGGTAAGTGGCTGATTTATAATTATTGGCAGAGTTTGAGCTCAAACGGCTATTCACAATTTCAAATTTCAAAACCATACAAATGTTTGGACTTAAAGCTATGCAAATTACATTAGATTGAAAACATTTGTATGGTTTTGAAGATTCAAAAAGGGTAATTGCCAACTCTGCTTCCAAAAATATACATTCAATTTCTTCGCGAAAATCAATCCATTAATCAATTCGTTACTCGCTCTTTTCTCTCCCTTTTAGTCCGTGGGTTTCAAATTGCATCGGTCGTCGAAATTATAGATTTTTCTTCTTTTTCCTCATCACACTTTCCATTCACATGTTGTGCATTTTTACTTTTTGTTTACTCTACGTCCTTAATAGCAAGGACAAGCTGAATCAAACGCAACCCATTGTCGCAATGGGCTTGATGGCTCTAATTTCCATATTAGCTATTCCAATATTTGGTTTAACAGGCTTTCATATGGTGTTAGTGTCACGAGGTCGAACGACTAATGAACAAGTGACTGGCAAGTTTAAAGGTGGTTATAATCCATTTTCACGTGGCTGTTGGAACAACTGCTGCTTTACATTATGTGGACCACAATATCCATCGTGAGTTATCGTCAAATTTTTATAGCTTTTCGTCTATTTCTAAATTTTTTCTCTTTGTATCTTCTAAAAATAGTCTTAAAGATTCGAAGAAACACAATTCGAGGCGATCAAATAAGAATAATCAACAAATTAGTATCATAACGAGTGATAGCACAGCAATAAATGCTCATCCAGCTCAGATTCAAATGCAACAACAACAGCAGCCACATTACGATAATCGTATGAATACGCAAGTAAAAACATATACGGATCATGGAAATGGTCATAGTGTTATGCGAACAGGAAATTCAAGTCATTACAGTAAGGTGAGACTTTTTTTGTGTTTGCATAAATCAATAAGAAGTGATGGAGAAATGAGCCAACGCTTCCTTCAACATTTCAAATTTCATCATACACTGACTGAAATGTTTGTGATTTTTCTTTCATATACTTATAAATTTTAATGAAAAAATGAATTCAAGACACTTCAAGATAATTCAAGAATTTCTAAAAATAATACTCATTCCAATTACACTTTGAACTCATCCATGTTGAGAAATTCGTCAAGCATTCAAACGGCGTGTAATAAAAATTCTAATGCCAACTGCAGTTTAGACGACGATTCAGATAAAACATTACGAGAGCATATGCGAAAAAGATGGAATTATAATTAATGTTTCATTTAATTAGCTTTCACCGGGTCGTGAACATGATATCGATATGATGGAACCACAAGCATCACAGTCACAGGATTGTGAACCAACACCGCCTTTGCAGAGACATGGCTCAAAAAATAACTTTTTCCCGCCTCAAATGGATGTTAATGATCCAACGAGACAGCAGCAGAATGTGAGAATGTATGGTCAAGCAAGATACAGTCCGCATCCGAGACATAGGTGAGAATATTGGTTGAAATTATACTCATTATTTACTGGGGGTCCTCGATTTGTATAATTGCTTTGTTACATGATTTTTTAAAAATCTTTATTTCAAATCGATTTTGCAGGACGTATGCACCTGATGTGTTATCGCCCGAAAATCCAATTCAACCGAACCCCATGCAACCGAGAATGGGGACTGCAAATCTAACTGGATCAGCTGCGACACCGACGATGCAGCAGAGAATAAAGAGTATAGGAATTGCAACTCCATTAGCAGTTCAGAGTCCCGTTCGAAGGTGAGTTGAACTATCCACAGTTGATAGCAATTCGTTTTATTTTTATTTTTGACTTTTAAATGCTTCATTAATCCTCATTAATTATAAAAAAATAAATAATTCATTTAATCCGCAATATCACAATGATTTTATGTTCCAATGTCTCATTTTATTTCCTGTGTTACTTCTTTTTTGAAAAAAAAAATCTATCTGGTGAGAGGAGAAGAAAATTAATTTTAAATTTTTTTCTTTATTCTTTCTTTTTTTCTTTTGATTATTTACTGAAACTTCTTTTGTTTTTGGATGTATATAAAATATGTTGATAATTAATTTCAATACCAAAAATCGATAAAAATCCACGATATCATGGCTGTAAAAAAAAATTTGTATGCGTTTTTATATTTATTATACTTTTTTGTGTACTTTCTAATCTATTTAAACTATTTTTCTTTTCTTCTTTAATTGTGTTTTTTTTTCTTTTTTTGAAAATGTTTGCGTTTTATCTAATATTAATTATATGTTGTGATATGAATTTGTTGGATAAAATCTATCCTTAAGATGGACGTAGCTACGAATTTTCTTGAAATTCGTATGGCTGCTTAACCCATTCGTTTTAATTTTTAACTTATTTAAGTCGTTATCTTACGAGACTATTTAATACTTAGATAGTGATATACAGAGAGTAATTTTTATGAATAATATTAATGGTAATATTTGTTTTTGTCTTTTTTTAATTGATTAATTATGGTAGACTTTTCAATTTGGCAAAAGCTCATTTTTTAAGAGCGTTTTCCAAAAAGGAAAGATGTACATCATGGCTTCATTTTGTTTGTCTGTCTGTTTTATGTCCAAACTTTTGATTGCTAATATTTATTAGATATGCCTTTGCTGGAAAAATGCTATTTCTTCGATCACGGGTGCAATAGTAATTTCTTAATAACGCGTAGAAACATATATCTCTATTTATTTTATGATGAAAAAGGCGATTTTGATTTTGTTGAGCGTTTGAAATTCGAGTAAAGATTTATTTTTGCTATTTTTAATTTCGTTCCGTTTTTTTGCTAAAGAAAACTCTTTCATTTTCCATAAAAAAAAAACATTTGTAATTAATAATCTCTATCTCTATTGTGTATAACAAACAGATCAAATCCCGGAACTCCAACTCAAATTCGTCGTCCTGATTTCATTTATGTTGCAAATCAGCAACAGCCTGGATTAACGTATTACGATTTTCCAATGCATCAACAGCAACAGAATCAATTGATGATGATGAGTCAACAACCATCCCAGACTGGTCTTCCTTTATATTCGAACGGCAGTCCACAACGAAGATTTTTATCAGAAGGTGAATTATTATCACGAACGACAAGTAATGGATTAAGTATAGGAAATGAATTATCATATGTGAACAGAAATAATAATACAGTTGATAATATTCGTGAATTAGCTGGCAGTCCACAACGAGGTGTATATAATTGGAAAGATAATTCACCTCCAGGTCAACAGCAGCAACAACAGCAAGTTCAAGCGAATCAGCTACAAATGAATATGAATAATATGAATGTTATGAGTAATAATTTAGTAATGGGACGACCACCATTGCCAGCAAATCCTCAACAGCAATATATACAGAATCAAAATATGATTCCTGTGACAACAGTTCAATCACAGCCCAATATTCAGCAGCAGCCAAATATTCGCCAAAGTAATGTCAGTAATATAATTAATAATATTGTAGCGAATAGTTCAAATACAACTGGATATCATCCAGCGATAAGAGGTGGCGTGCAAGTCTTCCCACCTCAAATAAATGCATCGCCGCAGGTGAAAAGAAAACAAACACCTACGAGACCAATATCATTCGTGCGTGCATTAGAAATGGCAAATTCAATTGAAATGACAAATGTCCAACAACAACAGCAACAACAAAATCTTCAGCCCAACGATCAACTAGAATTAAATAAATCAAATGAGAATCCAAATATTCAACATCAGCAGCAAATTGCTGATCGCGGTAGTGTATATGATATGGGTGTTAATTATGAGATATCTGTGTGATCCGAACAACCAGCCAATACTGGCATTGGTGAATATGAAAGATACAGATTGATAAATATTCGTCGAGATAGTTTAGATAAATATTGAAATGTGGGAGACATTTTTTTAAAATCATTAAGATCATAACAGCACATCCAACAAAGTGAATTGAAATGATGTCATAGTGACTTTCCAAGAATATTACTGATAAAGATTTTTTTTTTGTAATAGTTAATTTAACTTCCATTCACCTTATTTTTAAAATAAATATGTGTACAGTGTTAACAATTTCTTTTTAAAAAAGGCAAGAAAATATTATACGAAAAATTAGAAAATTGAAAGATTGAATTTTTTTCCTTATTACTGCACATTATACGATTTATTATTGTTGTTTTTATGGTTTAAACAGAAAAAAGTATTGAAATCAAAATAAGGTGGAGATTATAAGTTGATTGAAAATTGTCAAATATTGATTTGAGAACTTGATAAGCAAATATGGTGATGTGTGCGTATGAAAAATGTTAGTGACTCGTAATCAAGTCAAACAAATTTAATTAATTTCCATCGAATATGTTCTATTTGTAGATACATTCAAGCAAGTGTGAATGTTAAAAAGCAATATTTCCTATTCACGTGTTTAAAACATTTGTATGGTTTTGAAATATTTGTTTTCAAAACTCTACAATTCCTTTCGAAAACCCTTCAAATGTTCTCAATTTCACCTGCTTAAAAAATCAAAGCCTTTGCATAAAAAGACAATTCTCACTCAATCTTCAGACAGCTAATAACTCCACAATAGAAAAATAAGAATAAATCTTCATTCGATGTTGTTGCTCCTCTTTCAAATACATTCACTCACAACGTAGACATTACGGGATTTTTTTTCTATTCATTCATGTAACATAAAATTTATGTTAACATGGCAGTCAACAAAGGACAAATGCAAAAGATGCATGCATGATGAAATAGTGAATTGCACTTCACACAAAAGTTGAGACGACTTTTTTCTCTCGTCTTTTATGCTACATTATTGTTATTTTTATTTATATTTTCTTTAGTTCTTGTTAACAAAGAAAGAAGAAGAAAAAAACGCTTGAAAAAATGTAAAAGAAAATGCTTTCATTGAAATGAAAATAGCACGTGTACTACTAATTGGATTTTTTTTTTTGCTTTACGTTAATCGTACTAATTTATTAATTATTGATATTTAAAGGAAACAAGGAAACAAAGTAATTCGAGGAATTTTTATGGCATGTAATATGCTTCAAAAGATTGAAATTAGGATGAATTTTTTTTGGTAGAAAGAAATTTGTAAATATTTGGACTGATATGTGCCGTCATTGCACTAGAAAGATAAACGTATATGTTAATATTTTTGATATATCAAATTGACAAGACAAAGATGGATTTGAGAATGGGTAAAATGATTTCTTTGCAAGAATTTTGGTAAACATGGCTAGCTTCTGAAATTAGTTAAAGTGAAAAATGAATTTTTTGTAAGGTTATTATAAGCTTCAGGTAGTTGGGTTTGAATTGATTGACAGTTTTATGATTAAAAATTGAGTTTTATGTCAGGGAATAAATAAGAAATTGATGGTAAACGGTTTTTAAATTTTGAATAATTTTAACGGCTGTACGAGATTTAAATTTTAGAACCATACAACAACAAATTTTTTCAAAAATTAAAAAACTGTATTTTTTGGCATTCGAAAGGACTTTAAATAATCTTATATAAACTTAATACCTTGATCATAGACACATCCAATTGATTCAACTTCAAGTGAATCAACATTAATAGGAAAATAAAATCCAATTTTGATGGATCCATTTGAAATTCGATACTAAAGTTTATGCCATAATAAAAATTTGAAGCAATTCTTCTGTTTATTATAAAGTGCAATTCAGTTTCGTGAACAGCTTAGTCAATCTACTTTTCAATATTTCAGATTACAGAAAAAAAATAGAAATTTCCTTAATTAATAAACAATTAACATTTTTTGAATAGCACTCGCATGTGAATGATAGACTCACTTATTGCATTTCTGTTAACATAGATATATATATTTTTCCGATAGACCGATAGACGACGATAAAATGGAAATTTGTAGCATTTTCAAGAGTCTAATTAACTTAAATTACCTATATTAAAAAGTAATATATAATTCTATATATATATCAGGGCTCATTCACATAACAGATACAGATAGAGACACACAACAGTGAATAGCATAATTTTTTTTCCTCATTAAGATGAAAAACAAGCCAAATTTGTGACTCATGAGAAAAGATGACGAGACAAATGCCTCCAAGAAATAAGAAATATTAGTGTACATAATTAAATACGATTGATTCCTTATTTATATGAAATACAAAACAAAAACATGAGATGAAAGAAAATGAAAAATGATTAGAATGATATTAACTGTAATGTAGCTTAATAAACATTATGATTATTATTAATAAAAACTTATACAAAATGGAACGAAAAATCGGAAGAAAAAAAATTAAAACCATTCTTCATCACACAGCATATCTTTAATCATGAATTAATTAATTTTTAATCTACGAAAACTATTTGTTTGTTGTACTTTTTAAGAATACATATGTTTAAATTAATGAAAGCGACTTTGTATAACTTTATGTTGTACATTTCCATAGGCATTCTTTTTTTTTTTGATTCTTATTTTATGTTACATCTTCGCAATTGCTGCTAATTACGGTTGAAATTTCAAAGATGTTTGAGCGAACATTGTTGAAATTTTCTTTTTAAGCAGCAATTTGCAGTAAAGTTGGGTATTTGAGGCATTTTGGAACCAATTGACTGAGTTTTGCTTGCTGTAATTTTTTTGAACTGTTTTCAAACATTTTGGAACATTTGAACTGTTTTCAAACATTTTGGAACATTTGAACTGTTTTCAAACATTTTGGAACATTTGAACTGTTTTCAAACATTTTGAAACATTTGAACTGCTTTCAACATTAAGTTTATCAAAAAAAACTTTCTTTTAATTTGAATTTTTAAAAGTCGTTAAATTTCAAATCCCTCATGTTAACAGTCATGAAATTCTCTTATTAATTCAATCAAACTAAGATTTGATCCCATAAAATTATCAATCAGCTTCCTTCACTATCCTTCAGTCAATTAAATTCAATTATTTATGCAATCATAGCTCACACCTCTTCAGTCAATTATTTTCAACAAGCTTCAACTTCCTCAAAATAGAGAAATTTTAGATTTTTGTTATTAATATCAATTAATTAAACGATTTAAAAAGAAGAATGGTGGAATAATTTAATTTTTATAGGAAAATAAGTTTTATCAAAATTTGAGGAAACCTTATTAATGCAGAAATTTTCAATTTTCAAATCAAATTAACAAAGATTAATAAAAAAATTGTCAACATTTTGTGGCAAGGAAAACAAGGACTGTAAATTTTAGATGAAGCATCAAATAAATTTTTCTGTTTTCTGTGTATAATGAAATATATGATGACAACATTGTAATTGTTTCAACATCTATTACATAAAATAAAGAAAAACAAAATTATGATAAAAGTAATTCAAATTCTGTTGTTTTTAAGGTACTTATTGATATTTTAGGTACTTTCTATCACAATTTATTATTTAATCCTACGATTTAACTTAAATCTTCCTTTTAATCCTATGATGTATTGTAATTTTAATTTTAATCCATGGACTAATATGAAATTCACTTTTAATCCAACCACAAGCAACTATATCTCGCAAGTAAATCCACAAAAATCTCAAAAATACAGGATTTAATAAAATATTTATGCAGTTCCTGTGTAAATCATTGTCTTCATTGAAAGTTTGAAACCACAAACGTCCACGAGCTATGAAATCATCTCCACATGAGCTACTCAGAAATGTCCTCAACAAATTGCTTCCAGGAGTCAAAATAATTAAAGTCCTCAAATAACCCTCTCCACAATAAAGCTTTCGTGCCAACGTCAGACACTGGAATGAGAAAAATTCGAGAAATGAATAAGATTGATCTAACAGCTAGTCTACAAGAACTGAAACAGGACAAACTTTTATGAATAGATTGTTTGGTTGTTTTTTATTCAAATCTTGACATTATTAAAAATTATTTAAGGAAATAAAGAAGCAAAATATAATTCAATTCTTAAAACTTTTTTTTTGGATATCGCTAAAACTTCTACAGTTGTTGAAAATTAAACTTATGATGAGGTCGGCATGGATTTTTTAAAATCTGAATAAATCTCTCAACTTATCAATAACTTTTTTACTTTTCTCATCTTTCTCATTATTTTCGGCAACAGAACTATTATGTTCTTCGTACTTTGATATTATATCTCTAAACTGTTCACCCGTGGTATTGTCCTTCTCAGCATCTGATAATTTGACATTAATCTCGTCCTTCACATCGATATTATCAGCTGGAAGAGAAGTTTGATTTATTTTTGGTGATGATTTTATGGAATCTACTTTACTAATTATGTCATTTGATGATTGAGAAGAAGAATACCACCCGAGTTCTCAATCGGAGTCAGATGACTGACGTTTTGATTGACGACGTTTTGGCTTTTGGCTATTTTCATGTTCAATCAGTGCCTCCTCACGAACTAAATCGATGTTACCTAAACGAACCATTTTCAGTTCCCATTTTGTGATTTCTTGTTTGTACTTTACAAAATCGAGTTGTGCGGCATCATTGAATGTCTTTCGTTCAGCATCACTCATGCTATTCCATTTTTCGGCAACAACTTTCTGCCATTCACGATAATGCTGATTAGCGTCGCGTGGATACTTCTCGGCAGCAACTTTAAGAAATCTTAAGAATCCACTCAATGGCTTCTTTGGCTTGTCGTTCTCACGCAATCTCTAAAATAGGAAAACAAGTAAATAATTAGCACTGGATCATGGTTCGAACATCTAGTTAACAAAATAAAAGACTTAAAAGTCCAATTTAATCTTTGTCATTATGTTACTCTAAATGTGTACAGTTAAATCTTCAAAATTCGAGATCCCGTACCTTTCTATACTCGATTCTAGCCTTCTTTTCAACTACCTCCTGCTTCGCATTGGCAATTTCATATTTTTGCTCGTCTGTAAGTTTATTATCATAAACAGTTCGCTTTCTAATGTATTCCTCTTGATCTTTGATGTACTCATCTTGATATTTTGTCTTGACAGATGGATCTATTGTGGCATAATTTTTAGCACACAACTTTACAACTTCAATTGGCTTCAATTGTGGATTCGAAGTTTGTAATTTTGTTCTATTTTCACTGAGATAGCGGAAAAATGGTGTTAATGGCTTTTTAGGGCGAGGTGGAAGTCCTATTTTCTCTTCTAGAGATACTGACAATACGTTTGATGAATGAATTTGACAGGATGCCGAAATTCTATAAAAAAGAATGTAATTATTCATTTTTTTATTGATGTCTAGCTTATCATACGAATATTTACCTTGGACCAATGAAGAATTTTGTAGTTTGGAATAGCTTAGTAAGCGAGAACATCTTTAAATTCGTATTTAAGGGAATTTTTGTGTCTTTGAAGTTTTTGTAATCTGTAAAATCCCAGCGCGCGTCTTTCACAAATCAGTGAAATCCCAACGAATTATCTTAAAATCTTAAAATATCGTTTGTTGTTTGTCATTTTGTCTGTTTTGATGGTTTTATGTACATCCATTCATGGATTTATGCTTGATAAAAATGAAGCAGTTAATACAAGATTTAAAATCTCAAATTTTTAACGAATTTCAAATATTTATATCATTTATTTTCAAAGATCAAGCTGATAAAAGATGCGAAAAATTCAAATATTTTTAATACGTTGAAGTTTTAAAATCGACAATCTGTTTCAACTTAAAAACTATCACTAAAACCAATCAAATTCCATAAAACAAACAAAGAAGGAAAAGCGTCAAGTGATCTGCTAAGAGTATTCAGCAGTGCTATCATTACTAGTCTTAGTTTTGTGAAAAAAAAAATACAAAAAGTATAATGTCCATAGAATTAATAGAAATTACATGATTTTAATGTGTTTAATAGTCTCTCAAAAGTTGTTTTGTTAATCCCTTGTATTTTAAATTACTCAAACAATATGAGATCAAAGTGGCTACACTCGGAAATATTGGCTATTATAATTTTTTGTACAGCAACAAAATGTTCTTTACAAAGGATTCAAGATGAAAATATAAAATGTGAATTGTCTGATACCTTCTATCCGTTTCTTTGGAATGATCATGCTCCAAGAGGTACACATTTGGTCGATTCTTTATCTCACAGAGCTTATTTCTTGTTTTCATGATATGCTTAATTTTCAATAAACTCTGCAAAAAAAATCTCTCTCCTTTCGTTTATAGATAATCGATCTAGTGGAAATTTCTCAGAGTCTAACAATAGCACCGATATACTAAAATGTACAGCAAATTGCTGTAAATCAAGGACATGCAATGTTGCTATGTTTTATAACAAAACATGCTTTCTGATTGAATGCTTTACATCAGCCGCTTGTTTACCGACTAAGAGGAACCTCTCATCTGTGGATTTAGAAATGGTTCTCGTCAGGACTGTACGTTTTTACTTTTTCAACTGTCAAAAAATTTTAAAATTGATCAAAAACCATACAAATGTTTAATTATTGCTAGCAGTTGTATGGTTTTCTTAAAATTTAAATAAAAAATTACCGTTAAAATTTTAAATATCCACAAATCTAGGTCGAATCAGAGCATACAACATGGGAGGAAGCCATAAAGAGTGAGAGCGAAGAGAAAGACGTCCAACATGAGACATCGAATGACGGAAATCCAAACATGGATTTCTTACAGCACTTTTATAACTACGATGTTAAGGAGAAACTTTACAAGACTCTACAGCAAATGTCATCGCGTGAAAATGACGGTAAAATACCAAGAATTTATGGTCAGGAACGATATTCAAATGACGATGACATTAATAATTCACTCAACTTTGAAGGGAGCATGAAGGACAGTATTGATAGTGTTAGATTTTGTGGTCCAGGCTTTGGACCTTGTGATGAAAATCAAGAATGTGCAAGATTTAGTATGGATGGTGGTGTTTGTAAATGTACTCGTGGTTTCTATATGGTTAAAAAGAAATGTGTCCTACGTACAATTGTTCCTGTCGTAGCTGCTTCATATTCCGAATCATTGTCCCCAAAATATCCGGAAACGAGCGATGAAGAACCCGAAAAAATTCAACTACAGATTTCCGTTGAGTCAAAAAACATCCAGTTACCAGAAAATGAAGCATCATTGACTGCAAATGTTGTGCCTGATAATGAGAAATATACATACTTATGGTCACTTGTAGATAAGCCAGAAAATGATAAAAACGGCACAATAACAGATCAAACCAGGAAGACAGTTAAAGTGTCTAATCTGTCTGAGGGTCTATATAAATTTAAGTTGACAGTCACAGGACAGAATAGTTTTGGTGAAACATTTGTGAATGTGACTGTCTTACCAGCAAAAAGACTTAACACTCCACCATTTGTCATAATAACGCCAAAACATCAAGTCATTAAATTACCAAACTATAAAGCAGTTTTGGACGGAAGTACAAGCACAGATGATGATAAAATAGATGCATGGAAATGGGAATTAGTTCAAGGTCCCATAAATTACTCACCAACTCTACAAGATCAAGCAACAATCGAACTGAATGACTTGAGAGAACCTGGAAATTATACATTTAAACTCACAGTCACCGACAGTGATAAAGCTGAAAATTCAACGACGGCAATAATTCAAGTTGTTGAAGAAATCGACTATCCACCACAATCAAATGCAGGTTCCGATGTTATTCTATATCTGCCTCATAATAATGTAACATTGAATGGAACATTGAGTACGGACGATCATCAGATTGTCTCGTGGGAATGGACAAAGGATGCTTCGGACGAGGCAAAGGCTGTTGATATGCAAAATACACACACACCATATTTATCGCTGTCACATCTTGAGGAAGGGATTTATACATTTGAGTTGAAAGTAACTGACGCAAAAGGTCAGAATTCTACATCGAAAGTTCATGTTTTTGTTAAGCCACCCACAAATCTCCCACCGAATGCACGTGCCGGTAATAATGTTACAATAAGCTTACCGCTTACGTGGATCATGCTTAATGCAAATGAATCAACGGATGACATTAAAATTACTCAGTATCAATGGAGGCAAATTTCTGGTCCATCCAATAGTGTTATTTTAAGTGCTAATAGTAGTTTGGCTAATGCAACAAGTCTTACGCTTGGCGATTACATTTATGAAGTCACAGTTATTGATGAGAATAATAACAATGCAACTGATCGTGTGAAGGTTACAGTAATTCAAGGTAAAAATCTACAAATCCATTAAATGAAGCTTTTAATCACTGATTATGCATAAATCTGAATTTTATTACTTATTTGATTTTACAGAGAAAAATGCATCGCCCGTTGCGAAAATCATTGGTGGGAATCGAAATGTTACGTTACCATTCAGTGTGCTTGTAATTAATGGAAGTGCATCATTTGATGATTTAGCAATCGTTAATTTTACATGGACACGTGAGAGCGACAGCTTGGCTGTTGGAAATGTCATTGGAAATAGTGATCATGAGCCTGTTTTGCAGGTGAGAAGAACTTATTAGATTTATTAAGTGAAATCTTATTAAATTAATTCTAAACCACTAAAATTATCATGTTCAACAGCTCACAAACATAGTCGCAGGAACATACAAATACAAGCTAACAGTAGCTGATGAACAAGGCTTAACAGGGTCGGAGAAAGTAACAATAATTGTGCTGGAAGATCCGCTGATTATGAACTTAGTGGAAGTAGTTTTAACAGCACAAGCAACATCTTTAAGTCAACAGGAAGTAAGCATCGATTTTAAGCAGTTTTAATTTTCATTAATTAACACTTTTAATCCACAAAAATAGCTTGATCAACTGAAACAAAAGTTGTTGTTGCTGCTTGGTGATGATGTGAAGCTTAACGTCCGGCACGTGCGTATTGATGAGAAGACTGGCCATGTGATTCTCGTTTTTTATGTGTCACGTGAAACAAAGGAAGGTACGGCTGTAATGAATGCACTGGAAGTGCAGCACATATTAAAAGAAAAGTTCTGGAAGGATTACAGTATACTAGGATCAGCAATAAATGAAATTCGCACAGTAATTTGTCAGAATGATTGTTCTGGACATGGCACGTGCAATCAAGAGACACGCGAGTGTTTTTGTGATACATTTTGGATGCCAGATATCTTCTATTATTGGCATGTCACCGAGGCTAATTGCGATTGGTCGATTTTGTATGTAATAGTTTTCATTTTCTTTCTATTCCTGCTTGTAACCGGCGTTTGTTGGGGTTTTGTAAACATGTGCCGCTCACGTAAAGTTAAGCCAACGAAAGCCACCTCATCGCGTCCATCGAGACTTAAAAGACCTCAAAAGTATGCTCTTCTGCATTCCCAAGACGATGAGTTGCCGTCATGTAAGTTATGACATTATTTGATGCTGGATATTTATTCTGATCATGCTGATTTTATTTTCACAGTCAATAGAAACACGTTAAGTGATACAGACACTGAAGATTCTGATGTTTTATTTGAAAATAGTCGTCAGAAGATGAATGGAACGAGGAATGGAAAGAGTCGAAAGCTGAAACTTGGTCGACGAATTAAGACATAGAAAAATTTATAAGCTTAAAGAAATTTTTTTGTTTTCTTTTTTTCTTAAAAAAAGAAGAGCTTGCAAACCAAATTTAATAATGTAAAATTTATTATGACAGTCAGTATGAAGGTTACCAAATGATGTACTTATGAGAGTCATATGCAACAAAACACATTCCTTTATCATGCGTGAATACTAGAGAAAATTCTACTACCGATATGACTTTAATTGCTTTATTTTCTCTTTAATATGTAGCATGTAAGTTCATGATGAAATCATCTAGTCGATATTTTGTATTATTTAATTGAACATTTTTATTAAAAACTTATCAACTTAATTTTATTGGTGAAATTTTGTGATGCAAAACTTTTTTTTATATTTTTAATAGTTTTAATCGCAAATAGTTTAATGGGTAAAGGCTTGATTTCTTTTATGGTTGAATTTGAAGTTAGGGATTTTAATTTTTGAATGTCTTGACGTGAAAAACATTTGACAGATACAAGAACCTCACAACAGTTTTTGCGTCGAATATATAAACTCGAAAACCTTACAACATGTGGAAAGTTTTAAAACCCTTCAACAGCTTTCCTTTTGAACGTATTCTTAAAACATTACAACATTCAGCAAATGTCTTTAAGTCATACAACAGTTTTATATTTTTTAAAACATTACAACAGCCAAATTTTTGGAGTAATTTATTAAATTTCAATCAACTTCAAATTCTGACCATAAAACAATAAAAATATTGTGTTAATCGTGCATTGTTTTTGATTCAAAAAATGTCATATCTAGCACCGACGATGCATTCTTAACGATTTTAAAAATTATTTCATGAAAGATTGTATAAATTTATGGATAAAATTTCGATGGAAAATGTCGAAAGCTGAAAAAAGTTTAAAATAAAAGTAAAGGTTTGATTTTGATTAAATGAATGTTCTTTTATTCTTGAATTGATATTTTTTCTAGCAATACTTTCTAGATACCTTCTTCCCGCATCAATAATGTCCAACAAAATATTTTGAATATTTTTTTAAGCTTAACAAATATGTTTTAATAAGAGAAGTGAAAACAAAACTTAAATATCTTAAAGATATCTTGAAAGAAATAAAAAATGCCTTTTTTGGTGGCTTGAAATTTGAACAAAAGAAAAAACGAATAATTACAATTTACGAGTTTATAGCCTCAAGTTTCTGGTGGTTTACAAGCAGCAAATCAAGATAAAGCTCTCATAAATCATAAAAAATTCTGTGATTAATTTTTTTATCAATTTTCAAACCCAAAATTTTCTTAACATGGAATGAATGGTTGTGAATATTTTATTATGATAGTTATAAGTATCATTTTTTTAAGGTTTTATAGCTGTACTTTTAATGAAAAACACAGCCTAAAATCTTTTAAATATGAAAAATCGCTTTTTAAGATCGTCTATAGGATTTTAGATTTGGTACTAGCTAACCCACTAGCTATTTAGTAAGTAATTGTCAATAATACTCATAATTAATTTTTTATGATGATTATCCGGTATATTTATTTGATTGCTATTTAATTAAGAAAATTAAGTGATATTTCCAGACTGGAAATTCCAGGGATATTTCAAAACAATCATGAGAAACTAACGCCTAATAAGAAACTTATGAGCAAAAAGTTTTCAATTTTCCATGGAAGCTTCATCACGTGAACAATTAAGGTTCACTTTTTAAGTGTTGCAATAAAAAGTAATGTGACATGATTAATTTGTTAACTTTAATGTTATGAGATAAAACAAATTATAATAAGAAATCGTGCATTTAACAAAAAATAATGTATGAATAAACATTTGGAATATGAATATGACTTAAAACTGTCATAAAATTTCTTTTTTTTTTCTCTTGGGTAAACTCTTCTAAAATATGTCTTGAATGTATGTATCTTTGATTAAAAAGGTCCACAATAATAACAGTTGATTGATGTGATGTGAGATTCAAATATGGTAAAAACAACAAGAGAAATTTAATGCAATTGATTTAATTAGAGATCCTGATTACTTTATTCCATTGATATATTGTCCATGTTGTTTGTGATTGATGATGAGGATGAACTGCCACCTCCGTCGCGTTTATTACTTCGTAATCTCAAATTGTTTGCTAGATGTGAAAAATCACGCATAACATCATTGTATGTTGAATCTCCGCCTGGCTCACTATCTTCAGTTCCTCCAATTTCATCATTAAGTTGATGTAACCGGAGCAACGTTACAACGTCAGCATTCTGTTTACAGAAATGAAAAATACACATTTTTTTTGGTAAGTTAAATGAGAAAAATAAATGTCAAGCATAAATTTACCGCAGTTTGTACAGCAAAATCGATTGGCAATTTTCCATCAACTGTTTGTATATCATATTTGGCTTTGTGTTTTAAAAGTAAATATGCCAATGCCGTATTTCCCATTTCAATTGAGAGATGTAATGGTGTGTAATTTCTTCGATCAACACAGTTTATATTCGCACCATTCATTATTAAAAATTCGCAGGTCATTAACGAGCCCTAAGATGAGAATTATAATGCATCATTAGCATTGCACAGTTTTAATAAATATTTATTTAACGGTTTTTAACAATTGAAGACCTTGATCTTTTGAATTGAAATTTGAATTTTTGAAAACTGTTTAAATTAAAAAATTTCAAAACCGTTACAATTCAAGTAACTCACCACAATAACAGCTTGATGTAATGGTGTTCTTTCAAAGATTTCAGGATTAATCCAATTCTTGTCAGCGCCCAAACTCATAGCTTGACACATGACTGGAAGATTGTGAGCTATCGATGCTTTATATAACACATAATTTGGATTGAGTTTATCAATATCTTCTTCATCTGTAAATCGTATATTAATGGGAAAATTTAAATGATAATTAAACTTGTTATGCCACATGAAAATTTACCAAGAACATCCTCTTCACCGCTTGTCGACTCTTGATCAGAATTCGAGAATAAATTACATGCGACTGGCATACTTGTATCCAATAATTTATCACCCAACATTAAAATGCCTTCATTAATCTCTTTTTCATCCTCGCTGTTGTCGTGTTCCTTTGTTGTTATTTTCGTGTCATTATTATTATTATGCGTACTTCTGTGGAATAAATTAATGAGTGGATTAAGTATGTGATTAATAAAAATGCAAAGTCAATAATTTAATAAAAAAAATAAACGGCAATTTCAAATTTAAATGTTATGTTTTTTAAAAAAATATCGTTTTGAGATGACTGTTAAATGACATGAAATATTTACCTTCTTGAAGTACGACGTCGGTTCTTTTTGACGCTCCATTTACTTGGTGATGGTAGTAAATTTGGTGGAAGTAATTCAGTTTTTTGTTCCGTTAATGGAAGAACAAATTTCCTGTCAACGTATTTCGCATAAATCCATTTCTTTCTAACTTCATCATCACAATTTTCAGTAGCTCGCTCAATATCACTCAAAATTTCATCGTATGTCGCCTCATAAATCTTATTAACAACTTCATTTCCCAATTCGGTCATGACGCGAAGAATTTCTGGCTCCCAAACGTCTAATGTAAGACTTCGAACCTTTGAGTAGTGTACGCCTAATGATCTATGAACTCCTGAACATGCTATGCATAATGTAATGCCCAAATTTATAGACGCCCATTTTGGATCGTTATTTCCACAGTCAGCACATCTCATATTTCCTGGAATCAAGAGCATTTGCTTCCAATTTATTCTCTTTTCTTTGGTTTTACTCGACGATGGTGTCGTAGCTGAAGAAGAACTTGATATACTGGAAGTACTAGCACACATATGTTGAGAGTATCTGCTGTTATTCTGTATAGCATTACCAATTGCTGATTGAAGCGCCTGTATCCAGTCTTGATAGTGTGTCTCAGTATCAGCTTGAAGGATATGATTTTTAGTCGGCGAAATGACTTCAAAGCAGAATCTCCGATCGGCATCAAATAATGGCCTGACAGCACATAACTTTAAGTCATCTTCCATAACTGTCGGCAGTTCTTCACCCGAACGCTTTCGATAATAAAGCTTGTTATCTTTCATGTAGAACCATCGTCTATTCCATGTCTTAAATGCATTTGATGTCCTTTTAAATAAATATCCTTCCATTTGTTTCACAGCACCTTTCGAGTCATCTCCATCCTTATTCTTTTCTTCCTTTGAATATCCATTTACATAATTATGTCGCTTTTGCATCTCCTTCTCTAGTACCGCATAATCAGCTCTCATGCTATTAACTTCTTCATCCAATTCCTTGAATAAATAAGTATCATAATCTTGACATAAATCACTGCCTTGATGAAAGTACGTAGAACATGCAGATACATAACTCAAAAGAGTTGATAGAATTTCTGGTCTTTTTTTACGCTGTAATAATGTGATATAATTGACATAGTCAAGTGCTGAATGTTGAAATTGTGATTTTGTCGAGCACACATAATTCTCAGCTTCAACAATCTCTTGTGGACGACTCTTATTTACTTGTGAGTTCTTGTTTAATGCACCATCGAAATTTTCTGAGACTTTCATGAATATTTGCTTATAGTCCTTAACTTCTCGAATGTCTTTTTTAATAAAATTTGAAATATTTTTTAGGACTGTCTTCGAGCATTGTTCGAGGAGAATGTTATGGAATTTATTCATTTCTTGAAGACAATGAATGATTTTTGTCAGAGCATCTTTGTCGTCTGGAAAATGCTTTTGAAGTTCCCATAACGATGTCGCAAATGCACTGTCAAAAAAAATTCAAATTCTATGTTAAAAACATTAACGGCTGTGAATATTTCAAAATTGAGCAACAAAAGCAAACTCAGCATTACACCACTCCAATTACTAATTGATTCAATCATATTCTCTTGCTGTAGAGAGTGAAATTTTTTTTGGAATCTCATTTTTAGTGTAAATAGGATTAATGTGATACCAAAAATATCACAATTCTTTCGATTTATGTTCATACATCATAAGTTTATTCAGTGTGAGTGTTCAAATGACTAAATTAGTCAATTAAAGTAACTTTAATTTTTTATAATGACCACACCTTGATAACTTGTTTTATTATCCAAGAAGTCGGTTAAAATATTACAATATTGAGGCATTATCTCCTTTAAATAGCCATTATTCATTTTAATTGCGCATTATCTTAGTATTTAAAGTTGCTTGATGCCATTTTCTCTTATCGATCGTAATTCTGACCTTTGTATAACGCAGAAAATGAAAAGATAGTCAAGTATTTGTTTTTATTGTTGTTGTTCTTATAAGAAACATAGCGAATGACTCATTTTCACCACGATTTGTAAACAAGCAAGTGTGTTTTCCAAGTATTAACTGCTTTAATAGAAAGATTTTAAAGTGGAATCATTTTTATTTGCTTTAAAGAATTTTTGTTTATTAAATTGATGCAAATTTTCGCAGATATTTATGTGAATAGCTTTAATTATGAGAAATGGCTTTTGCCAAACGTCTAAAAAAGCTTCCCACATACAATTAAGCATTAATAGTACTTAAATGTTCTTTCATTTCAGTATAAATCTCTTTAAGTTGAACCTTACGTCTCATTTTTCTACATGAATTTTGTTGTGTGACTTAAGAGAATCAAGAAGATACGAACAAAAAATTTAAGTGTTGATTAATAATGGGCAATCACAACAAGATTGTGTTTGTCACATTAGCCTTATGTCTCTTAATATTTATACTACCTCACAAAGAAATTAATGCACAAACGACTAGCAATTATGATCGTAATAGGATTGATAGTGATTTGAATAATCAGTATGGACGAGGACGGTACAATCAGCAACAACAACTACCATTTAATGGTCAAAGGAACAACGATTCTCAGAGAAATTTAAATCCGACAAGAAATCCAGCTGATCCTAGTAGTTATTTTGATAATAGTAATCGATATACTTATAATCGTAATCCAGCATACTCAAATTATAATTATGGACAATATGGAGCATTTGATGATCTTGATCCAAATCTCATGTGTCCGGAACATTGGATTGCATTTCGTCAAACATGTATGAGATTTGTTCAATCGCCCAGACGAACATGGTATGAGGCAAAGAAGATTTGTATTGCTGCCAAAGGAGATTTGGTAAATGTCGATAATCCCGAGAAGCTTGCTTTTTTAACACGTGAATTGTATTTGAAAAATCAAGTACAGAACAGATATTATATTTCGGCAAGAATGACATCGCCCGGAAATTGGGTCAACGATGACAGTAGTGCTTTCTACTTTACAGAGGAGATGTTCTCATATGAGGAAACAGAAATCGACCGAGAACAAAATATTGAATATTTAAACAACAATCAACTTTACATCGCACAGAGGAATCAGTTTGGAAATTTCAATAACTTGAATCGACAAAGTCCTAATACATATAATGTTTACGACAATCGTTTATTGCAAAAAGACAGAGTAGTATTTGGTTATTCCTTCGAGAAAAGCAGATGGATGTACATGCCAACGTATGATTTTGAAAATAATTTATTCATATGTGAATCTCAACAGCTTTATAGCGTAGACAATATTAATGCACATGCAGATAGTAAGCGTGAAATCGACTATGGAGTGGAAGTAATTGATCCATTAAAACTTGAACGTGGCCCTTATTTCATAAAACAGCCAAAGGATACAACTTATGATACAGGAAAGCGTCGTGTTACAAATGATGTTTCTATTCAGTGCTTAGCTGGCGGATATCCAACACCAACATACAGTTGGTACAAGGAACTATATATTAATGATACCCTGAACTTTACAAAAATAGATCCTCTGCTGGATAATAGATACACTATTAGTGGTGGAAATTTAATCATCTACAGTCCAGATCAATCTAAGGATCAAGGGACATATCATTGTGTTGCTAGCAACAAGTATGGCAAAGTTGTATCAGAGAGTGTTCAATTGAATTTCGGTTACATCCTTGAATTTAACTTGAAACGTTCTCCTGAGATTGGTGATGTCAATTGGGGAAAAACTCTCTTCTGTGATCCACCAAGTCATTACCCAAATGTTAAGTACTACTGGAGTCGTGATTTCTTCCCAAACTTTGTTGAAGAAGATACAAGAACATTTGTCAGTTACGATGGTGCTCTTTATTTCTCAGCATTAGAATCAATCGATCGAGGCAACTATTCATGTACAGTCATGAGTACTGTTAGTGACACTGGAAGAAATGGACCTTTATTTCCACTTGCTGTCAGACCACATCCAAATTTCCAAGCACTTATTTTTGCCAACTCGTTTCCAAAAGTATTTCCTGATGCACCAATTGCTGGCGATGAAATTCGTTTAGAATGTATTGCATTTGGTTATCCAGTTCCAGCATACAACTGGACACGTAAAAATTCTGAGCTACCCCGTCATGCATATATGATGAATTATAACCGTGTTTTAGTTATTCCAAATGCAACTGTTAATGATAATGGCGAATATGTTTGTACAGCAAGAAATGACAAAAAAGCAATACCAAAATCCGTAATGGTAAATGTTCAAATGAAGCCAAATTTCACAATTCCATTGCGTGATCAAATTAAAGACTACAACTCTGAAGTAACATTCATATGTGAAGCAAATTCAATTCCCGACTCTAATTACACTTGGTACAAAAATGCTGAAACAATGGATAGAGAGAAACTTGATAAAGACAAGTACATAATACAGGACAATATATTAACAATCAAGTATTTAGATCCTGACAAGGATAATGGAATGTATCAGTGTAAAGCTACCAATCAATTGAAAGGAGTTTACTCATCAGCAGAATTGCGTGTTTTATCAATGGCTCCGACATTTAAAAAACGACCATTAGAAAGTGAAATTTATGCAGTTTCTGGAGGAAATACTACGATTATCTGTAATCCTGAAGCAGCACCACGACCAAAATACCAATGGAAAAAAGACGGAAACGTAATTGGAGCTGGTGGACATCGAAAGATTCGTCCGGATGGAACACTTGTCATTGCACCAACATCACGAGATGATGAAGGCATTTACAGTTGTGTTGCCACAAATGCATATGGAACAGATGAGTCAAAAGCAAGATTAATTGTTCTGCAGGAAATTCGATTCTCACAACCTCTACAACCGCAGATCTTAACTGAAATTGGACGCTTCCTTTACATGCGATGTGAAATTTATTCTGACTTAATTCTTGATGTTGCATTCGTTTGGACATTCAATGGAGAAGTTATTCGTCCATATGATCATGAAGACTTTAGAAATGACAGAGTTGATATCAATTATAATGAATTGACAATATCAAATACATCATTACTTGATTCTGGATTTTATGAATGTATCGCAAAATCAGCTGTGAATGAAATTCGTTCATCAACTCAGGTTATTGTTCTTGGACCACCTGGAATGCCTGGAGGTGTCAAAGTTATCGATATTAAGAAAACAGAAGCAACTCTTGAATGGATCGATGGAGCAGATAATGGTGGTATTATTTCAAACTATATTGTTTATGCACGCACAAATTGGAATAAGACATGGCATCTTGTAAGTGATCGTGTTGATGCACGTGAAGTTGACCGTTATACAGGTCGTAAAAGTGCAGACATTGAAGGCTTATCACCTTACTGTTCTTATGAGTTTGCTGTGTCAGGTGTTAATGGTTTTGGGGCGAGTCCATTGTCCCTTCCATCACCGTCGCACAATACTTTACACGACAAACCATACACTGCGCCAATAAATATTGATGGAGGTGGAGGAAAAATTGGAGATTTAGTTATAACTTGGGATGTTTTACCACCAGAAGAACATAATGCTCCAGGTATTCATTACAAAGTATATTATCGTTTACACGGCAAAAATGGATCATCGGAATGGGCTGAAAAAATATATAAGAAGGAAGGAAATGTGGGAAAGGCCGTAATCCATTTCGAAAAACTTGATCATTATTACACAAAGTATGATATTAAAGTTCAAGCTATTAATGACATCGGTACCGGTCCGGAAAGTAATGTCAGTGTGATTTATTCAGCGGAAGATATGCCACAAGTTGCTCCGCAGCAAATATGGGCAAAGGGATTTAACTCGACAGCATTAAACGTTACATGGAACGCAATTGATCAACGTCGTGAAATGATTCGCGGTAAATTACTTGGACACAGAGTAAGTTTGATTAATATTCAATTAATATGCTATAAATTTTAATATTAATTATTCCATTCATAAACAGTTGAAGTATTGGAAAAAGGATCATAAAGAAGAAGATGCGATTTATTATCTGTCGCGTAGCACGAAAAATTGGGCATTAATTGTCGGTTTAGAACCTGATACATATTACTGGGTGAAGGTTATGGCTTATAATGCAGCTGGTGAAGGCCCCGAAAGTGAACGTTTCCTCGAAAGAACATACAGAAAAGCTCCACAGAAACCACCATCCTCTGTACACATTTATGGCATTAATCCGTCGACAATTAAAGTTGTGTGGCGTTATGTTTCACCATCACAAGAAGAAGAACCTGTTGAGGGATATAAAATTCGTATATGGGATTCAGATCAAGATATGGCAACAGCTAATGATACAGTTGTGCCACTGGGACGAAAGCTTGAATACATTGTTGACAACTTGACACCAGGTATGATTAAAATTAATTAAAAAACTTCGTTCTTCGTTATTATTAATTGATTATTATCTCTAATTTAAACAGGAAAAATGTATAGACTCCGAGTACTAGCTTTCAGTAATGGCGGTGATGGACGAATGTCTTCACCAACACACACATTCCAAATGGGTAAGACAAAAGAGGATACAAACAATAAATGGTTTAAATAGTCTCTCTATCTGCACATTCTTTTATGTTCTTGCTTTTTTTATTCACTTAATTCTTTATTTCTTCTCTTTTCTATTTCTGGTTTTATATTATGTTCACTTTATTATTTAGTTTATATCACTTACTCGTAAATTGTACGTGATGTAATTCCAAAAAATATATAATTTTTTATTCTTTATATTGCGTTGAGGAAAAAAAAATAAGGTGATAACTTATTTTTATGGGTGCAGTACATTTATCAAATTTAGTTTTATGTGAATTTTGAGGCAGTATCTATATATGACCGTGTATCGAGTATTTCATGTTAAATTATTTTAAAGTAATGCTTTAAGCTGGATGAAGATTCTTAAGTTAAGAAAGTCTCAAAACGTACGAAAGTTTGAATAGAGAATATTTAAAACTACTAGCTTCTTACATTTTTTTTTATATAATCCGTAAAAAATCGTTCTCAGCATGTATGAACTTTCTCAATTACGCAAAACTTGTGAAATAAACGATACAGCATATATATGTACTGTTTCCATGACTAATTTTCTTTCAAACAAATTTCTTGATATTTAATTTCAATTAAGTTTTTTTATGTTTTCTTTTAAAAAATCTGCGCTTAATGTTTTATATTTTGCATTAACCCGATAAACCAAAGTTTCTTAACTTTATGCTTTCTGTTTTTATGGTGCTAGTTGAGTTAAATCATTTCAAAAATAATTCTCATGATTATAACTTTTCGTCTCACAGGTATCACACAGTTGCCATACAATGCAGCAAGAAGTATTCAGTTAGATCATTTGGTAGTTATTGCCGTACTGTCAATAATTTACTTGTTTCAAATGGCTTTATATTAGACAAAAAAATCTCGACATGTTTTAAGAATACGAACTTTATCAAGCTACTTGTTTATTAACTTTTTTATTTGTTATAAAGACAGACATAAGACATAAAATTGTAAGTACCATAAAAAAAGATTAATTAGACGATTAATGACCCGAAGACAATTCATAACGAGAAGTTGTATTTGTAATAGAATTTTGATATTTTTTAAACAATAAATTCCTCCCCTATTGCTCTATTTACACAATTATAATATAGATAGAGAATCTATGACACTAAAGAATACACAATTATAGCATTTATGTAGTTTGAATCTCTCTCATTATTACAAAGCTAATGCTTTATTAAGATCTGTAAACATTCAATGAAAAAAAAAAAAAAGATCTGCTTTACATTAAAAATGTCGAAAAAAACGAAAATTTATCATTCCGACATTCCACAGTATATTGAGAAATTTTTCTATGAAGATGATTAATTCAACATACATTGTTGCTTGTCTTTTAAATTTAAATTTCAAAATGCAAAAAATCTCATCGAAGCATAGAAACGAAGAAGAATAAGAAGAGCATTAGCTATTTTGTTGTTATAATGACATGACATAAGTACAGTCAGTCAAGGCCTTTAAAATCATTCAGTTGAAAATTTTATTTTATACCCAAAAAAGAGAGCAGCATAGAAGATAATATGATATTTTTATACAAACACAAGAAGTGCAGGGAACGGAACTGCTTTTAGCTGACATGAGTAATTTTTTAAAAAAGCGTTAACAACAGTTTACATTCCTTGTCGATAAAAATGCTTATGCACAATAATCATACAACATAAAATGCCTTTTATATCAGTAGAGATTCTATATAAATGAATGAGATATATTTTTACAAACACATAAAAAGCGCCTTATCAGTGCGAAAAATTCGTCCAATAGGTTTTAGGCTTTAGTTAAGTGAACATTTTTTTAAATGACGTAGAATTTTTCTTAATTCTCGATAATATCGTTTGCAAACAATTTTAGGATTTAGTAAAAGAGAGTTTGTTCTTGAATATTTTTCTACATTCCAAAAAGAAATGAAATTTGAATTTTATTGCTGACTTATCGAAAAAGTTTTCCTTATCTTAAACGTTTTTGTAATGTTCTTATAACTGGATAATAAAAAATTGAAGAAAAAAAAAACTTTAATTTATGTGTTTTGCTTAGTGCTATAAAATTTAATTTTCAGGGTTGATGAAAGATTGAAGCAGTAACTGGCAGGCATCATGAAGATGAGCAGCAAATAAGAAGGTACAACATGAACAACATGGGCAACTTTATCCACAATTTTATTAAATTATAGCAATTTAAGCTTTCTTGGTCTGCAGAACATTTCAAAATTATTTACGGCAGACATTAGTGTCAGATACTTTTTGCTACCCTAAAAACAAATGAATTTCTAATTTGACAAACAATGTCAATCGTCTTAGTTTCCTTTTATATACACAATGACTAATGTTGCTTATTATTTTCCAACTCTGAGTATATGATATTATCCATTCATTACTTTCTGTATATCGTGATAAGTATTTATTTTCGTATGTTCTTTTAACGAATGACTAATCAAAGTGGGAACAAGATATGGATGTAAGTTTATATGATTTATAGCGCAAGATGCTTCAATAAATCACGCAAAGCATTCGGTTACAGCTCTAATAGGCAACCTTATCCTTTTAATCCTACTGCCTACTCAAAATAAATTATGTTACTTACTAAATCAACAGGTTACTCCTAATTTAAACACTCAGCTGTAATTGCGTGTTGTGTAATTTGAGCATTAACATCGTAACCCTTTTTGAACAAAAAAGGATATGAAAGAATTGGTTCTGTAATTGTTGCTTTCATTTTTAAGTATTTTGATTATTTTAGCCATAAATTATGTCCAGAAGTGGTCAATTAAATAGAATCATGAGAAATTTCATTATAATGTGAAAGAATCAACATCCAATTAAAAAGATGAATCATATTATTCGCAATAAGTAGCGCTTAAAATGCTCGCAGTTTTGGAACGGAAGTTTGATGAAGAACATGAGAATATGTCTTCTTCACTTTATGTGAATTTTTATCTATAAATCGATAAGCAAATATTACTCACCTCTGATTTACGATAAATGTACGTCCTGAATCGCAAGAAGACGTCGCATATTTAAGAATTTTATCCAATTTTTGCTCTAAACTTTCAATACTCTCCTCTTCTTGCTCTAGCTTGAATCTACAATACATACAATTTTTATACACTTGATGAGTAAACAGCCTTTAATGACTTCACAATCACAGTAATATTATTTCAATTTTTTTAATTGATTTAAGTAAAATAAAAAAACTTTCATTTTCTTTCAACACAATTTTTTTGTAATTTACCTAAAACTAGGCGAATCTGCAAGCACTTCCTTAAAATCAATACAGGCCATGATAAAACACTTTATTAACAATTATTTGAATAACAAAAACATTCAATTACACAAACGATATACACTAATTTATTATTTTTTCAATTTCTTGTAAAATCTCACTTTATATGAAAAATCAAAATAATAGAGGATGGTGTCATATATATGCTGAATGCCAGTAACATATGGATTTATTTGTTTGTAATGCTACTATGAATCAAGAGTAGGTTCCTGTTTTAGATGATTTGATCTATAGGTCACTGAATTGAGATGAAACTCAACAAACCGTTTTGGATATTTAAAATTGAAATAACATTTGATCAAAACTTTAATATTTTCAAACTTTTTACAATGCCTACCCTGTTTTTTCGTTATAAGCTAGTAGCTTAGAAGAATAAAAAAGTGATTTTTTTGGCTCACTAGTAGCTTAGTAACGAGTAGGAGCTTAGTAAAGAAATTGAACTTCAATGAAAATTTTGAATTTTTCTAATTTAATTAAAGAAATTTTGCTATCTTCTCGATTTTATTTCATTGACAATGTCATAAGGTATTGAAACTGATACCTAGAAAGTTCAAATATATTAATTAAACTATATTTTTGGTAGTAGCTTACTAAAGATTACAAAAAATTTTAGTAGTTTAGTAACGAGTAGTAACTTATAACGAAAAAACAGGGTACCTGATTTAATAGTTTTTTTAAGTCTTACAAAAAATTCCCATTTTTGTTGGCATTGCTTTGCAAATTGAGCTATGAAAGAATATTTTTGAATTTTATTTGACGGTTAAGGCTGATGCATGCTCAAAACATTTATTTCAATTTCTTCGTATAAATTTATATTTAAAATTATTTTATTATTTTTATGAAGAATTCATTCATCTCTATAAATTTTGTTTTTGAAAAGCTAAAAGACAGCAATAAAAATTAATTACTATTATACAAGTATTTCTGTACATGTTAGAGCACTCTTGTATGCTCTAACAAACAATGTTCTCCACAAGATCTTTTCATTTCTCTGAATAAATTGAAATTTCCGATTTACATATGATGTAAGAAATATTTTATTGTAAAATGAAACTTCAAAATCTTCAATTTACTTCAAATGTAAATTCATTTCTCAAATATTCTGTACAATTTTTGAACATCATGTTTTTAAGAATGACTGTTTAACTAGATCAGTTTGGACATATTTAGATACAATTCTTGACCTTACATTTGTTTTTTTCAAAACTTTAAAATCATTTTTAAAGAAGTTTTCAACTTAAGATCCTAATCAATAGAAATGCGTTATGCTTGTCAGTCCTTACATAGAAACTCTAGACTTTTCAGTGCTATGTAATTTCATTACAATTGGCTTTTCTTGATGAATGCAAAACGAATTGCATAGGAGCAAAATTTTATTCCATTTCATAAAATAACAAAAGTTCCAAATGTATGCACATTGTTGGTTAAAGGAATAAAATAGAAACAATATAAGATGGTAGAAATTGTTTTTTCTTCCCGTAAAAGACATTTAGAGAAAATTGAATGTGGTAAATGAAGTATGTATTCGGAATTGAAATGAGTGAATATGTTATGTCATTTTCAATTAAATGAATATATATTTTTAAAATATGCAGGAATACAATAAACATTTTTTTATTCAATCGTTCCTTTTTTATGGTTTTGTAGAGAAAACATTGTTGATTTTGCCAGTAACAAAGCTTGTTCCTAGCAGTTCTTCATTGTAAACATATCATATTTGTAATCTGACGTTTAAATTTTTGGTTAAGTAGATTAATAGTTTAAGATATAGGATATTTAATTGGATAAAATATTACACGAAAATAATATTGTTTGCACAAATCTCAAAAACTGTACCACAAAGTTATCCTGTTTGTAAATATATTTACAGCCATAGAATACCACCAATTAAACCAATCTACAGATTTTTCAACCTCAAGTTAAACTATAAGAAAAATTGCTCATATAATCTTTTTGTTAATCAATTAATGTCAACTTTGCTTTTAATTCCGTCAAAGCAGGAAAGCTTTAAAGGTTTTTTTTTATCCTCATTCACTTCACCGAGACAATTTATTTTTCTGTCAAACTCTTTCTACTTTAATATATTTCTTCATTTTTAACCGTCTCTTTTCTTCTTTTACAAATAAATAAGTGAAAAAAGGAGCAACAAAAAGAGTCAAGTGAAAATGGCACATACGGAAGAAATAGTTGGATATTCATTCTTGCGATTGTTCACCGTAATAGTTTGTAGAAGCGTTAGAAAAACATAAAACAGAATGAATGTGAGTATATATTATATTCTTCACATCTTTCAAAGCGTATTCATGTGGAAAAGGAAAATGAATAAGGGTTGAAAAGAAGAGATTCTTCTCAAATGAAAGCTTTAGATGACTTGAACGCAGAGGAAAAATTGAAAAAGAAAGTTTAATGTGCACAATATAATGCATATAAAAAGAAATAATGGTGAAGTTTGGTAGCGATGCTCATATAATTGTGAATTATTAACAAGAACAGCTATTAAGAAGTGCTGCAACTGCACTTGTCTTTGTTAACTGGGATTGTATATTTAGCAACTGTTGTTTAAAGCGAAAAGCTTAATGAGAAGGATCCTAAAATTTGTGTTTAATTAGTGCAGTTAATCAAAGGTTTAAACTTACATCCATAAAGAAGAATTTCCCTGTAAAAAAATTAAAGTCCAACGTGCAGCCGCGAGATAAAAAAAAATTTGTTCATGCTTAAAATGGCAATTACGTCTCCGATCACCATAAAATTTATTTTTTAATTTGATATATTCAGCTGGAAAAAAATCTCTTAATTTTTAATTAAAAAAGTTGATTACAGCACATGAGAGAATTTCAGCATTTTTTTTTTCGTCATATTCTTGCACTAGAGTGGAAAAATGGATCGAAAAAATTGTGTCATCTGCTTTTCACACTTTACTACGTTGTTTTATGGCAATGCAATAAAATAAAGTAGTAAATATATCACCATATGTGATTGTGTAGGAAGCATGTAAAATATATTTGATTATAAATCAATTAAGCTGTATAACTGAGAGGTTGATTGTGGAATATCTGAAATATTGCCACTAAAGCACGTTTGATACATGTAGAAGGATATTCAGTTATGATGTTTAAAGATTACGAGGTATCTATGGTAATGAAAGTATCTGACTAAAGTAAGATGAAAAAAATGATTCTGAAGAATTTTATTTCAAAGAAGGATTTCCTTATACGTCCACTCTTAGCTACTCCTCTATACGTGCTGATTTGACGTCATTTATATTCAATCCATAAGTTTAGAAGGCAAAAAAATCTATAACTGCAATTGCATTTTCTTTGATATTTTCAATTTAAAAAAAAAGTCATCAAGTTTTCTTCTTTCCTTCGTTTGTCAGCAGGAAGTTTAATATGAATCATGCTTTGAATGGATCTTCCCTTTAGTCGTATAAATGAAAAAAAAAAAATCAAGGATGTAGGTAGGTCACTGCCGTGGGCTATACTCTTTTGATGAAGTGAAAATTAAAAAGAAAAGTTATAATCTTCTAGGGTATAATGTTAAGGAAATTAAAAGTTCTCTTCTTCTATACCTTTTTTGTCATTGAATAAAATTGAAATATTTTTTTATATTATCCACTCGTTTTAAGTGCTTATGGTGCTACACTCACTCTTTTTATTATTATTTACCTCAGCATATTATTTTCCTCTTTTTCATACGGTTCACATATTCAGGAAGAATTTGCTCTCATTTCTTTCATTTTATCATAATATTTATTCAAGATCCACTTCCGCGGATATACCATGCATGCATAAAAGTATCTTAATAAGTTTACTGTATTGTAGTGAATTAAAGAGGTAAAAGATAGAAGATGATGTATGCCTTGAAATGGTTAAATTTAAATAAAATGCAAGCATGATGCTTTTAAAAGATTAAATTCTATTCTTACCATGTATAAATGAAATGTACGTTCCAAACACAACAAATTTAATATCAAAACAAGAACAATGAAACTCAAGAATTTTTTTGTGTACTTTAAGGATTTTTTTTTTTCATTCCTATCCTATCCATTTTCATCAAGTGAGAGCTTTTAGAAAGCTTTTAAAACAATTTTCTTCCGTTGAGTTTTGAGGCTTCTTCTTTCATCATCTCATGTTTCTTCCGTTATCCTCACAGAAAATGTTTATTCTTAGTTTTAAAATTATGCAAAGAAAAGTTTGTTCCCTCGGGAACTTTTAATTACAGAATCATTATTTCACAATAAAAAAAGCTGTATGAAAGACTAACTATGTAAACAGCCAAGAAGTACATAAACTTTAAAGTTTGATGCCATTCAGTGATTAAAATTGAAATTTTAAATTATAAACTTTTTTGCTTCTCTTGCCTGATTGCTTATTTATCTTAGAGAAGTTTGAGACGATGAACTTTTACAATTAATATGAATAAGAAATGTGATTTCTACTGAATTTTAAGAAGCATGATCTTGGGTTAAAGAATAATAAGAAGGAAATGATTAATTCTTACTGATTTTTATTCAGTGAAAGGTATTCAGGCGAAGAGTATTAACCAGCTTAGCCTACATTTGTCTTGATAATTCATGTTCCTCACTGCTTTAAAGCGATATTGTTATGCATAGTAAAAAATCAAGTGATTAAAATTATTCAATTTTTTTCTCCATGCCATTCAATATTTTGGCTGCACGAATCATAAAACATTCGTTCAAATGCCACTTTATACAGCATTTAAAGTTCAAAATTCGACATTCTTAATTAACTTCAAATGCATTTTAATGAAAATTGCTCAGGAATAACTTTCTTGGTTCATAAAATTTGAATAAAATAATCATTTTATGTCTTATAATAGCCCGCATAATATTTCTTAAGACAAAATTCTTGATTTTTATTGCCGAAAAAAACTTATTGTTGTGATAATTTGAAAATATGTTAAATTAACTCATTTTTAATTGAATGTCGTAAAACTGATAAACATAAATAAAAAATTCCTTTCTTTTTTTAAGTCGTTGCTCTCAAGTAGCATATGAGAATGAGAGAATTTTATATTTGCAATAAGAAGACACATCTATTAATTTTATTGCTGAAGGAACAAAAAAAAATTCTCTCATAAAAAAAATATTTTTTTTTATCTTCTCGAACGGTGGAATCTCACTGAAATTTTTTGACGTAATCGTTTAAAAACTCAAGAAGAAATTAATGTAAAGAAGAAGAGTAAAAAACGAGACATATGAATCAGTTGCTTGCTATAAACACAACACACGAGATTTCCTCTTCTTCTTGTGCTTTTGGGTTGATAATTAAATTAGTTTTGAGACTCAAAAGCTGAAAAAATGTTGAAGAGCGATTTTTTTTTGTTTCTCAAATGAGATTTAAGCTTTTATATGTTCTCACATTTTTAATTGTTTGAGGATTTTAATTCTGTGTAAAGCAAATATCTCTTTTATTATTTCAGTGCTCGGTGCATTTGAGTCGTATAATATTTGGTTGGTTTTTTATTGAAATAGAATTGTTGAAAGTAGGACAAATTGTAGTGAATAAAACAAGTAAGAGTGTCTCAGTGGATTATGATGCTTTTTTAAAGCTCTCGAGCTAACTATGGTTTTGCTGACAATGTTATAGATTTTTGCATTGGTCGATAGTTTTTTGAACTAAAATAAGTCTTTTCCCCCAAATTACTGAATTTAAGTGCCAAAAAAATTATAAAACCAAATCTTCATGCTATCCAATACATCATCAAAATGGACACACAGACAAAAGACATTTCGATTCAACCTCATTATCATCTCCACATTTTAAAATGCATGCCATAAAGGATAACAACCAGTAGATTGTGAATGCACAAAAGAATGAACGACTAAATGGATTATGATGTAACGAAGCATCAATGGAACATTTTTTTATGTGCATTTCATCTCTTGATAATGAGAATCTCATTGCATGGTTTTCAATTTTATGGCGCCATTTTGACATTGGGTTTATCAGCTATGTAGTTACTTTCTTTTGTAGTTTTTCGGATAAAAGCATTATGACAATAAAAAGGTCGATTTTTTTATTTCAATGGAGGGTAATTTTTTTAAGGTTAAAGTGCAGTTTAAGGACAATAGAAACTAGAACTGAAATATTTTTTGAATTTTGTTTATTACTTATACCTAATGAAACAAAAATGAAGTAATGCATCTTCTTTAATAATTTTTTTTCTGTAAATAATTTTCTTTGCTGACCTATTTCATCATCCTTCCCTTAATGACCATAAAGATGGTAATAAAAGTGAGTAAAATTTTATTTCATTCTTGCTAATTTTGTATATTGAGCGCAACAAGATGCGTGCATGTGAAAATTTTTATTAAAACATTGCCATATGAGTCATAGTTCATGAGTATGATTTGTTCAAAGGACGTTCACAAATGATGCATACTGAAAATGTTGAATTTTTGAAAACTTTTATTATATTGTGCAAGATGAAGTCTTCCAGCCAATTTTATTAAAAAATTATTTAAACGTCAACAGAAGTCTAAGGCACTCCCCCGTTTACATGTCACGTTACATAAAATTCAGCCATTCCTTAAAGAGTAAAGTTATTGATAGAATTATTACTTGCATGCATTTACATAATACTCAATAAAAAAAACCCGAAGATGTTAGCACTTCATTTAAACATTCATGCGATTCTAAGAAAAAAGAAGAAAAAAGCGCAGATGATGAATATGCATTATTGCAATTGCAACATGTCTATAATTATCATAATAGTTGTTTGTATACTTCAATGAATACGAAGAAATTTGTTTTGTGCTTGCAATTGTATTCGTGTAACATTTGCCCTCAAAAATAGAAACAGAAAAAAATTGTCAAATGCGAATTCATTCAGAAAATAACTTTTTTCGGGTTAAGTCATAAATTAAAATTTAAACACTTATAAAGTCGCCTAATAAAAGAAATCAAAAAAATTCATTTCTCATTAAAAAATTGAGAATTTTTTTAAATCAATCTGCAAAAATTCTCAATTTGCAAGGCTTCATCTCCCGGAATTTGTGTTTTCTTCTTCAAAATTGTTTATTTTTTCTCTATACTATAAAAAGAGCTTTACCGAATTCAACATGCTCATTAGTTGCGGAGTTTTGCTGAAAGACGCATTTAAAAGAGGAGATACGAGTCAATAGGAATCTGAAAAAAAATTAAAAAATTTAAATAGGAGTGAGACAAAAAGATTCAGTGCCTTATCACTTGCAGTGTCGTGTAATCTCCATTGATAATGAGGTGTGTGATAAAAAAGAATTTGCTATAGCAAAATTTAAATGAGTGCAGTTAAAATATATCCAAAAAAATGTTTAAGCAAGTTTTGAAGTGGCTAATTAGCAGAAAAATAATTATTGGAATCACGAGCGATGATAAGAACAGCTAAAAAATCTCAAGAATTCTATTTTTGGATTAAAAAATCAGCGGAAATTTTTTTAACTATCAGCAAAGACCGGTTCCACATAAATAATGAAAGGAATGAGAATTTCTCATCATCTTAATGATGTTAATCAAGAAAAAAATTATTTATTTTGTGTGGCTCAAGAGTTCAAGGTGCCACCGTTAAAAAAGTCCATACTAGTAATCTAACGATTTATAAACAATATCTCAGACAAAAGAAATTAGATGCGGCGACGACTATTGAATAAAAATCCATTTAATGGAAATAAAAGAATTCTTATTGGAAGTGTCTAAAGAGAATAATTCATACAGAACTGCTAATATGTGTTAATAGACATTTTGCCGGCAGTTATTATAAAATTAAAAAGATTACAAACGTTTTAAACAAACAAAGCTAAAGTATTTGAAGAAGAAGGGATTATCAAGAAGAAGAAATTTTCGCTTTAAAATTTCTGAGAAGGCAAATTTTTTTTCGTTCATACAATCATAAAATGTGTCAATCATACGGCACCTATTTATACTATTTTTATTTTTGATTTTTGTCCAAAAAAAATGGTCGAGGTCATTCTACTCGCCGTAGAACGCGATTATCATAATTAAAAAGAATTAAGAATCATATTTTATGAGAATATCTTGTAAATGTAAGCATGTAAGCGGTTGCGTATAAATTAGGTCCATTAAAAGTATTATTTTAGAATCTCAACTTGATTTTAAACATCTTCAGACCCTTTATTTTGGATCTTATTTGCAGACCAAGACCATAAAATTCCTTAAGATTATCATAAATTTATTTCGATTTTTAATAAGTTGTCGCATTATCACTTTGATTTTTACTACGGGTGTGTCTTATTAATACTGAATACACTCCTAGCTGGGTTCATGTTCTGAAAGTGCCCAACAGATTCAATGTTCTTTAGAAAATTATTTTAAAATCTTCAATGATTTTAAAGTGTTTATAAAATTCAAATTTTAAAACAGCACTGCATATAAATTACTAGAATTCGCATTAAGTATGGAGTAAAAAATATAAACAAAGATTCAAGAAAATTAATTTTAAAAGATTTCAAACAAATGAATGAAAAACATTTTTTAAATCATCCTTCAATTTTTATCTGACTCCGTCGCTGACTAGAAATGTCATCATTTCTTAGGAAAAAGTTAATTAATTAAATTTGCACAAATAGCTATTGTTTGTAATAGTTTTATATTAATTTTATATTGACCTAGTTTCTCAATATTCTTTGAGATTATCATAAAATAAATTAAAATTTCCAAGAAAAATTTGCAACTGCAATAATAAATATGACATAATAGAATTGTATTTGAATAACTTATTAATCATCTTTATTACAGTCATAATTGTCCTCCGTCAATAAAAAACATTTTCATTTAATTAATTACGACAAACAGGCAATGAACTTTGTTCAACAAATTCTTATCGCACGGCAGTTGTTGACCCATTATGAAACAAAAAAATTAAAAATTATTTCTATATCACTGACAGATTTTTTGCACAAACAAAGTTTTATTTTTGCTGGTCGGCAATGATCTTGAAATTGTCTTAATAGCAAGACAAACTTTCTTCTGCCCACGCTCTGTTGATATTTTCTTATTATTTCGTCTACTTTTTCACACTTTACGCTCATGTGAGAGAAGTGTAGAGCAAATGCTGCGAGATTTCTCTGTATGATGCCACATACAGTAGCAAAAAAATGAGATTTTTTGTCACCTAATCTTTTGTTTACATTTTTGTGCTGTTAATATTCTATACGGAACGACGCTGTTTCGGAATGTGTAAAAAAATGTATGATTTATGGTTCTGATAGGCGTACGCAAAGCCTAAAGCTTGTTTGGGAATATATTGATTATGTTTGTCTTTGTACCTTGATTGATTAACTTTGATTTGAGTTTATGTTGATATTTTTCTACAGTCATTTTATGCTTATGAGTTTATTAAAAACTGTCTAAAATAGGATTAATAATATGACTTTCAATTCTCATTGCTGAGGATTATACTCAATCACAATATTATTGACTTTCGTCTAGCTACAAAAAATAAAATCCGTTTTTATATTCTTTATTAATTTTCACATTAATTCATTGTTATCTTATCTGTTTCTAGATACTTTATATACATCCTACTTTATTTGAAGATTCTTGTCATATCAGCAGATGATGCCGCTAGTACTGATAAATATTTATCATGCGAATATAGTGACACAGATTGGCAAGCACTGGATATTGATCAACTATATACTTGTGACATTTTGACAGATACTATTGACTCCCCTAATTATAAAATCAAGTATGAATCATCAGAGACTGAAAAAGTAGAAGGATTGCGATTCCTTGACAACAAAAATGTAAAATTTCTGCCCAACAACATTGGTGAAATATTTCCAAATCTAAAAGCATTAGCAGTATCTGGTACATACTTGAATACATTAAACAGCAATGACTTGAAAAGCTTAACAAAACTCAGATATGCAACATTTGCAAATAGCGACTTGAATGTGATTGAAGATGGTACATTTAAAGACTTAAGTGCGTTGGAAGAGCTTGATTTCAGAGACTCAAATATTCGTATTATTGAAGAAGATGCTTTCCATGGCATGACATCATTAAAAACTTTATACTTGAGTGGCAATAAACTCAACTCATTGGAACCGAAAACGTTTGATGGGCTAGAATCTCTTCATTCCTTATCACTTGAACTAAATCATTTGGAGTATATTGATGAAAATTTATTCGAAACAAATGAAAATCTAGCAGACATTTGGCTTAATAAAAATAAAATTATTGGATTGCCGTATAAAGTCTTTGAAAAAATTCCGAAACTTGCTTATGTGGACTTGCAAGAGAACATTTGCATCGATTATGCTTATGATATAGACAATTTTGATGAATTGAAAGACGATTGTGAGAGTAAATGTACAGCAGTTCCTCCTCCGAGAGAAGTCCATACAAAACCAGATAAAGTTGATGAATTAATTGAGGAAATTGTTGAAAATAAGCCTAATGAAACATTCAGGAATGAGTATAAAATTGATGGTGACATTGATACAGGCACATACAGTCAGTCCATTAATATTATTGAATTACCAGATGAGATCGATGAAAGTGTAATTATGAATGATGTTTCTTCGAAAATTGTTGAATGCCAAACTACTCAAATGGTTTGGAAATTGTCCAATTCAGAGCTACCAACATGTGTGATTGAAAATCAAATTATCGACTCGAAAGACTTTAATATAGCTCATAGTGCTGATGGGAATGCAATAAAGGCGATGTCATTTGCACAAAATAAATACATAAAGTTTCTTCCACAGAACATTGGCACATACGCTCCGAATTTAGAAGAGTTTTCTGCAAGAAATACTTCATTGAGAGTTATCTCTAAAAACAATTTTGCCGGTCTGAAGCATTTGAAGTCGTTAAATCTTGCTGATAACAAAATTAAATTCATTGACTCTGATGCTTTTGATGATTTGACATCGTTGGAGGAATTGGACTTGAGTGGCAACGAATTGTCAACACTAGATAGTGAGATTTTTAGAAAATTGAAGAATCTTAAAACACTCCGCATCGGAAGCAATCAAATTCATTCATTTCCACCAAATTTATTCCAAAATTTGAGAAACTTGGTGAATATATCCATCAGTCATCAGCATATATCGGATATAAATGCGAATACATTTAAGGCAAATACAAAGTTAAAGAATGTATGGATGAATTCAAATAAATTGAAATCCTTAAGTCCAAATATGTTCACTTCAAAATTGAAGGATTTAGAATATGTAGATATGAGAGATAACAAGTGTATTGATGGATTTTATGATCAATCGCATTTCCAACAAATGAAAACTGAAATTCACGAGAAATGTGGGAAGAAATATATCGTTCCGTTGAGCACAAAATTGGAGGATCAAAAGAAGAAAGGCAAGAAACCCAAAAAGGATAGCAAAAAGAATAAAAATCCAAAGGTAGAGGCAGTCGATGAAAGCAACTTGGAAGAAAAAGAAGTGATTTGTGATTATGAAGAAGTTTTCTGGCCACATTTGAATAAAACATTAAAAACTTGTGTCGTCAATGAAGCTATAGACAATTCCAACTATCTAATATCAGCAAATCCATTATTTTCAAGCGACTTTGTAAATGCTGACACAATCGAAGCCATTTCATTTAAGAATAACAAAAATGTCAAATACCTTCCGAAAAACTTATTTAATATCTTTCCAAACTTAGTGGAATTTTCTGCAGAAAATGCTGGTTTGACAAAAATAAATCCACAAGATTTTAAAGGATTAAAAAAACTAAAGTCATTGAATTTATCTGCAAATGGGTTAACAAATATTGATCGTGAAAGCTTTAAAGATTTGACATCTTTAGAAGAGCTTATATTGGATGACAATGACATTGAGGAATTTGAAGAAGAAACCTTTACGCATACTAAAAAATTGAAAAAACTTCGCATGAAAGGAAATAAACTAAAGACTGTCCATGAAACATGGCTTGAAGATATGCCAGATTTAGAGGAAGTAAGCTTTACATTTTCTGACCCTGTTGTTCTACAGAAACAAATTTTCGATAAGAATCCAAACCTTAAAGACATTGATTGGAATGGTATACATTATGATGGAAAATTAAATGAAATTGATGATGCTGTTGTTGACACCACAGAAGTGAATGAAAGTCGGAAGGAAATATCATGTAAATACGAGGAAGTTCCCATTCCAGAAAGTGGAGAAACAATGACTGTCTGTAAAATTGATGAGAGTGAAATCATAGATGATTCAGATTACATTATTAAGTCATCACCACATAATAATAAGGTTAAAAAATTTGTCATGTACAATAATCCAAACATTAAGTTCTTACCAAGAAATCTTGGCAAAACTTTTCCAATGCTGGAAGAAATTGATGTCGACAATACCGCACTTGGTGTGATTGATAGAGAAAGTTTTTACAACTTACCGCTCATGAAAACATTGAAGATGTCGAGGAACAAAATTCAAAATTTTGAAAGTGACACATTTGATGATATACCTCAACTTGAAGAGCTTGATTTGAGTGATAATGATGTCGAGCTGATTAAAGATGGAGCATTTTATAAAATGAATAATTTAAAGGATTTAAAACTTGGAAATAATAAAATAAATTCAATAGATCCGAAAACATTCAAGGTGATGAAAAATCTAAGAAAAATTTCCCTTCCTGGTAACAACATTGAATTTTTGGACCGTCATACATTCAAGAATAATCCAAATATTGAGGAAATTGATTTGAGTGAAAATGATATTGAGTCATTGAATCCAAGGACATTTGAAAAATTGAGAAAATTGAAGAGGGTCCTTTTCAAAGGAAATAAATGTCTAGATGAAGAATTCAACTCATCAGAGCTGTCGAAATTGAAAAATGACATCTTTAAGAACTGCAAAATGCCTAAAAAATCAACAAAAGAAGTTTCATGTGAGCTTGAAGATGTAGAAGAAATAACGAGTGACGTTGTTGATATAACAACATGTGTAGTGGATGAAGATGTTGAAATAGATGAGCCTGGTTATAAATTTACAATTGATACAAGTGCAATCGATTCATCTCAAATTAGAACATTGTCGATATCTAATAATCCTAAAATTAAATTTTTGCCCGAAAATATCGGTCAATTGTTTCCAAATTTAGAAAATGTTATGATCACAAATACATCAATTGAGGATGTGCCTGATGAAACTTTCAATGATATGGACAAAGTTAAATATGTTGATTTGTCACGGAACAAAATTAAAAGGCTCAATCCTAATTCATTCACTGGTTTGAGCTCAATCAACAAAATAAATTTGAGTGATAATGGATTCGAGGAATTAGATCATGTGCCATTTACAAAAATACCATCAATCAGTGCAATTGACATAACTGGGAATAAATTAAAGCCTGCTGCTAGAAAATTACTCGTCAAAAACTTTCCTGACGTTGATTTTGAAGGCATAGATGAAATTGAAGATCCAGTCACTGAGATGATTGAAGAAATCACAGATAAAGAAGTTACATGCGATAATATTGAACAAAATCATGCTAAAGGAACATTTACATGCACAATGAACAGTCAAATTATTGATTCACCAGATTACTTCCTCAAACTTCCGGAAAGTCTTAGCTTTAACAGCCTTACGTTGGTGGGCAATGATAATATTCAGTACATACCTAAAAATTTAAATAACGTCTTCCCGAATGTAAAACATCTCAATTTTCATAAAACTGGAATTAAGGAAGTTCCACAAGATATAAAGAACTTCAACAATCTTGAGACACTCGACTTGTCTAATAATAAAATTAAAACTTTAAAGCCATCAGATTTCCACAATATGCCTGCACTAAAAAAGCTGTCATTAGATGGAAATTTAATTGAGGACGTAGATGAATCTGCATTTGATTTACCTTCTTTGGAATGGATAAATTTGAGTGGTAATAAAATTTCATCAATACCGTCTAAAACATTCCATAAGCTACGGAAAGTGAATTGGATATCTCTGGAAGACAATGATGACTCCTTTGATGTGGATGAAAGTATATTTGAATCTATACCTAGCAAAAACATAGAAATATCATACACAAAAGGAGGCAAGAAGAGAATCATTGAAGTTAATGCTGATTTTGATGAAGATGAGGAATCAGATGACTCAGAAGAGTACGAGGAAGTAACTGAAATTCAAGTTGTTCGACGTAAAACGACAAAAAAAATCAAAAAAATTCGTCCGCAAGAGGAAGAATACGAAGTAGAAGAAACAACTGAATATTTTACAACCAATGAAGTGACTTGTGAGTGGGAAACCGATGATGAACTGCACATTTGTGTCATTAAAGATCAGCCAATAAAAACCAAAGGTTTCAAAGTCAAATCAACACCTGATGACTCCAAGATCAAAGAATTTAAGATTGAGAACAATGAAAATGTTGAATTTTTACCAGAAAATATTGGAGAACTGTTTCCAAATCTCCAAAAATTAACAGTAAGGAACACCTCTGTGTCTGAAATACCAGGAGACATTTTCAAGAAACTCCATAAGCTGAAAACTCTCGAGCTACCAAACAATCAATTAAGTGAATTAGATCCAGAAATGTTGAGCGATGCACCGATACTTGAGGAAGTCAACTTAAGTGGAAATATTATCAAGAAAATTCCTGATGACATTTTTAAATTTGTACCAGATTTGAAGATTGTGGAGCTTGACAACAATGAAATTACTGATCTAGATCCAAAGATTTTTGAGAGTGTTCCTAATTTAAGCACATTATCATTTGAAGGAAATAATATTCCAATGGAACTAAGCGAGGATATGTTCACGAATAATCCATTTTTGAAGATTTTTGGATCTAATTCATCTATGAAAACAACAACCATAAAATCTTCAGTTGTCGATGAGTCTAAAGAACTTGAATGTGATGTTGGTTGGAAACGTGTGGAATCTGGAAGTGAAAGTTCTGTAAGTTACAGTGAAAGTGACGAAGAAAACGGGGACAAATCCTTAACATGTATTCTTGAAGATCAATCAATTCTAGATGAAGAATACAGAATCAAATCAACTTCCAAAAATCCTGAAATAAAAGCTTTTAGCATCGAAAACAATCACGATGTTAAGTTCTTACCAGAAAATATTGGAGACCTGTTTCCAAATCTAGAGAAAATATTCATCAAAAATACATCAATTTCTAAAGTTCCAAATAAAGTGATGAAAAAATTGAAAAAACTCAAAGTACTTAACTTACCGGACAACAACTTATTAGAATTAGATCCTGAGATGTTGGATGATATTCCTTTGCTAGAAGAAGTAGACTTTAGTGGAAACAAAATTGAGAAGCTTCCAAAAAATATCTTTAAGAAGGTCCCAAAATTAAAAATCATCAGCTTTGAAAACAATGAATTTACTGAGATGGAACCAGAAATATTTGAAAGCCTTCCACATCTTACAAAAATTACTATGGATGGTGATGATCTGCCTGATGAATTTACTCAAAAGTTGATGAAAAAGCATCCACAATTAAAAATCATAAAATCCACAATAAAAACAACTACAATGGAATCAATTATTGAGACAGAGGAACTAGAGGAAGTAGAATGCGATACCGATTATGTCGACTTTGAATCAATTGATGGAGATAATGATGTATCAAATATTTTTACATGTGTCATTACAGATCAGGAAATTAAGAAACGAGGATCCAAAATCAAACCCACTCCAAATGATAAATTTATCGAAGGTATCAAAATTGCAAATAGTAAGGATATAAGGTTTATTCCCGAAAATATTGGCGAGCTATTTCCCAATGTACAAAAAATATCCATTCAAAATACATCAGTTCGTGAAATACCAAATGACATATTTAGAAACATAAATAACCTTAATTTGCTTGACATTTCAAACAACAAAATCAAAGAATTAGTTCCAGAAATATTTTATAATCTGCCACAGCTTGAAGAAGTCGATTTGAGTGGCAATGAGATTCAAGAGATTCCTGAAAATTTATTCAATAATCTACCAGAACTAAAGGTTATCGACTTGGGAGATAACGAGATAACAAATCTAGATCCAGAATTGTTCAAAAGTACACCAAAATTAACAAAGTTGATATTAGATGAAAATAAGTTGCCAGATGAAGTAATAGAAGAATTAATAAAGAAAATCCCAAGTGTTAAGATTCCTACATCAAAAACTACTATTTTATCCATAACAACTACGGAACCAATAACTGATTTTCCAGTATTAAAGGAAATAACATGTGACACAGAATATTCTGAATGGAAATCTATCGATAACGATGTTTCAAGTATTTTCACGTGTGTTATCAAGGACCAAGAAATTGATGACACAGAGATCAAAATTAAACCCACTCCATACGATTATCATATCCATGGTATTAAAATTGAAAATAATAAAGATGTTAAGTTTGTGCCGGAAAATATTGGAGAACTCTTTCCTAATATCCAAAAAATATCTATACAGAATACTTCTGTATCAAAGATACCAAATGAGGCTTTAAAGAATCTTGATAATCTTAAAGTACTTGATTTATCAAATAACGATATTAAAGAATTAGATCCAGAAATTCTCAATAATATTCCGATGCTTGAAGAAATTGATTTGAGTGGAAATAAAATTCAAGAGCTTCCAGATGAATTATTCAAGAACGTTCCTGAATTGAAGGCTGTTGATTTAACTAATAATGAAATTACTAAGCTTGATCCTGAGATTTTTGAAAGTACTCCACATTTAAAGAAATTAGTAATTGATGGAAATGATTTGTTAAATGATCTGAATGAAGACTCTTTTGTGTACAACCCAATGCTGGAAATTTCTAAAGAAGTAATTCCACAGAAAACTACAGCCAAATCTATGCTTGAGAAAGAAGTAACAGAAGAATTGTTAGAAGAATTTATCACTGTTACACCAATCATATCAACCACACAAATTGTTACTGAAAAATCTACTCATGCACCTGTTAAAACTACAGCTTCAAGCGGACCTCATGGAGATAAAGGATCAACGACAACAAAGAGAACACCAGTAAGTCGAACAACATCTCGATACACAACAAAAACTTCAAGTGGACGTACAACAGCAGCAACTCGACCAACAAAATCTCCAGACGGAAATGCCGAAGTTTCAGGAGTAAGAAGAACGACTCAAAGGCCAAGATTTAAACCAGAAATATCCAGTTATAGAACAACGACTCCAAAAGTGCCTCTCAAGACAGTCAAATGTGGAATAATTTATGAAACATCAGAACCTAATAGTAAAAGTGTCATCAAATGTGACATGAGTGATCAAAAGATTGAAGATCCTGAAGTATCATTTGCAGATATACCAAATGGCAAGGAAGTTGAGGTCTTGAAATTTGACAATAACAAGAACATAAAATATCTTCCTGATAATATTGCATTAGTATTCCCAAATTTGAAGGAAATTACTGCCGAAAATTCTGCAATTGAATTGATCCTTCCAGGTGACTTTGAGGATCTAAATAAACTTGAAAATATAGTCTTATCAGGAAACGATTTAAAGTCAATAGAACCGGAGACATTTGATGGTTTGGATAATTTAAAAAATCTTGACCTAAGCAACAATCAGATTGAATTCATTGACGAAGATGCTTTTGGAAGGTTACCGTCATTGAAAAATCTCGATCTTGATAACAATAAAATTACGTTCATTCATCCAAAAACCTTCAGAAACATACCAAAATTAGAGACATTGAAAATTGAAGGAAATAATATTCCATCATTACATGAGAATGTTTTCAGCATGAACCCACAACTAAAGAAAGTGAAGCATTCAATTCCGTCATTTGTTTTACTTACAACAACACAAAAGCCACAAGTGAAAATTCATACAACATTTATCAAGTCATCAACAACAGCAAAACCTAAAATACTGCAAACAACGATACAGAAAATAATTGACACTCGAACGACAACTATTCCAAGAAGACATAAAGTTTCACCATTTAAGGAAGTGGAATGTGACTATGAAAACATACAATGGGATTTCTCTGATGATGTTTTATTCAGTTGCGATTTAAAGGATGCAGTAATTGATGATACAAATTATGTAATTAAGCAGTCACCAAAGAATAAACGAATTAAAGGATTGAGCCTTGTTGATAGCAAAAAAGTAAAGTTTCTACCTCAAAATATTGACAAGGCTTTTCCAAATCTTGTTGAAATTTCTACCTTTAATTCATCCATTAAGCATATTCCTAAAGAAAGTTTGAAGAACTTACCAAAGCTTCGAGGACTTAACTTGATGTCAAGTGGAATATCAACGATAGCTCCAAATGCATTTGACGAAATACCTTCTGTAGAATATATTGAATTGTCTGATAATAATATTAAGGATTTGCATCCAGATTTATTTAAAAAGAATCCCGCTTTAAAATATCTATACTTGAATGACAACAACATTAAAAGCTTAGATTCAAATATCTTTGAGAATCTGCCTGAACTAAGGAATATTTCACTTGAAGGTAATGAAATTAAGGAAGTGAATAAGAAGCTTTTTAAAAATAATTATGAACTTCAAAATGTTTGGTTGAATGGAAATAGAATCAGTGCAATTGATCCAACAATATTTGATGGGAAACGAGCTTTAGAATATGTTGATCTTCGTGAAAATGACTGTATTGAAGAGTTTTTTGAAGGATATGAAATCGAAGGTATTAGAAATATTTTAAAAAATAAATGCAAAACACCTGAAGAAGATCCAACTGAAGAAGTTATTAGAACAACAGCGAAGCCGATCCGAGAACATAAAGCAACTACCCCAAAGATAATATCAGGAGGTTTGAATTCATACCCTACAAGAAAACCACCACATTCCATTCCTGACGATCAGAAATTCACAACACGACCATCTTATCAAATTTCTACAGAAAAACCAGCGGAGCCACAAACAATTCCTTCATATAATTATAGAACATCGACTTATAGATCACCAAGTAGTGTTACAGAAACTCCAGCACACTCGTCAACAGTTTCATCATTAAATTACAGAACATCTACTCGCAGATCCTCAAACAATTTCTCTGAAAGACCATTGCAGCCTACCAGAGGACCACAACATTTTATTGGAACTACAGAAATCGTGACAAAACGACCAAAAGAAGTCAAATGTAGCTTGAATTATCACGAATTTCCAGGAACTAGACCTGAAAATTACACTTGCTTTATTAGTGAGCAAGCAATTGATGATCCAGAATATATAATTAAGGCAACTCCACATGACGAATTTATAACTGGTGTAGCAATTGACGACAATAATAAAGTCAAGTTCTTACCTCAAAATATTGGCGAAATATTCCCAAATCTTAAGCATTTATCAGCAAAACATAACTCAATTGAAAATGTTCCAAGCTTGAATAATTTAGAAAATGTAAAGACATTGGATCTTTCAGATAACGGCTTGAAAATAATTGATCCAGAAGTATTAAAAAGGTTGCCATTGCTCGAGGATTTAAATTTGAGTGGAAATCAAATTCCATTATTCATTAATAGCACTTTTGATAATCTGCCAAATTTAAAGACATTGGACATATCGAGAAATAACATTGCTGAATTGTCACCGGAAATTTTCAATAAATTACCAGAGCTTCAAAAAGTCTCACTCGATAACAACGAATTAACTGAGCTTCCAGAGAAAATTTTCAACAAAAATCCAAAGCTTCAAGTCGTAAATTTAAATGGCAATAAAATAAACAGGATAAGTCCAGAGACATTTGAGAACTTACCAAATCTTGGGGAAGTAAATTTAGAAGAAAATCCATGCATTAATGGAGTGTACAAGTCCGGTGCATTTTATGCAATGAAATCAGATGTCATAAAAGGTTGTGCACCTGATGAGTACGTTACACCATCTGTTAAGGAAGTTATGACAACAACTATTTATTCAATTGAAAAATTGAAGCCAAATGCAATTGAATGCAATTATGGTGATACACATTCCTCTACATATGATGTTTATCTTCCTTCTTGCATGATAAACGAAGATAAAATTGTTGAAGTACCCGAGTGGGAGATCAAAGAAATGCCTGCAAATAGAAGAGTGAAGCGGTTTATGATTCTTGACAACGATAAGATTGAAAAACTTCCAAAGAACTTGGGTGAAGCTTTTCCAGATTTGAATGATATTATCGTGACTGGAGCACCAATAAAGTCAATTTTACCAACAGACTTCAAAGACTTGAAAAATCTCAAGTCAATTTCCATAACCGGTAGTTCTATCAAAGTTTTAGATCCAGAAACTTTCAAAGGAGCTCCATTGCTAGAAGATCTTGACTTGAGTAACAACAACATTCGACACATTGATGATGGTGCATTTGAAGGAATCAAAAGATTAAAGAATCTTGATTTGAGTGGAAATAAACTTCCGAAAATATCAAAAAATATCCTTAAACCACTGCCAGAATTGAAAATAATAAAATTGACTGGAAATGATTTACAAAATGTCAATAGTGACCTTTTCAAAGGAAATCCACAGCTCTATAAAGTCAATCTTGATGAAAATAATTTACGCTCAATTGACCCAGATGCATTTGACCGACTTCCACATCTAATAAATATAAACTTGAACAAGAATGATTGCATTGATAGATCATTTGGAGCATCAAATATGCATATGATGAGGAAAATCGTTAATGAAAATTGTCAACCTTACGATGCACTCAAGAATGAGTTGAAAACATGCAGAAAGGAAATTGAAAATTTCATTTCAAGACCAAAGGAAAATGATGTTGGAGAAAAGGATACACTTAAGGACGTGATTAAGAAATCAGAGAATAAAATTAAGCAATTAAATATTCAGCTCAATAAACTGAGAAATGCACTGAATGCAGAAAAAGCAATGTTAAGGAAAGAGATTGAAAAATCAAAGAATCTTGAGACTGAACTCGAAGGAATTAAAAAGAAATGTGCCAGAGTTGATGAAAATCACAATGTACTAATTGATTTAAATTGTAACTATAATGAGCTGAATAATGAGAAATATTCATGCAATGCTCGTGATCTGAAAATCAAAATTGAAAATTCAACGATCGAAAATCCAAATGGCAATCATAAGCGTGGTAAACGAGATGCTGATGTTAATTCATTAATTATTTCAAATCAAGATGTTAAATATATTCCAAATGGAATTTCAAATCACTTCCCACAGCTCAAAGAGTTGACAATCGAGAATTCAGGTTTAGTGAAAATCAATCAAGCTCCATTTAGAAATTTACCTCATCTTAATAAATTAATAATTAGGGGAAATGATATTTATCACATCGAACCGACTGCATTAAATGATATTCCACAATTGGAGCATCTCGACTTATCACAAAACAATATAATGGATATTCCAATAAAGTTTCTTGAAGAGATGCCAAAACTCAAAATACTCAATTTAAATGATAATGCACTTTTGTCATTACCACAAAACATTATACCAAATGTAAATAGCTTGAAAACATTTACAGTCGGTAATAATAATTTGAATTTCATCGATCCGAGAATTTTCAAGCGTTTGAATAGTGCCGGTGTCGTTGACTTTACTAACAATAAATGTATCGACAAGAAATTTAATGAAAATGATGATGATAGAAGAGACTACATGTCATTCATTGGCATTGTCAGCATAAAATGCACAAACAATATTGACGATAGTGGTGAGGATGGTTTCTGTACTGGCAGAAAGATTTGAGTGAATTTTGCTTTTCCTTTTATGTTTAATGTTTTTTGATTGAATGTGAATATTAAAAAAAATCGAAGCGCCTTATGAATTCGAAATATTAAAGTCAATAAATATTTTATTATGAATATTATATTTTTATGAGAAATAAAAATTACGATCAATATTTTATTGAAATTTTTTAATATGTCGTGTTTTTATTTGGCACCTCGTGCTTAAAATTATTGCCTCTTAAAGTTTAAACTAGCTACAAATCGGATATTAAACAGAACAAAGTGATGAATAATTATGGAAAATAGGAATAAGAAGCCACTAACGCCAGCAATGAAACTCATTAATATGGTTATAAAACTATCTTTTATAGATTAGAAGCTAATCTGTTTGTGCTAAAACATGTGACTATTGATGTTTGCATATCAAAGCTTTTAAATTCTTAGAAGATCCTTTCTATCATTTATTTTATCTAAGTCTGATTGATCCTTTAAGTTCATTTAAAGCTTCAATTCCTACGAATCTAGTAAAAAAAAATAGATTGTCCTTTTGCAATATTATGCATTTCAAATCTCTGCAATATGATAACAACATGACGTGATTCCTTAGCAATAATTTGCATTTTCCTGTACTTCACTCATTTGTTCATTTTTCATACATAACAGTACTTCATATGAGCATTTTTTACATGTTCTTATGAGATGTATAACTATGCAATGCATGTATGAATTTATGATGAATAAAGTAACAATGGCAATGTAGCTGAAATTATTTATACATGTAGTTATATTATTATATCATGAATTGTACAATATTTCCCTTAAGGATCGTTGACATTACATGAAAATCTGTGCACATAAAGCTTCAGCTTGTAAAAAGGCAAAAAAATGAAGAAATCATTGATGCAACAAAAATATTTTTAATTGAACATGGTTGAGGAATTTACTGAAAATAGGAAGGAAAAAGTAAACAATGACAGACTCTAATTTGGGTTAAGTACTTTTGCAAAATTCAGTTGGGTTCAGCATTAAAAAAATTTAAAATTCTTTGAACTATAAAACCTGGAAAATGATTAACATCGTCCCGAGTAGTACGCTACAATAGGTCTAATTTATTTTCCATCCAGCATCATTTATTCTGCGATGTAACTATCACATTGCAGTCTCCAGGAGTGTTGACATAAAAAATCACAATCGTTTTTCAATAGCCACTTGAAAATTTTTAATCATTAAAGGCGCAAAGCAGAAAATAAAAATCAACCAATTAAAATTTATAAGTGCGAAAAAAAAAGATTGAAATACGATAAAACTCAACAATTCATGAATTTTTTCACCATGAAATTCTTTTGTAAATTAACTTATATTTCTTTTGATCATATTAAATATTAAAAAACCTTAAAAGTATAAAAATGCACTTATATTCTCAAAAATGCATTAGCTCACTGAAAATTCACATTTCCACATTTTTATTGCTATTTTGTAAAATGGAATATTTTTGACTTGCTCGTCTACAATCGTGTAAGTGCAAAATCCAACATTGAAGAAGAATTCATATAGACGAGTCGGAAAAGACATAAAGATATCAAAAATTTAATCAAGAGTACATATGCAAAATTGTTTAATCAAACATATGATGTTAGCTTAGGAAGAGCTCCTTTTTCATTGTTCACAGATCGTATTTATTTTTGAGTGCAACGTTCAGTTAAAAAGTGGATCTTGGTATCGAATTTGGTAAGTGAATGAACCTTTTGGATTTAAATTGATTTCAAGTGAAATTAAATCTTCCAAAAGACAAGAATCATATTTAGATTGACTCATGTGATGACTAGTTCTTATCGTGTTGATATCAAAACAGGAGTAAATCATCCAAAAAACCGAAATCAATATTGTAAAATTTGCAAAAAAAATCCACAAACTCATTGAAAATGCGCATCAATCCAAAAATTCCAACAATCCATTCATTACGCGATCACAGCATCATCATCTCATAGATAAATACTTGCATGAAAGTTTACAATAAGGAGTTATTCTTTTTCTGTTTGACAATACTCGTGAGAAATCAAATATTTCATTTTACGTGAGACATTATGATCATTTCTTCTATAAATATGAAAAGTTTACTGTCATAAAAACTTGTTCTTGTTTACTCTCAGCTATGTCAACAGAGGAATCCTTTACAGGAACTTGTAAAAACAATGAAGAAGAAGAAAATGAAAGGATTCGAATAAGATTTATTCACGTTTGAATAATTTTCAACAGGTCTCGTCTAGTCGTGTTCTGTTGGCACGCTGAACATGTAGAAATGAGTCGTTCAACTTTGACAGCATCGATTTGCTGATTATGATTAGCATAAGTTTCGCTGAAGAATTTTTAAACATCATTGCGAGTTTGATTGAAATTATTCATGAATTAAACAAATCGAACGAAATGTTGAGATTTGAAGGTTCATTGTACTGGTTTGTAAAGTCATGAAATGAATAATAATATTTTAGGCCGAAGTGTAGCCAGAAATGAAACATGTCAGAGGATGGTGATAATATCTCTATGAATGAAAAATATAATTTAAAAAAACTATCAAATTATTGATTCTAATATTCCCTGACTACATCCCTTAATTGTAGACGCGAAGATGATAAATCAAATTCAATATTTAAATCCAATTAACGTTTTCTTGTTGAAATAAAATCATTTGGGAAATTGGAAATGATGAAGTTAACTTTTAAAGTTATTTCAAGATTTTCATGTAAATTAAAAATATTTTCAAATTGATGATTGAATTTAATATTGAAAGTTTTCTTTGGTAAGTGCCTTCTTTTTTTGATTTTGCTTTAAAGATACTTCAAAGTTTGTAACGTTTCTGAGTATTTACAATCTGTGTAAGTAGATTTGCTATTAAGAACCAACCAAACTGTTTTCAATTTTTAAAAACAATTTAAGAGAGTCTATAAAAAGCCAGTTCCTTAGCACTCGATCTCAGAGATGGAGGCCTTGCTTTTACTCTACTCACCCTCCACAACATTAAAAATTGCGTCTCTAGTCCTTTAATTTCTATCAAAATATTTCTGCAAGATAAAAATCATGAATAAATTTCAAGTTGTTTGTTTCAGATTTCCTTCTCGCTATACTTTTTATAGGAAAATTTATGTTCTGATTATTCAGGCCACGAGAAGCTTAGCAATCATCATATTCTACAATAAACTATAACATTTCTCATCTTTCTATCTTTTTAGATATCAAAACTTTAAACTAGATCTTCATCTGATGTTGAATATCTAGGAACTGATATATTTTTTTAAATGATTTCTTCATCTTGTTTCAGTTCCAATAATTTACTCGTAACGCTGAAATACTTTTAAATAAATTTTTTCTTTGTGCATTTTTCCTCGCTTTGGAATGCTAGAACTTTAACCTCACATGAAATATTTTTAAAATTTTTGCCAGCAATACTTCCTGTCATTTATTTCCCTTCATACTATTGAGTTTGTAGCATATATTTTCTATAGACATGGAACAGTAAGTCGAGAATGATTTGTGGTTCTGGTAAGGGGTGCATTTAGATATTTTGTTTGATAATGTTGGTACTTAGAATGACTTCTAAAATGTCTCGCCTTAGCTTAAACTTAATTCCATCTAAATGTGTGAGAATTAAAAAATGTTTATCCATTGAAAAATTCTAGATCCATTTTTAATAATATTAATATAAATATATGCTGACCCTCTTTTCAAAATGGAATTTCAAGTGTTTTTCTTGTATGGCAAGAAAAATGCATTCCAGACATTTTCTTAACAACATTATTTTTAACGTGCCATCTTTACTCGTTTGACCTATTCATTGATTTTTTGTGATCTCTACAATTCATTTCTCAGTATATATGTATGCGACGAAGGATTTAGAAGAGGAAAAAATATAATGAAAAAGCATATTTTTTCCGCTTGCCATATTTATAGCTACTACTTAACATCGTTATATCCTATATTTGTTTCAAGCATTTCACACACAAACATAAATGAAAATTGAAGATGTGGAAAGAGCAATGGCATTCAATGATTACGCCAATTGATGATCTTAAAGTCATTTCTAGAACTTATATGATGAAGGTTTATGCTTTCTCCTATCAAATGTCTAACGTACATATAAGAGGAAAATTGAAGAGGAAGGAATTCCATTCATTTCATGTCGATTTGAGAAACATACATGATATTGAGGTGGATTAGTGGTTTGATTCCGATGAGACTCTCGGGTTTTTTGGTAGATTTTCGAGATATATCGATAAATTGGTTCAAAATAATAGATTTTAATGAAAATAAATTAGGAGATATAAGGAACGAGGGGCAACACTACCTACACAAAATCCACCTCACCCAAAATCCCTCTGTTATTAAGTGACAAAACATCAACCTCCTTCGAAAATTCCAACTGCGTCACTGAATTAGAATAACGTCAATGATTGTCAATTTGTAGGCGTAATAAAATCACAAGACATTCTTACTTCCATAACTTATCGACCCATCTCAACATAGTGAGACATACAACATAGACAAATGTCGTCATGATGTCAACTCGTCACTCTTAGTTAAGAAGTTCTATGAATCAATAATAACGTATCACATAATATGAATATGCTATTGAAAGAATGTCGGATTGATTTGGGGAAATTGAGTTATTTATATAAAAAAAAAGTGAAGAAGAGCAGCATCAAGCAATTGAAAGAATTTTTCAATACGCATTGTTCTCTTTCATACATTGGAATTTGTGTGTCGAATAAATTGAGGGTTGAATTTTTAAATTTATTGATATTTTTTGCACCATCGATGTAGCTTCGCCCTTGTTTTTTTTTAAGCACGGCAATCGAAACTCTAAACTTTTCCAGTCGAACAGACAATCTAATTTTATGTAAAATCATTCATAACATAGCATATTGCTCCAAATAAAATTGTAATCAAATTAAATTGTTCATATATTTCATAGCTTCTTACCTACTTATAGTGTCAAATGTCAGTTGAGTTTTGTGTCATAATTCATAAACATTTTACCGCCTCACGTTCTCTCACTAGTTTTTTCCACATCAATGTACATGTATGCTACACGTATAATAATGTTATATGTTGAAATAAATGCAAAATGTGATATGTTATGTGCTTCATATAAGTGAATGGGACGACGACAAAAAAAGAGAGTACATGCTTAAGAGGGAGGAAGATGATGGAAGAATTGATGCAATTAGTTGCTTATTTGTGAAGGCAAACGTTCATTGTGCCACTTTTACACAAGTTGTTGTATTCATATTTGATGAAGGAAGAACTTTCGTTTAATGTATGCAAGTAATTATAAGTTGAATGTAATTATAAGATAAGACATACCAAGTGAAGCGACATGTATGGTGGTATTATGATCTGTGACTTGTTGCTATTAATTTTATAATTTAATATAATTGAGGCACAGAGTGAAATGTTAAGAGATTAAGTGTAGCGCATTTGTGAATTATTTAAGAGAAAATGTCATGTGCTGTTCCACTTAACTCAAAATTATTCTTACTTACTGCATGCATCACTTTGGGTAATTAATCTCCATAGTGAACAATTTGAGGTTAATTGCTGTAATTTTCCTCTCATAGAAAAGCTTTTGGCTCATTTAGATGACATCATTGTATTATTCATGATTAGGGTGACCATGTAATTTTTAAGAAAATACAGGACATTTGATAAATTTCCTAAAAAATACAGGACACAAAGGAAAATTTGAAAATCAACGGAAATTTTCGTGAAAAAAATACAGGACCTGGAACAAAATTTTCAAATTTATACAGGACAGGGTTTTGAAATACAGGACTGCCCGTTGTAAAACTACGCAGATGGTCACCCTATTCATGATTTAAAATGTGCATTTTAACTTTAATATTCACTTTTTTTCATGCTTCAACATAAGATCTGGAACTGAACTTTCTTGGTCCTAAAAGGCTAGACTGCAATGCAACAGAACCAACTTAAGTTTAAATAGAAACCTGTCAGTCAAATTATCATAAAATTGTATATACTTGAAGTAAAGAAAATTTGAATTTGATTTTCAAATGAGAAAAATGTCCATAACAATAAGATTCTTTTAAAATTCATGTCAGTACGCTAGTATGCGTCATTTTCCCACGCTAATTTTTCTTGTTGCTCTCCTCAACAGATTCTCAAACTTTTCACAATTCTCTCTCTCAAATGTCGTATCCGCTCTCTTATTTGAAATCATCAGCATGAGTGTCGAGTAAAGCTCTCTCTCACAGGACAAAAAATTTCAGTAAATATACCGTTTCCACATTCACATTTCTTCAGTTCTTCGGCGACTGTTGTAAGATAAACATTTAAAAAGAGGTGTTAAGGAAAACAAAGAGTAAATCACATATGATTATTTGGATTAAAGTGTGAAGCATAAAGCATAAAATTAAAGATTTTTTTTTGCTGTTAATTTTTATTAAAAAAAAAGCAAGAAGAGAAGGATAAAAAAAATCATTTCGTGAGAATAAACAGCAGCGTGTGTTGAACAACAAGAAAACAAAGCGAGTTAATTAAAAAATAAAGAATTTTTTTGCATTCATAATGAAACCCATAAAGGATGTAATGATGAGATAATGAAAAAAATTTAAATTGGATTATGCAAAAATATATTTACACATATGATATGGTATTGAGAATGATGCTGGTGATAAAGTGTTATGTGAAATTTTTATTTTCAAATAACGTGTAATTAAAAGATGCAGTTTCACATATGGGGAATTATATTATTAATGGAAATTAATTTGAGAATCATGAACGCTAAAACAGGTTCGTATAATGAGTGAATATAAATTTTATAAATTTTTTGGCAATCCAAGCGACACGTAGCTTAAATGTTATCATCATCATCTCTATCTCGTCTTCATGTGATTCGGGTGAGGGAGTCAGGGATGACTGGACTATCTTTCTCTTACAAATTGGCTAGGTGTGTTGGAGAGACATAAAATGAAATTGAGTCATGTTGAGCCTCCCCTTAATACACCTCTGATGTGAACTTTTAAAGAAAAAAAAGTCATGAACAAACAGAAAGAATGTTTCCAAATATTTGTCTTACTTGTTCCTTCCTCGACTTCTCCTCTATCTTTTCCTATAAAGTTAAAATATGTCACAAAAATTAAGTTGAGAAAAAAAAATTCTTTTCGAACTTTTCATTTTGCTTTTTTTGTGACTCTATCGTGTGCTTGGCGAATCCCTCATGGAGAAAAATAAAAGAAGGAGCGGAAGAAAAGTTTTATTTTAGTACTAGTGCCCCTTGATCTATACAATAGAAATCTGCATAAGGCACAAGATGGAAGATTGTCGAGGTTTTGTCACTTGTACTCTAATGTTCATTAAAATTAATTTTCATTGCAAATTAAAACCGAAAATTTGTCGTTGATGAATACTGACTTTTTATTGTTCATGAGGAACATTATTTATCTATAATTAAAAGAGTACAACGGAATAAAAAGTTGGCAACATAATGGAAGTATAAAATAAAGTAGTTCGGAAGGATAAACATGAATTATTTTGGGAATTTAGTCATGAATTTTTATTAAAATATTTTCTTTCTGCACATAAATTTCGCAACATAAATGGGGAATATAATCTCAACATAAAAATTTCATGCTGCGAAAAAAGAAAGCGAGACGAAGGCGACTAATTTAGGTCAAAAAATTTATAACTCTGCAAACTGTTACAAATTTACCTTGAATTTTTAATTTCTTACAATCAGTGTAAAAGCCTTGACTAGCAACAGAGTGGAAAAAGTTTTGCTCTTTTGGGTTAAACAAATTTCCCCAAAAAAAGAAAGTCCCACATAAGCCATCTAGCCATTACCATTTGATTATTATAGAATAAATTGTTGAGAGAATTAAAATAAAAAATTGTGAGTCCCTTTTGTCAAACTTATAAAATAGCAAGATGATGGTAAGCTTTTTTTGGGATACCTTTCTGATAGATTATTTACCCGCTTTTGGTGCTTTTACCTTATTGCCATTTGACATTCAGTTTGAGATCTTTGATGGGCTTCTCGGAAATAATTTGTAATGTGATAAAGTTGTGGGTGTAAAAGTTGGGCAACCATTATGTTTTGGTTGTAAATTAAGGGCTTTTCGGTTTTTAATTGCTAAAAAAGTGATAAATGATTATAATTAAAGTTTTTTTCAAAATCATACTTCAGATAATGCTAGAAAATATTTTTAAGGATATCATTATTAAAAAATTAAAAGTGTAGAACTGATAAATGGATTTTAGGTTATTTTTCGATCAATTTTCAATCAATTTTGATCATTTTAATTAAATTATTTATCAGGAATAATTTCACTTATTAAGTTCAAACTCGTGTTTTACAATATTCAATAGAATTTTCAGACAGCTTTAAAGTAATATTTAATAGAAAGCAGCTTTTCTTTAGAAGCTAAAAAGAACCTTTGCCGATATTTTATACTTATGAAAAAAAAAATAAACATAAAATAAAAAGTGCTTAAAAACTGTTACTTTTATGTAGGATTCAATGTTCCTAAGGCGAACATAAAAGAAATTTTCTATTCAAGTAAACAAAATATTTTTGCTCAGTCTTGTTAAAAGCTTTAAATTATACACGAATTTTTAATCTATAATGGATTTAATAACATGAAGTTCAAGAGCGTGTTCAATGGTTGGTCAAAGTTTTGTCCCATGGGCAACTTATTCACAAGGGTGAGGAACTGATCAAACTGATAAAAATGATCAAAAAATGGTCAAATAATTATCAAAAATGATCAAAATATAATTTGTCAGTTTCTCACCATTGCTTCTTCACAGCGAACTTTAAATGATTTTTTTTGGACTTAGTATAATATATGAACCCGATTAAATTAAGTCGATTGTTTGTAGATGTTGCTTCAACATCCTCCTTTAAGATACAATTACTTTTGTACAATAAAATCCTACTCATTTGAGTTCAAGGCTTCCTCATTCTTTACCAACATTCAATTGAGTTTTGCTTCTTCGTGCATCTATACTTATTAAGGACATTTTTTTCTCTTTCTCATTTCTTCATCTTTTCCTGCTAATGGCTGATCAGAGAAATAAGGATAATGTTATTCTTCTTTCTATTCCTTCTGTATTTTTGTTATTTTCTTTTCCTTCTACTTGTTAATTCAAGTGAGAACCATAAAATGCGTTCGGATATATTTCTTCATAGTCGTTGGTGTAGTCACCGAGTATAAATAAAATATCGTTACGCAACAGTGCAAACAATAAGATGATTTTTGAACAATGTAGGATCACGAGCTTTATTCTACTTATTCGAATTCGTATTCCGACAGTAAATTGAGCAGCTTTCTGATAGCTTAAAAATGATGACAGTCAAACTTTTTTTTTGTTGCAATGTGTTTCTGTAAGTATGTACGTAGGATAATCCAGTTGTAATCACAGACAAAGTTGTCATCATGAAGCTTCTCCGTCTAGTTTTTGTCTTCTCATCATCGACATTTTGTACGACAAACTTTTTCAATTAAAGTTCTGTAATGTGAATTTTTTTTAAGCTTTATGTTCTTTGAATTTGAAATTTTTTTTGTGTGTCTTTTAAGCAACAAGTAATTCAATGAAACGAAATATTCACATTGAAATTGAAAATTTAATTCCTTTAATATTATTTATTCCAAACTGCATTTTCCAACTGTTAATTAGAAAATAAGTTTTCACGTATTTTTTTTTTTGTATTAAAATTCAATGGAAAAAGTTTCGAAGCTGACAATTTTTCTCTTTACAAATAATTCTCTTGTGTTTATTGTGAAATTGAATTCAGTTTATTTATTTTGCCTGCATTATACTGAATAATGAATCAGACTCCATAAAAGCCATTAAAATATATTTTCTCTTGTTTCCTGAAAGAAAAGTTAATTAAATTGTAATTATCTTGATAATCATTGTAATTTATTTATAATTAAATAGTAGAATTATGAGGAAAATAATTGTTTATGATGAAGGGAGACAACTTGTAAAGTTCCGCATTTCATTTATTAATTTATGTAACAAATTTCCATTGAATTGTTGATTACAAAAGGTTTCTTATGACTTTTATAGTTCACAACAGTTTCTGATTTATTTATGAACGAGTAAAAAATTTGGGGAAGTTGTTCTTCAACAATTAGAAGCACTAATATTGGCTTTTTTGCGGCTGAATAAAGATTCTTTGCAAGAGTAGTTTGATTTTTGGTGATGTTTGTTCAGAATTCATAAATTCGTTACAGCAACTCTATTATGGAATCTCAAAAATAATTTAAAGCCATATTATGGATACCATAAAATTTTAAATCCATTTCTCAACGCTCAATTAAGAACTGTAAAACCCAGAAATATATTAAATTATAATCAAGTGCTAATTACTCACTTTAATAATCCACTAATAAGTTTACTCTTTAATTTCGAAGAACATAATTAATAATAAACAGATTACAACATCAAAGCGATATGGAAGCAAACAAAGTTTTTACTATAAAGTTATTTTTTTTTATCAAAAGCTGTTAACATCAAAGTGTTGTTGAAGTGCTAGTATTCACACTATTTTGCTTCACTAGAATTTTTTAAACATCAACGTTTATATGTTTTTATTGAAAATGTTCACTCAAATGAGTTACCGCACTAATTCATAATAGTTAATTAAAGCTTCTCGGGTTTTGAATTAAATCCTCCCATTGTTCATTGTTCATTTCTAGTTGTATTCTAGAGAATTCCTTGTTTTTCCATTTCAATTACTTTGAAGAATATTTCAATATTTTTAAAATGTTTCGCTATCGGCAATAATGTTTGTGAATATACATCGATTACACATCTGCATGAGTAAGCACACTCAAAAGTATTTCATTTAAAATTAACAATAAAATTGTGAAATACGACAAAATCATTCATGGTGAAATTTTATGGAATTGAAAATTCAATCGATTGTCTTTTTTTGAATGATAAATGTTTGATAAAAGCTCCAGCTTATTGTTACTGAGAAGTCTCTTCATTTATGTATTGATACTGTTCTGTTTAATGCCATAAAGGAGAAAAACTACAAGAAACCCTTGAGCATTCAATTGGATATTGTAAAATTCAAGACAATTTTCCTTTATTAGGTAAAGGAAAATAAGGAGCTACTTAATAATGTATCCGAAAAGGAAGCAAATCATTCTCGAATTTACGGGAATTTTTCTCAAATGATGTCCAAATTTATCCTTTTCCTAAATATATATAAAATTGCATTTATGATCAAGAACTTAACCGAGCGAAAGGGTTTGTGACGTCTGATGATTCAGATCCCTTCTGAAGGTTCTCAATTGAAGATATGGTACAAATGTAATTGATTCATCCCTTAATATTGAACATCATTAGTGAAAAGCTCCTGTAGAATATTCAACAAACGAAAATCTTCAAAGAACATTATCTGTTGAGCAAGTAAATTCAGAGGCTGAACAGCTCTTCGAAATTTTTTTTACAAAGCTTAAATATGAAAAGGAAATTTTCAATGGATGAACGAATGTTTGGACTCCATCCATCCTTCGTTTGTATTCAAGAATCTCAATGATGGATGTAATTGAAAGATTTCGTATTTATCGGATCTCAAGCGGGTTTTCCAAATTTCTTAAAAGGAAACGTGTAAAGATTTTTCTATTTTAATATGTTTGAAAACTGTTCAGGTAGAAATAAATGTGTGTTATGAAGAAATTTGGATTTTTTTAAATCAATCTTATTTTAAGGATAATTTTCTTGCAAATTAAAGAATGTTCAAACTCGGGTCTGTCTCTAAGTGCATGTGAAAA